ACGGCTATAGGAGGGCGACCAGTTCGGACACAATGATTACGTTGAGTTGTAATTAATTTTAGAAATAGTAAAATTAGTTAAATCTGAACCAGTATATATATGATGCTTCAATGAAGGTCCTAAGTTACTTGTACATTTTCATCCCAATCCATCTAATTAGCAATCATTTGATTGAGGACGTTTGCACGATAGGTCTCCGACCTATTGAAGAGCTCATTGTGCGTACCCGCATCTGCACACTGTCCGGCTTCGATCAAGAAAATGACGTCGGCGTGACGAATGGTATTCAGACGATGTGCTATGACTAGAACAGTAATGCCTTGTGTCGCGATTCTCAAGTTCTCCTGCAAGACCTTCTCGGTCTCTGCGTCCAGCGCGCTGGTCGGCTCATCGAGGATCAGTAGCCTGGGCTTGCGGATCAGAGCACGGGCGATTGCCAATCTATGCTTCTGTCCAGTCGAGAGTTGGCTTCCATTGGCGCCGCATAATGTATCGTAGCCCTGCGGCAGCTTGTCAATCGTGTCGTGGATGCTGGCTAGCTTGCATGCCTCGATCATGTCCTCGTCCGAGACCGAGGATCCGGGACGTGCACCTAATGAGAGGTTGAAACGTATTGTGCCGTCGAAGAGCACGCCGTCTTGCGGCACGAGGGCTATGTCGTCCCGGAAGGATATCCCTTTTTGTTTCGTGATGTCTACTCCATCAATGTAGATCTCCCCATGGCTGGGAACATACATGCGCTCCACAAGCGATGTAATGGTGGACTTACCCGCGCCAGAGGGTCCCACGAGCCCAGCAAACTGGCCAGGCTGAACGTGCACACTCAGACCGGAAAGAGCTGGGGCAGACTGGCGACCTGGGTAGGCGAAATGGACGTTTTGTAACTTAACCTCCGTGCCACCTTCTCTGTGTGGCAATGGCCCCTTGGTTTCTGCAACGGCTTCGACGTCTTGTTTCTTGTCTCCCGGCCGCCCTTGGGCGTCGGATCCGGATGATCCCAATTCAATCACATTGACGACTCGTGCAACGGCCCCGCGAGCGTTGGAAATCTCGGGAGCGAGCGCGAACATTTGGCTCCAAAGCTGTGCGCTTACTAGGAGAGAGAATACGACCATGATGAACTCCGTCTGGCTGTACCTGCCGCTGAAGACTTGCTTGGACCCCCACCAGAATCCTAGTGCAAATGCTAGGTTTCCGACTAAGTACTGAAGAGCGAGCCAGAGACTGGTATATAAGCTGACGGCAGTCACCTCCTTTCGGGGCCCATCCAGAGTACTGCGATAAACTCCTAGAATCTCATGTTCGAGCGCTAGTGCGGCAACGGTTTTGATGGAGTTGACGGCTTCGACGCTGATTCCGACGGACTCGTTGAAGGCTTTCTCGTGTTTCTCTGTGAATCGGGCAAGAGCACGTAGCTGTGCAAGCCCAACCCCTAGAAGAATCGGCACAATGGCGAGACATACTAGGGAGATACGCCAGGCTATTATCAGTGTCATGATGACAGCCGCAACTAGATTAATGCATATCGACAAGACAGTGCCGATGATGGACCCACTAAGGCCGGCAATCTGATTCCCGTCGTTGGTGATGAGTGCGAGCAGGCTGGACGGCGTACGGCCCGCAGACTGGTGCCACTGCACATCTTGCTCGAAGAGAGCGCGGAACACGGACGTGCGGATAGCGTAGATGGCATCCTCAGAGACCCGGCCAAAGCCGACCCAGCTTATAACGTTGGCGAAAAACTCAATGATGGCCAGCACGAAGAACAAGAGTCCATAGAGGCGACCACTGGATCGAATGTGATCGGGGGTGCCACATGGACTTAGCCCACTGACGGTGTGGCCAAAGATAACAGCATCGGCACAGTAAGCTCCGCCGACAATACTGGCCGCTGCGAGAGCAACGACTGCGACCAGAGCGTTGGGGCGTATATAGCGCGACATATTGCTAATCAAGTACCCAAGAGATTGGTTCACCGGTGGCTCATCTTCTTCAGAAGCGGAATCAGACATTGACGGCATCCTCTTCTCAAGACTTTCCTTGGCCACATCGGCAGAGATATCTCCTTTGTCCGTGCTCTCAAGGCCGTAGTCAGCTTTCTCAACGGCAGTCGCACCACCTATTGACCCGTCTTGACTAGACCGCTGCTCTGGGGACTCTGTATCTAGGTTTTGCAGATTGACAAGGCTAGCGTATGCGCCTTGTTTGCTCATTAGTTCTGCCGGACTGCCTTCTTCCACGATGCAGCCGTTCTTCATGACAATAATTTTGTCTGCCTTCTGAATTGTGGAGAGGCGATGAGCTACCGAGATGACTGTGCGACCTTCCGAACAACGATCGAGGGCCGCGAGAATTTCTTTCTCGCTCTGGGAGTCGAGAGATGCTGTGGCTTCGTCGAGAATAAGGATCTGGGGATCCTTGACCATGCTCCTAGCGATGGCAATACGCTGCCTTTGACCTCCGCTAAGACGTGTGCCACTAGACCCAACGATGGTGCCTAGGCCCTCTGGCATTTCGCTGATGAATCGCTCGGCGTCTGCAATCCCAGCTGCGTGCTGAATCATGCCGAGAATCTCTACCACTATCGGGCCTTCCTCTATAGCAGCCTCTGTTGCGTCGCGACCCCTTCTGATAGCGGCCGCTAGGGAGCGGAGTTGTGGCCCAAGCAATGTTTCGCCGAGATGTTCATGTTCGGGGACCGCAGAGTTGACTAAACCGTGAGCGATATTCTCCAAAATCGATCGATCGAGTAATGTCGATTCCTGCTGGACAATGCCGATCAAACTTCGAACCTGACGCACATTCAGGTCGCGGAGGTCATGGCCGTCTAAGAGGACCGTACCCTCTGTTGGGTCGTACAATCGGAGCAACAAACTGGTTACAGTGGACTTTCCGCTACCAGAAAAACCAACCAGGGCCGTCTTTTTGCCAGCTGGAAGTTCCAAAGATACGTTCTGGAGGACATTTTGCTCTGATCGGGACGGATAGGAGAAGGTGACGTTCTCCAGCTTGAACTGACCCACAGTGACGTTCTCCAGTCGAAGGCCAGTGTCTGACGTTCCATCAATCCTTGATGGTCTGTCCATATCTTTCTTGAGTTTGGCGAAGGATGCAGAAGCTGCCGCAAAGATGGCTAGGTATGGAGTCATTTGGCTCAGAACAAGGGTAGCTATTCAAGAGGATTATCAATTAGCACTGTTTTTTTACGTGAAGAAAAGCGTTCGTTGCGCTCAAAGAAGACTCACCATTGACCAGAAGAAAAATCACTGTGAAAACGGACCCCACCGTCGATCCTGTCCCATTACTTGCCACTGAATCCGCAATCATGTGGCTACCTTGCCAGAAAGCCAATGCATCAGCGGCGTAGGCAATAAAGAAGATCAAGCCAGCCTGGATGCCGCTGACGAGGGCCTTCTTAAGACCATCCTTCCTGGCTAAGCTAATGTGCGACGAGAAGTTTGCTTCTAGCTTATCGCTTGCATTGAATGCGTGCACAACAGCAACATTGGACAGAGCCTCGGAGGCTACGGCCGAACCTGCTGAAAAGTGATCTGATACCTGAGAAGAGTACTTCTTGATGAAATATCCGCCTACAAGTGACATGGAGAAGTAGGCCGGCACCAAAGAAACCAAGATCCCAGCGAGCTTTGGAATCTTGATAAAAGCGATGATATACGCGGTGACGAAGAAAGATATGCTCGAAAGGTAGATCCCGACCTTCTCTGAGGTGCCCATGCGGATCATGGTAATGTCGCCATTGAGTCGCGACGACACTTCACCGCCGGGATGGTCGTCAAAGAAGGCTGGCTCCTTGTGAAGCAGGCTTCGGAGATACTGCTCGCGCAGACGTTGAGCCAGCCTGGCGCCTCCCAGTGACCAACTCACTAGGTGGATGTAGACGAAGCCGAACTGGGCAATGGCGAGATAAATTATATAGAGAACCTTAAAGTTCACATCGGATTGGTAGTCAGCGCCCGATGTCGCCTCGACGGCGCAGCTCTCGGCGTTGAAGTCATCGAGGAGCTGGCCAAAGATGATGCCTAGCAGCGGAAATGGAATTCCAGAAGCAATGGCGCTGATTATACCAGTAACGAAGAGAAGAGTGTCGAGTTTTGATGGCTCTGTTTGAACAAAAATAGCGAAGTACGCAAACGTTTTCTTAAGCCGCGACCAAGGGGTCAACTAGATACCTATGTCAATACCACTCAACCTGCGAGTAGAATCATTAACTTACGGCTGTGGCATCGCTAGCGGCTATGGGCTTCTCTGTTGATATAGCGTCCGCCATGGCTGCAGCACGCCCTTGCACTCTTGGTGTTTCCAGTAGAGACGTGTGTTATATCCAGTGGGCACTGCGGCAACCTAATTGATTCATGGAGCTTAAAAGAATGATAACGGTCGATCAAAAATTACGTTCCATAAGGCTACCATACTCTGTCTCCAAAGATGAGGTAGTTTATTTTGATTTTAAGAATTGCTTCGAGGGTAGAGGTTTGGTGTGTCACGTGGAGTGGTGGAACCCCTCACGTCTTATACTGCAGATCCATTATAAGCCAAGACCCGACGATGAGTCCCGAAGCGATGTCGGATGGTGAGATAATATTAGTGCTTCAGTTGGGGCGCATCCAACCCCCCAACGGTGGCCGCAGCTGTGTTCCTTCGGAGAGAAAGGGGGTTCGGCGTTGCTATCCCTGGAAAGAGCCACTCGGAGATAAGATTGATTGATTAGATTAAGGTGGATGAGCAAATCGTTCCTACGTTAGGCTAGCTACAGTAGGGTATGCTGTCCGTCTGTGGCAGGATTGACACTGCACCGCTCAGTAGCGGAGACTGGGATACGAGTCATATTACCTTATCCCTATTCTTCCTCTTTCTATTACTTGCCGCCAAGGGCACCACTTCGGCATCAACCTAGGGAATGGCGACGAAATGGTACGGTCGATCAGTCGGACGCTGCACATGTGGGCGACCTGATTGATTAGATTAGATGAGCAGATTATCAGAAGGTTCTCGCCGGTTATTACATTAGCCTCTGCTCTCTCTCTCATCCTTGACTGTGATATTCCTGATCTCCTTGACTCCCTTACTATACGCATCTATAAGGGGGATACGACATGGTTGATCTCAACTTCAAATGCAAAACCTGCATACATGTGCACAGCGCACCGAATCCTTCTTGGAAATATGGGCCATCAAGGATCATTCCGAAGATGACCTACAATGCAGATCAAGGTGATGGAATTGTTGTGGTTCACGATGGAAAATTGAACACGAGGCAAAGATGACAGTATCTCACGTTGCTCACTGCTGGATCTGTCGTAGCTCTGTCAATCCATGCTGTCTATGCATGCCCATGACCTTGCGAGCTCAAGTCGACGCTGCCTATATTGTAAAAGTATAAGAGATGGTCGAGCAGTACACAGCAATCTCGCAAATTTGTAAATAGCTGAGGACATATTCAAAGAACGAAGACGCAAAACGAGACAGCACAAATCTTACCTATAGCCATCGCATCAGACACCATGACCCTTCCACAAGGAACTCTGCGCACTGCGCGCCTCGAGCTACGACCCCTCGGCCCTGAGCACGAGGAACTCACCAGGAAACTGGACTTTGATCCAGATGTCATGAAATACGTTCTGTTCGGTAGAGCGTTGACACTCGACGAGTCGATTGAGACACATAAATGGCTGCTTAATGCGGCAACAATTGTCCCTGGGCTCGGATGCTGGGCCGGCTACGTTGGCGACGACTTTGTTGGCTGGTGGGTTCTCGCGCCATCCCAAAGTAATGCAGGACAAGATGGACCTCCACAATGCAACAGGGAGCGAGCGGAATTTGGCTGGAGACTGTTGCCGAAGTTTTGGAGAAAAGGGTACGCGAAGGAAGGTTCATTCGAGCTGCTGAGACATGCCTTCCAAGACTTGGGCCTGAAGGAAGTGGGTGGAGACACCATGTCAGTCAACGCTGGTTCTCAGGCGACAATGGCATCTTGTGGAATGAAGAAAGTTCGCACATACTATACCAAGTACGATAACCCTCCTCCTGGAATCGAGGATGGTGAAGTGGAATATGTTATCACCAAGGACGAGTGGAAGGCGCAACACGACAAGAACTACGAGTCTCCGAACCATACGCAACCTCTTGTGCAGAGCATGCGTGCACAAGAGACTGTGTAGTTAGGTGCTTTTGGGCCGTCATGATACGGGTATGGTCGGGAAGAGTTTGACAAATCCTAGCAAGGAATAAGCATATGAGTCGGAATGGATCCGGAATGGACAGACAACATGATCCTAGAGAGGCTGGGAACAACCTGCAAACTCGTATCAAATATAGTTACCTCACAATACACAAAGTCACTCTCAAATCACACGTCAGATCGTATGGTGCATAAAGTACGAGTGGGGGGCGTCAGTTGAATTGGCCGACGGGTATATCTCGGGCTTCTTTGTACGGTGTAGCGGGAGGGGCGTAGTGGGGCCGGCCAGGCCCGCTTTAAGGATCTGATTAGCGTTTCGGCCAACAAATTTTCCTTGCAACCATATCTAATCAAATGATCAATCAGATTAGATGCAACCTGAAGGTCTCAGCCCCTTGGCATTGTTGGTGATCTCAGCGATCCCTACCAAAACAACCTCCCAAGCCAACATCCCTCAGGGATATCACCAACCACGGCGCGTAGGGTGGAAATAAAATCTTCCTGAGCATGTGTTCGCTCAAAAGGGGCTAGGTCGTGACTGATCAATTTACTAACTGTAACCCCCACTCGTCTCCCTACCATCCGGTCTCGGGATCATGTCGACCACGAGGTCTCCATGGGCGTAATCTCAGACACTGTCGTGCGCGACGTCTGCGGAGCTAGCCGAACCCGGGAGCCGCATATACTGCTATCATGGTCCTTGCAGCCCTCGATATTTATTTGAGAGCTCTCTCTTGCATACAACTTGCGTTTTTATCTATATCTATTTGAGATCAATGGCAATTCTGGACAAGTCTCACGGCATTATGGATGTTAACACGCCCAACAACACTAAGCTGCCTTCTTCGATTGAGGAGGGACAGACTCCAGCTGACCCTACGAACGAGAAGACCACTACGTCTGGCTCGTTGGAAAAGGTATCCGACTCAGAAGCCCAGGAAGACGAAAAGCCTAGCGAAGATGCGCAGAATGGTGTCAGGAAAATAGAGGCCGTGACTCTGGCTTGGTCGAAGAAATCGCTCGCTGGAGTTCTAATACTGTACGTCCTAGCATTGCCCCAACTTGCCCTTTGCATTACTGATATTCTTTCCTGCCAATAGTATCTGGCTCGTCACCCTGGTCAACAACTTTAAAGCCACCGTTGTTGGCAGCTTAACTCCTTTTGCTACTAGCGATTGGAAGTCTCATTCGCTCTTAACGGTCATTGACATTGTTGCAAGTGCTATGACTGCAGCAGTCTATATCCCTATGGCTAAGCTGTTAGACGTCTGGGGTAGAGCTGAGGGTTTCCTTCTCATGTTGTGCTTGTGCACTCTGGGTCTAATTCTTATGGCTGCATCTAAGAATCTTCCTACCTATTGCGCTGCTCAGGTAAGACAAATGTCAACCTCTCATTAAGGCCTATCCCCCCTGTCAGGAGTTCCAAAGCTAATAAAAATGATAGGTCTTCTACTCTGTCGGCTTCGGAGGCCTCGCTTACAGCTGGAATGTCATTGCCACAGATGTTACGAACTTAAGAAATCGAGGTTTGGCGTTTGCCTTCACCTCTTCCCCGGCCGTGATCACGGCGTTCGCTGGATCAAAAGCTGCTGAAGGCTTCTACAACAATGTTAGCTGGCAATGGGGAATCGGCTGCTGGGCTATCATTTTCCCTTGCGTGGCTTTGCCCTTGTACTGGGTACTAAATCACAATCTTCGCAAAGCCGAAAAACAAGGAATCATTACCCAGGAGAAGAGTGGCCGAACTTTGCCACAACAGGTCTGGTATGTCATCAAGGAGTTCGACTGTAAGTGCCGAAAAATTCCTGTGTTGTAACAAAGTCATAATGCTGACATGCTTTGGAATCAACAGTACCGGGTGTCATCTTATTTGCCAGTGGCCTCATTTTATTCCTGTTGCCATTTACCCTGGCCGCCACCGCACCTAACGGATGGAAGACCGGCTACATTATTGCCATGATCGTAGTAGGCATTGTACTTCTATGTCTTTTCGTTCTCCACCAGACTTACGTGGCTCCGACGCCATTCCTCAAATCTCGTTTCCTCCTTGACCGGACCGTCTTAGGGGCATGCCTCTTGGATGCCACCTACCAGATATCTTACTTTTGCTACGCCAGCTACTTCTCGTCCTTTCTGATGGTTGTCAACAACCTAACGATATCAGAGGCTGGATATGTGTCCAACACCTTCAGCGCTGTTGCATTTGTGTTCCTGTTTATCACCGGTTACATCATCCGCGTCACAGGCCGCTTCAAGTGGATCCTCTGGTTCTGCCTCCCGTTGTATGTCTTCGCATTGGGCCTAATGATTCATTTCCGACAGCCAAACGGATACATTGGTTACATCGTCATGTGCGAGATCTTCTTCTCTGTCTCTGGGGCCATCTTCATTCTCTGCGTCCAGCTGGCCGTTCTAGCCACCGTTGACCATCAATACGTCGCCTCGGTGCTCGCTTTCCTTTTCGTGAGTGGCACCATTGGTGGTGCCATAGGCAGTGCCGTCTCTGGAGCCATCTGGACAAACACGTTCAAGAAGGCCCTTGAGCGGTATCTACCAGAATCTGCCCAGCCAGACTTGCAAGCCATATATGAAAGTTTACCTGTGCAGCTCACCTATAAGGTTGGAACCCCCGAACGACTTGCAATCCAACAAGCCTACGGATATGCGCAGACGAGAATGCTTGCTGCTGGTTGCGCCGTGATGGTCTTGGGCTTTATCGCGGTCGCTATGATTAGAGACATCAATGTCAAGAAGATGTCCCAGACAAAGGGTACCGTGTTCTAAATTCATTGCGATATACTGTACCAAGCGAAGAGTATATTACAGTAATTATAGATATAGTATGTAACGCGAGGGTTGAAGATTTAATTAATCGGTTGATTCCTCTCGTTATGAATAGTATCGAACACCTTCGCATGAAAGCCCTTCGTCCCCGTCGTCGCACTCGTAGGATTGGCTGGAGTTAATTAAATGGGCTACTGCTGGATTGAACCAACCAGACCACTCGGTGGGAATTAGTATTTGTCAAAGCTCCACATCCACCAGCGGATCAGATAAAAATCCCGCAGAATCTGATAACTTTAACTGTTATCAGATTCTGCCAAGCCCCTGGAGCGGAGAAGCGACATCGGAAAGGGCAAAGATGTATGGCGACACTTGACCTGACAACGTTAAGCCGACCATATCCTTAGGTGTAATGGGGCCTACCAGATGTGGATCCGATTCTTCGAGTGGGTGGGGGGAAACTTACGTAGTGCAGCGTCAGCCTCGGGGATAATCTCTGGGCAGCAGGGCACAACTTCCCCATTCGCGACATTTTCACCGTCATCACACTCCGAGCAATTTTCCGACTTCACAAAAGCTACTTCGCTAGTATGCAATTCAGCCGTCAAATGGGTGGCGAGACAACTGCAATTGCGCTTCCCAACTCGGAGCAGTTCTATCTGGACAATGAACGCGGGGAAACATATCTGATCCAGGTGTCGTGGCCACTGCATTGGCAGCATGATCGCACCTCTCACAGCGAGCTGCTTCCCATCATGCAAGTACCCGCTGAAGATAACACAAGATAATTCTCTGACCGAAACTAGATATGTCGTCGACGGGAACGCATTATTCTTGACCGCGACGGAAGCTGCCTGGCGTCGCAAGGCTGCGTCACACTTCGCTGGCGGGGGCATCATTGTCGCCATCGGATATCCTCTGACCAGAAAGCTATACGATGCACGCCGGCGCAGCCTCGACCTAACCCCGCCTACACCAACTCCTGTACCTGGGCACGGAGGTGCAGATGAATTTGTCGATTTCATCGACAAGAAAGTTCGCCCAGCAGTCAAGGCAAGATTCCCACAAACGACTTCCTGGAGGGAAGCTATCTATGGCCATTCATATGGGGGGTTATTCGCCCTGCACGTTTTGTTTACACGCCCGCAGTTATTCGACTGTTATATAGCCAGTAGTCCCTCGATTTGGTGGAGTACTCGGTGCATATTAGACGAAGCAAAGGCGTTCTTGGAGGATAACACTTTAGATGGCCGGTTGCCGTCGCTGATGCTGTTCTATGGCTCTTTCGAGCAAAACCCGCCTCAATGGAATGACGAACCACTCGACCACTATGAAGGGCGAAAGCAAGTCGCCGCCGACTTCAGAATGTGTGACAATATCCTCGACCTCTGTGAGTTGCTGCGAGATTGCAATCGACTACATACGGTCTCGTTGAAGCCGTACGAGGGCGAGGAACATACAAGTGTGATGGCATGCTCAATGAGTCGGAGCTTAACTGTATTCTTTGAAGAATGGCCTCTACCTCGTAAATAGACGGTGGTGATAACTGTGGTGTTAAAGACGTTTTTCGGAATTGGATTGTCTGGGGCATAGGAGATGGTGGCGTTAGTGATATGAAACAGGCTAGCTAAGGTCATAAAGAGCATTAGATATTTCAAAGAAGATAAGACGTTTGTGGGAAGTATAGTGCTGCTAGTTCCAGGAGATATATTGATCTTGCAGCATGCGAGTATCGACACCTTCCTTAAAAACTGCCTTGATCGGAATATTAATACGGATTTCCAAAAATATATATCTTAGACTCGAACCGCAGAATGCTTTAATGAGGCTCGTATGTTTAATAAGCTAGTTGACCGAGCCCCGACGCCCCAGGAAGTTGATTCCTACGCAATCAGCGTCAATTAATAATCTTCCATGTATTGTGAAGTGGTCTCAGGTCACAACCCACCTGCCGAGAGCAACGAAACACTTTACTTTATGAGAAAGCATAGTAGGAGACTTGGAGTTAACGAGCCTACGAGTGTTGAATATGTGACATCCCGGCTCAAGCCGGATGCATTTCCAAAGCCACCACGCAAAGAAATTTCACGAAACTGTCTCGTAGACGCGCCCCCATGTGCCGTTTTTATTTCAATCATATATGAACTATGAAATATAGAACTAGATTATATTAGTTAGGGGCTAAAATTTAACATCTGTTCCGGCCCAACCACCAACTTCTCAGTTGGTGTTCGGCCGGCCTAACCGCCAACTCAAAGTAGCTTTGCACTATAATTTATATGTAAAGATACTTATTCTTAATTTCTTCTCTACTACTTTATAATAGTTAGCTAGTATAATAGCTACATCTATACTCTAATTATAACTACTTTTATATCTTCTAAAAGTAATTAAGTTGTAGCAATAACTATATTTTATTAAGTACTAGATAGTACTTATAAAGGCTACTTTTTACCTACTAATTTACATAGAGAAGAACGTGCACAGTAAGTACCTTGTAAATAAGTAGCATTGCATAGAAATTACACCAAAAAGCTACCTTAGGTTGGTGGTGGTTAGGCCGGCCGAACGACCAACCTGAAAGTTTGGTGGTTCGGCTGGTCAGATATCTTCGGAATAACAACACCCCGATTAATAATCGGACGTCATGGAACCAGTTACGAAACGCCATGATTCAAGAGCTCGCTAAATAGAGAAACTTGTCACAATGCTCTAAGAGAATGACAAATCTCGGGAGTATTACGAGTGATTAATGATCTCTTTTAGATTTTGAGTTTTCTATATCCTTAAAAAGTTAGCTAATGCTAGTGTTTAGGATAAATATACACTAGCCCGGAATCTTGCTTGCACACATATGCTTTATTCATGTTTCGTACATTCCTGTCACGGCTAAAGAATTACACCTCTGTAAGCCACTATTTAAAGCTCCGAGGTTTCCCAGCTAGAAATTTCACAAGTGTTATTTATGCTATAAAATTATATCTTATCGTAGCACTCCTTGTCTGCTTCTACTTCTTGTTAAATCCAGGGAGGGCTATGTCCCAAAAGGCTCTTTTACTTCGAAAGGTGGGCACGCCACTGGCTCTGGGTGATCGCCCGATTCCTCAACCCGGTCAGAATCGGTTGTTGGTCAAGGTTCTCGTCGCTGGGCGTGAGTTTGACAAGTGATCCTGCGGAGGCGCACCGATGCTAACCCTCACCTTCTAGTCAACCCCCATGATCAGAGAACTCGCGACGCCGGCCTCTTCGTCACGAGCCTGCCTTATGTTCTTGCTAGCGATCTAGTCGGTGAAGTCGTGACCGTAGGCAGAGGGGAGCATTCTACGAAATTTGTCGTTGGCGATCATGTCTTTGGGCATACATTCGTCAAGGATGGTGATGCCAATGACTTTAATGGTCTTCAGCAATACGCTCTTGCGGACGCGCGATTCGTTGCCAAAGTGGCGGATACCGGTTTGGCCGATGATGAGGCATCAACAATACCAGTCATCGTGTTGGCTGGGTTCATTGCTCTCTTCTCCAGCTCTGGTCTTGGCCTTCCTCCGCCGTTCTCGCCGGCGGCAGGCTCCTTCGACTTCGCGGCCACCACTCTTCTAGTTGTCGGAGGCGGCTCTAACACTGGAAGGGCTACAATTGAACTGGCAAGGTTGGCAGGAATTGGACGAGTTATTGCAGTTGCCGGGCTTCACAATGAGGCCGAGCTCAAAGCCCGGGGGGCTTCCCATGTGATAGACCGGCACACCGCCGATGCGTTGGAACAAGTCCGCGCTATCACTGGAGATGACCTGATCTATGCGATTGACACGGTGAATACTGGTCAGGAACAGGAGCTTGGCGTTGCTGCACTTTCAAACTCGAAGCGAGGTACACTCATCACGCTCCGTCGAGCTGACGGAGAATTTGATCCTGACCGCATTGGCACGAAGACGGCAGGTTACGAGCGTAGGCTGGTGATGGGCATCTCACCAGTACATCCGGAAGTAACGGTGGGCTTTTGGAGAGAGGTCCCTGCGTGGCTTAAAGATGGGAAGATTAAGCCAAGCAATTACAAGGTTGTGAAAGGTTTGGACGCAGATGCCATAAACGAGGCTCTGGATAGTTACCGGGACGGGAAGGTAGAAAAGACCAATGTCCACCCATGGGAGTAAGGAGTTTGCATGTAGTAAGGCACAAGTTCTCATATTCCCACATCGAGTATGACGTGAATCTGCAGATCCTTGAAGCGGAATTTACTTATCCACACTCTTTCTTCAGTCCTCAGCGACGTGTAAATCATGGGAGTTGCAAAGCTGAGATGATGTTGGAAGTGATTGTGATGACCAGCCACAAATTGATGAGGCTGCCGTTAAGCCCCACCACAGGAGCCCAAGTGCCTTGTCCTTACTCATAGGCACACGCTTGAGGAGCACAAGCATTATGGCGAACGAATAATGAACAAAAATTCCTTCTCAATTGCTATTTTAATGTCTCCGAAGCGCGTCGCGCTCCACAATCAGACGACTTAATCTCCAATTTGGTAACGCAAGACGAATAGAACAATTTGAACTTCATCGAATGTATAGTTTGTTTTCACTGTACTAGACTATCTAACTTGGCATCTTCTAAAGACGTAGTAGCAACTGACAAGAGAAAATCAGGTAGAAAGAGTGATAAAAACCTCATTATTCCTGCTACTTCTGTCCAACGCAGCCTACTGATCATCTGTCAGCCCCACCATCTTCAACGAATCTTTCCAGAGCCGAGCCTCTTTCTCGGGATCATAAGCATGCCCTGCAAACCCTACACCAGTGATCTCGTGATTGTTGTTTCCACGGGTTGTTTTGCCGCACTCAGCAAGATATTCTCCACCCTTCTTGTCCCATTCCTGCCCAATCGCAGCCCACACCGTCGTTGCAGCGCCCTGCTCTGGTGACTTCATCATTTTGTAGGCCTTTTCGTCCGTTTTCAACGTTTCGACCATAGCAGGGTCCATATGCTGCATCAATGCCGTCGCAATCATGCCAGGATGCACACTATTAGCGTGAAGGCCTCGCGATCCGTAGCGCCGCTCGATCTCATTGGTCATGAAGATGTTGGCGGTCTTTGATTGTCCATATGAAACCCAGTCATTATATTCAATTTTCTTAAAATTGTAGTCGCCTGATTCATTAATCGAGGCGACGTGATGGGCAGAAGAAGAGAGATTCACAACTCGAGATGAGAACTCAGCGGTGGTGCTAGCGAGGAGAGCTAGTTTCAAGAGCTCAAAGAGCAGAAAATGGGCGAGGTGGTTAACTCCAAACTGCATTTCAAAGCCGTCTTTCGTGTACTCCAACTTGGGCAGAGCCATGATACCGGCGTTGTTGACAAGGACGTTGACTTGGTTGTTCGACTTCTGGAGAATGGCTTTCGCGGCAGCACGCACACTGCTCAAGGAAGTATTGTCCATCTCAATGAGTTCAATACGCCCTGGTTCGAGGATCCTGTCCAGAGCAGTCTTGGCTTTGTTCAGGTCTCGTGCTGTCAACAATAGTCTTGCTCCAGTCAAAGACAGAGCGCGAGCTGTCTCGATCCCTATTCCAGACGAAGTGCCTGTGATGACGATAACCTTCCCGGCTAGCTTGCCCTCTACTCCTTCGTCCTTGATAATCTGAAGGGCTGTCGGACGAGCGTCTCCCGGGCCACTAGGATTCAAATGAGCTTCTGCGTATCGGGACATCGTGATTGAATAAGGGACCTGGCAGATTCGGTACTAGGTAATGGTTGAATGAAACGTTTCTGACAAGTCTTTAGTTTCAGCTTTCGGGAGCATAGGTGAACTATTTATCTTGCTATTTGTTGCATCAGACCCTTGGAATGGTTCGGAGCTTTTGTCTCTGTCACCAATATTCGGACCATGAAATATCCCAAGTGTAGCGCTATGTTTGGCCCTAATGAACTTACCAGAGGTGACCATCAGCCGCTTGATTTTTAGAGTTTAACATATCCTTATAACAAGGATAACGAATCAAGAGATTAAACTAGCATGGGCAATAGGCTTGGCCTGATATCCTAATAGCGTGACTAGTATGGTGTAGACGTGGCATTTTTGAGTTGCAATACCGCGCGCCAATCCGATCTACAGCCCAAGAAAGTCCGACTGCTTTGAAATGTGGAATATGATTTGTAAACGCGGGACTGGGCACTCCGTCCGTTCAGGAATTGAAGGCATTTCTACCGCGGCTCACTAAGGATCATATGCTGAGTCTGGAATCCACGCTAGCTTAGTTCCCTTGATTTGTGTCGCTCACTATAAGGATATTAGTTGCACATCTCTCCGCCTCCGATTTCGACTACAGCTTAAGAAAGTCCGATTGCTTTGAAATGTGGAATATGATTTGTAAACACGGGAACTAGGCACTACGTCCATTCGGGAAGGGAAGACATTTCCACCACGGTCCACTAAGGATCATATGCTGAGTCTGGAATCCACGCTAGCTTAGTTCCCTTAATTTGTGTCGCTCACTATAAGGATATTAGTTTGCCCATCTCTCCGCCGCCTCCGATTTCGACAATGTTGTGAACACATCACAACCAAATTCAACCTGAAATTACTCAGCCCACATTTCTATAGCGATAATACCGAGATCTTGGCATAATCTGCTGTTCTTCCACTCTCCTCATAGTCCTCTCTTACTTTGACAGGTAACTTTCACCCCCCTCAACCCCCGAATTTACCACTGCAACCTGTTCACGCGAACCGGTGCATCCTTACGCTTCCCTTTAGGATTTGACGCTTCAATTCAGCAAGAGGCGAGCCAAGACAGCAAACAATGGGTTCCTCTAGGACCGCGATTCCCCACTCACAGCGCGTGGCGCTACGCCACTATTATCAGACTACCAACCCAAAGCCATCTCACTCTGCTCTTAAAATATGGTTCAAATTTCATTTCGGCCACGAGATCAGTCAGTCCATTGTCAGCCGAAGCCTAAACGATAGCTTCGCTTATCTTGACATCTATGTTCCAACACGTCAAGTCGTCCCTAAGTTCCGTATGCGAAGCTGCCAATGGCCTTGGATAGATTTGTTGCTCTCCGATTGGCTTCATGTAGTAGAGGGTCTGTCAGGTAGAGTGTCGAACGACGTCATCAAACGCAAGGCCAGGCAGATATGGAACGACTCAGACGAGTCACAGGGTTTAGCGATGCCAAAATTCTCTTCGGGCTGGGTTGCCAAATTTAGGAAAAGACACGAGATGCAGCATCGGCCTCCTCCAGATCGACACCATGCCCTGGCGACACCCGGCCATTTAACTTCTTCGCCATCACATAATGGTTCTGTACAGACACTCGAACAAGCTCCTATTATATTTCCACCCAAGTCAAAGGCAATGACAAGGAATGTTCTCTCTAATAGTACCAGCCCCGACTCTGAATTCAGCACATCGACCACCCTCACCTTCTCCTCTGATCATCTAATTCACCTTATTCAACACAACGTCTTCCGAGCATTAATCTCCAATAAGTCTCTACTTCGTACTGCAGCGATTTTTTTGAAAGCACCACATCCCGCTACACTCGGCAACGAATCCACTACAAGGCTTTGTGGCGGCCTGACAGTCATCCGTCCACTTTCTGACCATAATATGCCTAGTTCACTATACCCAACGCTACTACAGATGAACTGTGTTCACACAAGCTGGATTGATATGTTTCCTTTCCCGAAGTTTCGAGATAATCTCATCAAGAAAGGTGTGGAGTTTGTGCCTGAAAAAATGCGCCAGGACCTCTTCGGTGATATATTTCCAGACTTTGTCACACCGATCCCAGGCGGCAATGAGAGTGCGCTACTATCGACGCTGCCGTCAACCCCTGCAATCAGCGGTGCCAGCAACGATAGGGAGTTTGGAAATCCAGACGATTACACAGCTGGGCGCAGATGTCTGATTACCTGGGGTGACCCGTGGAAAATCGAAAGCTGGGAAGTCACGCCCGGTTTTTTGAAGAGTTGGGGATGGGCATTAGAAGGATGTGATGATTTGATCCAAGCAAGTAATCGATGGCGAGCATTGAGAAATGAGGAGCTCATGACTTCTCCATAATATGTGGATAATTTAGCTACCAAAGTTCCTCAGATATTGCATCCCACTCGATTGAATATCGGCTCGCTATGGGGAGGTGCAAAGCTCGTGAAGAAATGATTATATGTGTGGTCTCAATGTTGACTGTGTAACCAGTTGTCAAAAGTAATCCCAGGCTTCAATCATTAATATTTGTGTCGTGGCTGGTTTCTTGTTGTCAAATACGTCGCAACTTTAAATGCACTAAGACAAGTCAAAGAGGACGGTACTCTGTTATCGATGGTGTGGGTTCTCTAAATGTGTTTTGGGGCGAGAAAACACTATATGCAACAAAAGGAATGTCAAATTAAATCACATTTTCTTCTGCGCAGGATACCTTCGAGAAGTCAATCCGAATTCGTTGCGCCTGTCGCGTCTCAAGAAGAGCCAAGCCATTTCCCTAAGAACTCAATCTGTCCTCTAATATTCTGTTCAAACCAATCCCCAGTATAGATGTCAAAATAACCTGCGCCATCAATATACAAAAGCTGCTTTGGCTCGATGGCCTTTTCGTACGTGGCCATCTGAGATGCCGTGGTGGTGACAAGAATGTCGTTCCCAGGAATGACCATCAACAGCGGAGTCGGCGAGATACGATGCACCATACTCTGTCCTTCAAAAGCTAGCATATTGAGCTGTGTCTGAGCCGTCACAGAATTCTCCCAACGACCACCGCAATCGTACGAACCGCGCACCTGCTCATAAGCATGGACACCGGGAAACATGGCAGTAGTGGTCCCTGACTGCGCTGCTTCCAAGTTCTCCGCAATAAGTGGAACCCTTTTTGGTTCTGATCCTGTAATGATACGAGCGCACTCTTTCAGAATACCCGGGATTCGGTCTTTGAAGGCCAAGGATCGCGTCTCTCCAGACACTGCAGGGCATTGTACGATAGCAGCTTTGTATACTATGCGAGTATCATCATCCACACTGGGGAATGATGTCGCGAAATTGAACGCATCGTAGTAGTCGGCTTGTTGAAGGGGCGGGTTTGACTCTTGCCGCGGTAGTCCATCACTGTCACCCCAATTCCGATTATCATAGAGGAGTACACTGTACCCGCCTTGCTGGAATCGATCTGCGAAATTTGGAAGCCAATAGTGGCGGACACCACCAGGCTATTTGTAACAAACGGACGAGAATTAGCCAATTTCATAAGAAAATTCAATATCTCAATAATTACGGAGTACGCACCCCGTGGGTCATGATCACACACGCCGATTTCTCAACTTGGGGATAACTATCCCCGGAGCATAGTGCTATCACAAGTTTTGAACTCAATGGTTTCACGAGCGAGGACCATTGTTACAGAGATATTGATTGTTCCAGGTGTAAGTCGAAATTGAAGATTGTCGAGTTGGCTATTTGAGAACGACAAATAAAGTAGCAGAGGCGATATTATGATATTGTCCTCCTGTTCTTTTGCAAGCCTAGGTTTAACAATGGACGAGTAATCCGAAAACCATCGAACTTTTGATCACGTTGCTTTAGCCGACCGGGGTGTCCCTCGTGATCCCCGCCCGAGGTTGCTCAAGTGATTAGTGATTAATCTGATGTCACACATAAGACAGCATAAATACCATTTAGAAATGTGAACTACATTAAAAAACGGCAAAAAACATACAACAGTGGGTATTCGCTGGTGGTCACCCACCCAACTACTAATCCACCGATCTCAAGCTTGTGTATGGCAGAGCGGACGGGATGCCCAATTCTCTTGAGTCTATGGTCGTATGTGTCTGTTCTTCGAGTGTCGTTGATTATATAGCGAATATCAAGTATTAGTCGTGGCTGCCCAATTTGCCCTTCGGTGAGTGTAAGTAGGTCGACGACATAATCAGGTATGCGGCTCGGCGCAGAAGAACAGAGCAAGCAAAGTAACGATATGCCACAATGTGCGATATGTTTACTTATAAACATATCTATTACTTATAAACATATCGCACATTGTGGCATATCATTACTTTGCTTGCAAGTAGATGGGATCACTTAGGAGTGTGCAGTATGGCTTGCCTTGATTCAGTATAGAGGAAGTGATTAATTAGGAAAGAGACGCCATCATTCGTATATCCCCATTATGATCCTTATCAGCCCACGCTTTTAGGAAAGTGACCCAAATGAATATTTATTTTCTTTCAAATTTATAAAGATGGATGTACGATAAATAGGTGAGTGCCGCGATTAATTAGTTGTGGAAAATAAATTGGCTTGTTTCGTAGAATTGCAAGACGGGTATGTCTACTTTATGGCCAGAGTTCCTGGTCGATGGCCTAATCCCTCCATAATGTATAACTGATGATACTACTCGTGGACAGTCCTGACAGCTGCTAGCTGCTAGCTTTGACCTCTTCTAAATAAAGGAAAATAAATTGTAGCTAACCTTGTTACCAGTTGCAAGAGTAATTTGTCAGACGATATTTGTCAAAATCCACCTACGCCAAAAGATTGGACTCTAGAAAATATTAAGCTGTGTGTGATATCATCATCTCATTGTAAAGGCTATACTAGAACAATTTAGGTCATTTTTCGCTTTCTTAGCATTACATGTGTACGCATAATTCTTCAGGAATGGTAGGAGGTAGGTCAGCCGATTTTACCAGCTGATTCCCACACACTGGACAGCTATTTGTTTCCGTAGGGGGACAGAACCTACATATGTCGAGATATTCACACTCATAGCGCTCTGCATTTTTCGAGAACCGTCCGAGGCAAATATCACAAAACCGGCTACTCAAATCCTTAGATGGCAATGTAGCCCAAGTTTCTAGGTTTGAATTTTCTGCTTCGCTTGTTTCGTAGAGGAGCGAGTGGATTTCATGCATTCCCCTCTGCTGGGCCACCATGGCCGGCGTAAGTCCCCAGACATCGGAGCAACATTTCTCAACGCCTGGTAAGCTGATTAGGAATTGAATCATGTCTAGATGGCCTCCGCAGACAGCAGCAAATAGTGGTGTTCGTCCAAATCGATCTGGGGTATCTGGTCTCGCTCCAGCTGTTATAAGGAGACTCGCTTCCGATATGTGGCCTTCGGCGCTCGCTATGTGCAAAGGGGTTCGACCAAGGAAATTCAAATCAGGATTATTCCCATGTTTGAGTAAAGCCCTACCAGCCACATCATGGCCACCCTCAGCCTCCACCAAGGGCAACTGTTGTGGTCCAGTCCCAAGAGGTTCCGGATTAGCGCCCCTATCTAAGAGCAGTCTAAGTACCTTCTCATGGCCACTCCATGCAGCCCAGGATAGCGAGGTGTAACCTAATTGATCACTACCATCGATGTTGGCGCTATTGTTCAGGAGCATCGTAACCACCATATCGTTGCCATTCATGGCTGCTAATTGTAATGGCGTTTGTCTCCTGTGGGACTTTGGGTCAATACAGGCACCCCTGTTCAGAAGAAGCTTCACAGTCGATTCTGAGCCATTGAAAGCAGCTAGGCATAATGGAGTCAGGCCGTCGCTGTCTCGTCTAGCCTTAATATTGGCACCACTATCTAACAAATGTTTGGTTTGTATTTCGTAACCCCTTTTTGCAGCTCGATGTAGTGGCGTTTCCCCCTCCGTGTCCTTCGCTTCGGTGTTGGCGCCCCTGCCTAAGAGAATCCTGACTACGCCTTCGTTGTTCACCTGCCAAGGTAGGAAGACCCTAGTGGCTTTATGTAGTGGTGTTTCGCCATTTTTGCCGATAACGTTCGAACTAGTTCAAGGAGCAGTTCAACTATTGTCGGTTGACTACTAAATGCCGCGTGATGTAACGCGCCTTCTCTATATTCACTCGTGCTTTTGAAATTGGCGCCCATACTTAGAAGCAGTTTGACTGTCGTCGTATGCCCTCGTTTTGCGGCTGTAACAAATGGAGTCCTTCCCCAGTTAGACTTAGATTCAATGTTGGCGCCTCTATCCACCAGCAGTGTGAGCACCATATCATGGCCTTTAGATGCAGCAGTATCTAATGGAGTTTCCGAGCTTCCATTCTTGATTTCAATATCAGCATTATTATCTAGGAGAAGGTTGGCAATCGCTCCATGACCCTGCGACGCAGCCGCATGCAATGGTGACATGCCATCCACGCATATTATATCGGTGTGGGCTCCCCTGTCAAGAAGCATCTTGGTTACCATCTCATGGCCGTGGATTACAGCAAAGAATAGGGGTGTGTTATTAATTGAGTCAAGAATATCCACGTTGTTGGGATTTGTTACAAGAAGTTCTTGCATCAAATGCTCGAGATTGAAAAATGCTGCAATGTGCTCTGCCTTTACATCACTCGTTTTTACCCCGCGTGTCTCAATGCCAGTAAATGGTTCAAATCCGCAGCGATCACGATCATATGCGGATATTTTAGCCTGACTCTGAAGAAATTTTAGAGCATTAGATGAAATCTCAGGCCCTTCTCGGAAATGATGTCCCCAATTGTAGGACGCGTAATTGTAGAAGGGGTATTCGCGAGGAATCCCTTCAATCTCAGCTTCGGTTTGGAATCGATCTTCAAACACATCATATGATACGTATGTCAAACAACTATCCGCCATGAGATCGTGAATATTGGGGAACCACGTCTTCTAGGTGTCCTCAAAGTACTTCTAGGTGGTGTAGTGTACGAGCGTCACATTTCTCGTTTGCTCGTCCACAGTAACTAGACTACAGCAATATGAAGTCAACTGTTCGATGTTGGTGATGTTCGTCTCGTCAAATTCGCTCGTTTCAATCTCGACCGCTAGCGCATGTTCCAGCTCTGCGACGGTCAGGGTTCGTCTGGCGTTTAGGATCCAACCGATGGTCTTCTTCGCGAGGTCAGAAGCATTTGCACTCTGGCGATCGATTCTGCTCATAGTCTCATTATACGCATGGTCATAAGCATTAGACTCAGAGCCAGTGCGGAACTGTTCCAGCATCCTTTGAATTCCCTTTTCGTTTACTTAGTCGAGGAGCAGGTCAAAATAGAGCCGAGCAAGGAGGAACCTAATTATATTAGCACTGACTTAGAATGGCACAGATATCGTACATTTCTTTAGCAAATTCGGTAATAGTATCCTTGATGACCAGCTGCAGGTTTGGCCTCTTTCGAATAAATAGCGGGAGATCTCCTAGGCGCATGTCGACATAGTGCTGGATATCTTCAGTGCTTGCCCGTATCTCAAGGGAAGCGACGCCCTCAAAATACACCGCAATCTCCTGATCTAGTCGAGATGTTGCAAGGATTTTGAAACCTTCATCTTGCAGACGGACAAGCCGGCGAATGAATGGGTGACGTACGCTGTGACCACCATCGGAAATCCGGCATTCATCGAGGGCATCGATGATGACAAAAGCTCTTGTGCACGAAGAAAGGACAGATCGTAATTCGCCGAGCACCTCACCCTCGGAAGGACGACTCCCTTTTAACGAGTAGTTTTGATAAAATGATCTAGTACTCTCCGGAATTGAGGTCTTTCGCTGCACGGCTTGTCTTAGAAGGGCAGAATAGAGCTCGACAAGTGCATGCTGCTGCCGATAGTTGCAAAAGAGGTACGCGATTCCGATCTCGTCTTGGTTAGGAAATACCTGCTCTAGGTGATCAATGATGATTGATGAGAGAACTGTCTTTCCGGCCCCAGGAATCCCAGGACAGAAGAGAATCTGCTCTTCGCCGCCGACCCATTGCTGAAACCTCTCCGTTTTCAGCAACCACGTCCCTGTCCCATCCTGGTGAGAATTGAATACTTCGCTTTGCCGTGCCGAAGGGCTGATTGGGCTTAGCCAAGATAGGATCTTCTCACGTTCATGATCTTCTTGCCCCCGGTTGAGTTTTTCGATTCCGTGTCTATCATGTTATTCAAAGACATCAGAGTGAGTGTGGGAAGTAGTCATACTGGTTGGCCTTCCCTACAATGAGATTCAGCATAGAAATATTGGACACGATCCGCGATCGGAAATTGTTGATCTCCGTCTGATCCCATCTGAGTCTCTTCCACGTCTGGCGTACTTTGCCCTTCTAGTCCGGGGTTGAATCGTTCGCGATAACATTGAGTTTGTTCAGCTTGGCTGAAAGCTCCTCGAGAACATTCTGGCAGCCTTGGATGACTTTGTGGACGCCATCTTTCTGCTGGCTATCAAATTCTTTTTCATCGAGGCCGTCGATACGGTGTAGTGTGAATATGAGAGATTCGACTCTGGCATCAGTCAATAATGTAATGAACTAAAGGGTTTGTCTTACTCCTCAGTAATTGCTTTGTACTCTCTGGGAGCCTGCGCAAAGCGGCCTCGCAGGTCGTTTGCGAGTTGTACCAGTAGCACGAAATCCCCCACGCTATAGCCGAAGCTCATGTTGTCAGAGGCGAGGTTACTAGCTAGAACAAATACTAAGAGCTAGATGGTGGTCTCAAAGTGTAAATCAACATACTGGTAATGGCCTCACGTAGTTTTGCATAGTCGGTTCGAATTGTACCTTGATGCAGGTGGGTGGAGCGAGCCCGAAATGTGCCAGCACGGCTATGTGAGGTAGTCGTCGTGACCAGCTTTTCGCTTCGTGCGAGGTTTGAGGTGGCAGCAACGACGTGGTTTAATGTTCGTGATCACCAAAATGCGTGAGTATCTTTTTATAGCAGTTTATATGTAAAGGTGCATAAATTAATTGCCACGTTAAATTAATTCTCACTTCGGTGCTCCCAGCCCCATCCACTCTCACGTCCACTCCTACACCCACTCCTACACCCACTCCTACACCCACTCCTACACCCACACTCACTCCTATTCCCACTTCTACTCCAACTCCTGATAATCATCTTGGGTGCACGTCGGAGGCTAGTACTCAGAATCTAAGGAGTTCTAGAAGAGGATACAGACAATCGAATACAGATGGAAACAACATTAATATCCATTGCCTCTATCTGAAAATGGGCATCGCATCATTCAAGATGCTTCACCCGCTAATTAAACCCTTTAAAAACATCCGTACATACCACATCCAACGTAGAGGCATCGACATTTAAGCAGTAGGCCTCATTCTTGCCGCCTGGGCTCACGACATTGATATCGCTTGCCACAATGCCATTACACACTGTACTTGAACTGCAAGCAAACGTACCAATCTGCGGCTGGTACTTTGTGCTTGTTTTCCCAATGAAATTCTTGAACACGATATCGGTGATTGTAAGAGGGGATGGGTATTCCAGACAGAGGGTAAGATTCTTCTGGCCGTAGCACTGATCGACTTCAATCGCGTAGTCGACGTTGTTGATATACATTGTGTCGTAGGTTATGTTGTTAACCCTTCCTGAACCACCGCCACCTTGGAGATCCCCAGAGAGGGCGGAGGCAGTGTTCGGCCACACCTTGATGCGGGCACCGTCAGAGGCGTCAGTCATAGATATGTTGTAGACATGGACATTTTCGACAATGCTGTAGTATTTTAGTATTGATTTGAGACACGACAATTTGGAGATGCTCACTCAAATTGGCCAACATATTGGCCGAGAGAACCGACGGATATACCGTGGGAGCCCTTGCAGACGAGGTTTTGGATCAGGATGTTGGTGCTGTTTGGTTTAAACGCAACGCAATCTTCACTTGTCATTAGATTGTTTGAGGTGGTCGGAGGGGAGTTTGCTTACCATCACCATTAACGATGTAAGAATTTTGAATCGTGATATCCGTACTCCTGTAGGTGTCCCAGCCATCCGTGTTCTTCGCTGGGTTTGCACTGTTACTTCCTCCTGCAATGTTGATGTTATCAAAAATAACATTGCTAGAATTAGCGACGAAATGATAATACTGTGGCGAATAACGCAGTACCAAATCGCTCAATATCGAGTTCTTAAGACCGTCAACACCGAAGAGGACTGGGCGAAGAGTGTAGATATCCTTGGCATATAAATCATACCAAGCTTGTCCGTTGCCGTCGATAGTTCCGCCACCGTATATGTTGACGTCGTTGCCACCCAGTTTGAAAAACGAGGTTACGTTCTGGAAGACGAATGGGAAAGAGTTGGCTTGCCAGTAGTCGGTGTCATTAGAGAAGAGCCACATTCCTTGGATGTCTGCAATTGGGTTAGTTTGGATGTTCAGAGTATTTTGTTGTGATTCTTACCAAGGTCAATGTGGTTTAAGAAAGTCAAATCCATTGCGGTGCCTATGAAATACTGAACCCCCTCCCTGAAAACAACATGCCCGCCATTGTTGCAGTCATGCAGCGCCTTCATGATATACGGCGTGTCGTCTGTCTTGCCATCCCCGTGGCTCTTCGCGTAGCACACCTTGTGGCGCGCTGCAGGAGATGGAGGTGGCACATGGGGTTTGTGGGGGTGGCACTTGACATTTGGTCGGGACGAGGTGTGATCTGGTCGTTTCTGGCCAGCGTTGCTCTTCCCCCAGTTACTCACAGCCTCAAATGTTGGAGACGCAACTGAGAGCGTCGCCGACGCAATTGTCAGGGCGGTTGCAAGTTGGAATCGCATGTTGGTGACTGTCTTTGCTTATTGGGTTGATATGAGCGAAGCTGCAGAATATCTCTGGGCATCCTGCCAATTTTATAAGCTTTGGGATAATTTGGGCGGTGACGTGCCCCCCAGCCCATGGCTATTTCCCATGCCAGGGGCGCGGTAAAATTGTCCGGATCCGCGTCGACATTGGACGACAGCTGCGAATAACGGAAGCACAACGGAAGCATTCAGGCCCACAAGAGCTACCAACATAGCTCTCAATTGAGGGGAAATACCCCAACTTACGCCCTACCCCGCAGATTTCGAGCCGCTATCAGTGGTCGAGTGATTTACTTCCCGTTGGGCGGGTTAGGATCCCTGCCAAGCAAATCGTGGAAATGTCGCTATTGGTGGAACTTAGGTCGCTGTCCGACCGTACGCATAAATTATCAAGATGCTCATCAGATTTGACGTTTCTAGAAGATTTGCCGAAATTTATGTGTGCACAAAATTGCCATGGAGAAGCCAGGGCACATTTACGCTGTCGACGTAGTCTCACCATACAATCCGCAATTACTGTTAATCTCATCTCATTAGCTAATTTAGCCCATTTTAGCCAATTTTGAGGTTCCGTATTGAGTGTGTTTTACCAACTCTTATTACTCTTATTACTCTCGTTATTTTTATCAATATCTGTCACTACACGCCTTGAAGGTTTCTTTTTGCCAAGATGACTGTCGTTTGGTTCTAATTTAAGGTTAGAGCCATCTGAAAAAAGCACACCACATCTGTTATGCGGGAGATCGCTGATCGGCATTGTCGCAGGTTTATATTAGACTTATGTCTCCTTTACTTCTTTACACATCATATCTGGAAATCACAGAGGCTTTTAGCAAAGGAATATATAACAGGATCGAGTATACTTCGTTAATAATTAAAGCTTTGCTTGGCCTGCTTAATTAGGTTAGACCTACCACTACCTAAATTGAATGCTGTGCCGCCTGGAGATAGGTTCCAAACCTTTTCTAATCGTAGAAGTTCAGCAAAATCACATCCACAAAGTACGGAATGCAATGGTTTGCTATCAATTGCGATCGTGGCTTCATGTCGTAGTCGGGCTTCTTCTCTTGGGCCAGATATCCTTCATCCAATGCTCCAGTCAACCCCCGCGTCGGGGAGGCCGACTAGGATCCCCCGGATGTCCCCGGCAGCCACACCATGTCGACCCAGGCCCCCCTCCGCAGCCGATAGGTATTGAGTTTGGCCCCGAACATGTGTATGAGTACCTCTAATCTACGATTGCCTCATGTGCTAATACTTCACAGCGTCGCAGCATATGCTCATTCCCCCACCAATATCACTATCCTCGCCATGATCAACGGCCGTAATTCAAGTCACGCGGCTTATTTTGAGAACATGATGCTGCTCCGTCTGGCAAACGATAAAAGAGTTATAGCCATGGCCAAAATCAGCAGGGAGAATTTTCCTGTCCCAACTGGGAAAGAAATAGTACTAGCCGTTAAGAATTTGTTGTGGCATTATTTGCGCAACAAATTGCCTGCCATTCCCTTCTTTGGCGGCCCAAAGCATGGTGAGTCGGATGATGGATTCGACGATGAATTATACTATGAATCAGACCATGAATCAGCATCATGGATTTGGATGCCATGGATTTGGATGCGCTCTATCCTCAGCGGGGTTGGGGATGACATAGAAGATGCACTTATCTTCGCCCTCGACAAATTCATGGAGGTTGCCGGACTTATCACGCTCAATGAAGTTCTTCGGCGTAAAGCCAAATCGCTAACGGACAACGCCATCAGAGAAAGCTTCACCCCCGTCATCCAAGAGCTCCTAGACAGCGCCCTGAAGAACCATAACGTCACCATCGACTTCGCCCTCCTCAGTCTCCCTGAATACTTCCCCCAGAAACACGAATACATCCCAATCAATGCCTGCTTCTCTCTCGGGGTCAAGTCAGCCCATGCTATCATCCCTAAACCCCTTGCCGCACTTGAAAGCGTGGCCACTAAGCCAGAGGCACGTATCCTCCTCCTCGATCAAGGCCACCACCACATGAGTGTCCAGGTGGTTCACTACCGTCGCAGTGCCCCCACGCCGTTTGACGCATTCCGGGGTGAGGCGTTGGAGAAGACTCTTTTCGCACGGGTGACGGCGAAGGGAGCACTGCACGATCAGTTTATGTTGAAAGATAAGTTCAACATCGTACGGGATGGGTGGAAAGTTCATAACGAAATTGAGCGAGCGAGGATCTTGATTAAAGATAATATCTTAGATTGCGTTAGTAAGGATAGGGCAGACGAGGATTGTGAGGAGGATCGCCACCACAATGAGTGGCCGCTCGATCTCAAAAATTGGTGGACCATCATCGAAGATTTCGGGCCCAGCTCCATCCCAACAGTCGTTTTAGAATGGGAGGATGTGAAAGCCAGCGAGGACGAATACGTAGAGAGATTAAGCAACAGTCTCGAGAACTTCCTAAGGGCTTCACGAAGTTAGTATCACGGTCCCATTAATGCTCCTAGTTCCGAGACTAATGCCTTACAGAAGTCCGCCTGGACAAAGAGAATGGTGGGTTGAGCGATTTCGGACCGCCGCAAGAAGTCGACACTGTTGTCATCGTGACAGACCAGCCCCATGGAGCTCTGCTTAGACGCGCAGCTAAGCTCACTGTTGGAGATGGAGTGCGGATCTACGGGGGTAGGATTACAGATTTCTCCATGGCTGCTGAAGGGGCGGCGATTCTCGCACTCAAGCGAAGACGGCGTTGGGATGATTTGCAGGAGTACGAGGAGGGTTTGACATTAGATCCGCCGGTGTGCGACGTGCATGTATGATATACTTAATGAAATAGACTTTGCTACTACCCAATACTTCTCGCCCTTATATGCGAGAGTAATTTGTGGCTACTCGAGGGGAAGGCTGTAGACTGGCTCATGAAGCGCCAACCGATCTTCAAACAGGATATACAATAGATAGAAGAACTAGAACAATAGATGGGCCCATTAATTGATTCCACATAGTCTCGCTTCCAGCAGAATATTGACCTTCGTAGTGTTCAGTTGATATAGAAAACAATGCGAATAGGAAGTGGTTTTACTTCAGGATTAATGGGATTGATGTTGGATTCCTGTCGACAATTTCACGCCATGGGTATCTTTCGATGGAGCCAGAGAGTAGTCAATATTATTAATAGAGAGTAATCAAATCACAACACAGTGAGTAACACCAGGGCCCAATTTTTACACTAAATACAGCTATCATAGAGCCTTCATATACAAACGCCGCCTATATAATCCCCGCTATACCCTTGCTTACTTCTCTACACATAAAAGTCGCGAGAAAATAGAAATCAAGATTTAATGGTCGTACCCAGCGCCGCGCTGCCACGGACTACTATAAACCGTTAGCATCAGTGACCGGACAAGAGAGGAAACAAATGCAAAACTCACCTCGGGGTATTCTGATCCCTCACCCCCCCAAGCGGACTCGCATTGTTCGCACGGCTATAACCCCCCTGGCTCGAGGCCAGAGACGTTCCACTCCCCCTCGCCCCAGCTCTTCCCATAAACTGTGGCGTTGGTGACGGACCCATGCGCGTACTAGCTGCGAGAGGCACATCACTATTGTGCCTCGACTCTGCCGCCAACGACCCCTGATATACGCGCTTCTCATCAAATGGGCTCCCACGGCCGTCGTAGGAGTTCGCCGTTGATGGAGGGAGGCCGATGTTTGCAGGGTGGTGACGGATCGAGTCCGATTCAAAGGAGTCGTCGTCGAGGTCGAGTCCGGGCTTGAAGCCGCCCTTCATCTCGCCGCGGGCCGTGGCACCGAGGGCATCAAGCTCCGTCGACAGTGCGGTTTGGGACTTGATGAAAGATGCGCGGTCGTCAGACATGGTTTGGTAGCGTGTGTCTGGGTTCTTGCGCGTGGAGGCGAGGATGGTGGAGACGATGACGAGGACGAGGAGGACAAAGGCGAAGGCAGCGTTGACAACGAAGAAAACGACGCCGATGACACCTGTAACGATGGCAGGCTGACCGAAGATGTCTGAGAAGAAGATCAAGCAGACTGCGTTGAAGAGGTTAATGGAGCAGATCGAGATGTTGACCGTGTTAGTGCTCTTGTCCATCCAAGGCTTGAGGACGCTCGCGGCGACAAGCACGCCGGCTTCGATGATTAGAAGACCGATGGCTTGCGCACTGCCGCTGCGCTGGCCAAGCGCAATGAACATGCCTTTAACGAGGATGTAAACCAGGGTTGGTATGATGTAGTAGTATGCCGTTGCGCGGAACTGGATGTATAGGAAGCCCCATCTGTTCAGCGACGTTGGGTCGGAGTAGAGCATGTACGCGGGGTTGTTGTGCATAGCTTTCGAGCGGCGCCCGATCAGGACCACCTTGGAAGCTGCCCAGGCCAGAATACCTGTCATCCCGAAGAAGAAGATGACGGCTAGGGTGACCTCAGCAGGCGAATCGGCCTTGGTGAATTCCCAGAGACAGAGGATCGTCATCTGCGGATATCCAATGAGGACCATGCGGTACATAATCCCCTTTAGGACGACCTTCCAGCCATTGCGGAAGTCCTCGAACTTGTCGCTCTTCATCCACTTAGACTTGACAGCAAGCTCACAGAAGCCCTTAAAGGCCACAACGCCTAGGGTCGTGGCAGCTAGGAAGAAGCAGAAGAACATGAGACCAGTAAGAAACACATTTGTCGCCTCCATACCAGCGCGGAACGCCACCCGGTCAATGCCCCTGACAGTGTAAGTCCCAGTAATGGGGTTAGCGACATTCTGGTTAGTTGCTCGCTTTAAGATGGAAACGCCGCTGGAGTTCTCCTCTGCAGCCAACGTCAGTGAGCGCCTCAAGACGTGGACAGACGTTGTCGTGAGGGAGTTGAGGATCGTAGCTGGCGTTCCTCCAGTCGACTTCTGGTACCACGACGCAATACGCTGCATGAATTCCACGCCGATGATGCCCATGGTCCACTGGAAGTTCTGGGTCCACGACTGAGCCATTGGCGGGAGTGGGACCGATGACATTCCGACTATAGCAATGGCCTGGAAGTAACCGAAGAGCGAGAGTGCATATGCGGCAATGTGCGCAGCGGTGTTGGAGTGGCCCAATCCTGCAATCACAGCCGATATCACGAGAGCCAAACCAGCAACACCAGCAGTGGCCCAGCTGACACCGTTCTGATCAACCGTTTTACCATTCGATAGTTGCGCCTCGACGCAGGCCGAGATCACGCCGGGGTTTGTTTTCGACTCAAAGTTGATCTTGACGGTCGCGTCAAGATCGGGCACGGTGTACGCGATAAACGGGACATTCTTCACAACATCCTCACTAACGGTGTAATGTGTAGTGAAGGGCATCGGGCCGGGTTGCATCGTGCACAAGCCAATCAGCTCCTTGGTGGTGCATGGGTCGATGGAGGTTTTTATAATGACATAGCCGTACGCGGCCACCTCGATCACGAGGGTGAAGTTTCCGGTGAGCGTGGAGGTGCCGTCCACGTCGAAAGCGATGGTGCGGTTGTCGGGCGTGAAGGCGACATTGAACAGCTTGGCTGTGAAGTTCGAGTTGTCGATGCATTCGCTGAGGGATGTGGATGCGAGGAGCCGCTCCGCCGATGCCGTGCTGGCGATGAAGGAGATGAGGGCGATGAGGGTGGTGAGTGGGGAGAGCTTTGCGAAGCGCATGATGGGCGATTCTGTCGGGGCAAACGAGTGTGAGCAATAGTTGCTGGTTGAATGTTGTTGGTAGTCGGCAAGACTCGAGAAGTCGGGTCAACAAGACGTCGTTGTTGTCGCCGTCGTTGTCGCCGTCGCCGTTGCCGTCGCTGTCGTGAAGATAAGTCTCTTTATGCGCACTTGACTACCATAGTAGCTTCTTCATTCCTTGGCTACTCCTTGCATCGTTTGTTCGGGCTTCTTCGTGATTGTTGTATTGTATGGATGATGATGATGATGATGATGGATTTAAAGAAGACTCCTTGGCGATGGACTACCGTCTTCCCTCCATGTCCGCAAATACATGTGTATAGTGTGGAGTAATACTTGTAGTGCAGTCAGTGAACATCCGCATACGCAACGCTGACTGCGCCCCAATAATCCTTCTCCGGCTTTAGCGGATGTGCCCTGTATTGACCCTGTATCGGCCCTGTATTTCTGGCTTCCGTGTGGCTAGATCCAAGTTTAGCAGTCTGGATCAGAGCGGGGTGTGGTTCGTATTGGCGCTTGGCGCAATTTTAGCATTTTAGCTGGACCCTATGAAGGATCGGCCTTCTGACAGGGAGGGGAAAGGATGTCAGCAGGGGTCACGTGCGATGAACGAGCATAAATATAGCACGTGACCTCATATTATTGTTGTTCTTGTGATATGGTCACATGACCACTCACCACTTCACCACAATTTTATAAATAGAGGGCGTGAGATGAGATGTAAGTGTGCAAGCATATCTTTAATTATAAGAGCTTTACTACAGTATACTACAGTGTATAGCACCGATTTATAATAACCAATTCACTGACCTAGTCCTCCCTTACTCAACTACATCCAAGGTATTGATAACATATCCCTGAAACTTCCTGGCCGAAACCTTGCTCTCAAAGAGAATATCCAATTCCATGTACGTCCTGCCCTTGGTCTCAGGCAACCTGAAATACGCCCACACGAGGCAACACAAGCTCATTGACGCAGCCGGGAACGCAGCAATGCCTTTGAGATTTCCCTGCTTTGGATTGAGCATGTACGGTGCCACAACCGCGCTGATAATAACCATTATATAGCAACTGTTTCGCGCCAATCCGAGAGTCTTGCTGCGCAGGCGACTCGACGATATTTCACTCGCGATGACGAATGGGATTGGCCCAACGCTAAGGCCGTAGGTTCCAAACCAGACGAGCAGGAGGACACACTGCGCCCATGCAATGCTGCCTGTGCTTGGTGCGAGAGCGAGGAATCCCACGATCCACATGATCACGGTCATTACTGCGAGGCCGCAGAGGAAGATCTTTCGTCGTCCGATGTAGGCTTGCAGGAACCAAGAGATGGCTGTCCCGACAAAGGCGATGCTATAGGTGCCTAGCGCGAGCTTATACGAGTCGCCTGGCGACAGGCCGGCAAGTGTGAAGAAGTAAGTGATGTAGGCCTGTATGGCGAAACCAGAGAAGACCTGTGTGGTCCAGGCTAGGCAGGCGATCTCTGTGCGGCGGAAATCCGTGCCCTTGAAGCAGTCGAGGTAACTGCTACCGGCGCTCACTTCCTTTTCGTGTTGGTTGGTATAGATGATCATGTCCAGATTCCGTTTGACATGGATATTATCTTCATCGTTGAATTCAGACAGGCGTGATAGAGCGTGTTCGGCGTCTTTGAAACGTCCCTGGCGTACTAGCCACCAAGGAGAGTCAGGCGCAAACCAGAGGATGAAGAAGAGTGGAACAGGCCAGACCCATTGCACGGCAAAGGGGATCCTGTACGACCATTCCGTGGGGTTTGATATCAAGCCATCAAGGACACCGGCTGCGATTATATGGCCAATGACCCAGCAGAGGTTAACGAATGTGGTGAGGTAGCCCCGAAGAACCGTGGGGCAGACTTCTGCAGCATACGACGGCGCGAGGATGCCAAAGAAGCCCCATGGGAGTCCGCACAAGACTTCACCCACGAAGAGGACCTCGATGTTTGGCGCGAAGAAAGTGATGAAGATAAAGGCCGTCATTAGCGCATACGAGGCGAGCAACAATTTCTTGTGTCCAAATCTATCGACCAAGATTCCGTTGGCGAAGATGCCAATCATGATACCGATGTTCGCGCCTGCGGTGAGGCCCACCTGCCAGGGCGCGGCAATGGAATATTTGCCGTTTGGGAGTTGTTCGCCGTACTTCTTCTGAAAGGTTGGATAGGCGTAGAAGGAGCCGATGATCTGGATGTCGTAGCTCTCCATGACTGTGGCCATGGACACAATGACGGACCAGGCCACGGCTTTTCGATAGATTTTCATGGCCTGCCAAAAGGTCAGATCGTGCTCGGCCTCAGTGGCAAGGCGTGCATTTTCGCCCACGACCTTGCTAGAGGACCCGAGTGCTGCGTCTCCATGGTCCGTTAGGACTTCCGTCTTCTCCTTTGTGGTGTCCATATCTGCTGCCCGCTCCAAGCGCTTGTTTTTTTTTAAAAATAGAGGGGGAACCGCATGTTAATTAAGCTTCGAGATTTCTTAGACAGCCGCGCAAGCTGTCAAACGTCAACATGATCAATATCAAACTAGTCCATGGCGCCATATGGAGGATTCTCACCCAGCCATGTGGAAACAGATACTGAACTCACCAGCAGGTTACATTAACATTGCTTCTGTGCCGCAAATGTAACCATACTATATAGGGGCTCGTAGGTCAATTAGGCATTTCTACTCTCACCACCAATAACAGATCAACCATCTATCTCAATCCAGCAACAGAGTTGCGGCTCGACGAATCAATCCAGATGCTGCACAGAGGGCCCCACAGTTGCTGTGGCCGTCGGCTATCGGCTCGCGTCGCCTTGCGACTCCGGGGTGCATCCCAGCCGATTTCCGCAATAACATCATCCGACGTTGTGGGTGATATCAGTGTGTCCCCATTATTTTTTACCACACAAACCCACAACTTGTATTTAGTTTTTATAAATCACATCTCGTAACTACTTACTCTTTAACTTTAATATTTCGGATAAACAGTGTTTTCACTTTGAATGCCACAACCGGGAAAGGGGAATATGAAATTTTAGGGTGGAAGGCGTCTTATTCTAAGATTCATACCTATATTACATGCCCCACAAAATATTTACTTATGGAGTAGTAGTATAGTAATTAACATCACACAATAAACTCCTGTAACTTTTCTTTTTGATTCAGCTCCTACAGCTCTTATCATTTCACTGTTTCGTGGTTACTGTGTCGTTCGTTGCAAAGTTCCAACCCGTATCATGTGGGCTTTGATAGTTTAGGCTAGCAACGTCAAAAGCAACATCAAAAGCAACATCAACAGCAACGTGGTTACGGTTATGGAACCTGGACACCCCCGCTCTAGATAGCCTTTTTTGGCGCTAGTATGCTGGTGCTATAATAGTGCAACTTACCCGACTGCGCCGGGCTGTCATATATCGCATAGGGTTCTCCCCGTCAAGGTTGTACTTACAGTTTAGTATAGTACGTGTGCTGCCTATCATTTTCGTCCTCTACATTACGTGTGCTGCCTATCATTTTCGTCCTCTACATTGACCTATACAGCCAAGCCCAACCTCAAGATGGCGACCCGTCCCAACATTCTTTTTATCATGGCCGATGACCATGCGTCAAAGGCAATAGGATGCTATGGCGCGAACATTAACAGCACTCCTAATATGGACCGCATTGCTGAAGAAGGAATGCGGTTCAACCACTGCTATGTCACCAACTCGATCTGCACGCCAAGCAGAGCTTCAATTTTAACTGGCACCTACAACCACGTCAATGGCGTCGTCACCCTTGCAAGCAAGATAAACAAGCACATACCTAATGTCGCCAAGCACTTACGCACGGGCGGATATCAAACTGCTATGATCGGAAAATGGCATCTGGGTGAAGGAAGTGATCATGAGCCTACTGGATTTGACTTCTGGTCGGTTGTGTCTGGGCAGGGCGCGTATCACGATCCGGAGATGATTGAGATGGGCGAGACGCGGTATGAGAAAGGATACGCGACAGACATCATTACAGACAAGTCTCTGGACTGGCTGAAAAGCCGTGATCAAGACAAGCCGTTTTTCTTAATGTGCCACCACAAAGCACCACATCGGTCTTGGGAGTGTGATCCAAAACACGCAGACCTCTACACGGAAGACGTCAAGGTCCCGGAAACTTTTGATGATGACTACAAGAATCGCGCAAAAGCAGCAGCCGAGGCCAAGATCAGGGTAGACACTGATCTAACGTACTTTGATCTTGGGCTGGCTCAGCCTGATGGAGGATCTGAGGTTGGCGAATTGATCAGCCTTACATCTACGTTAAGAAAGATCCCAAACCCTGAGGATGTGACAAAATTACGCCTCATTGATAAGCAGAGCGGTGAGGTGTTCACGTTTAAGACGAACGCTGAGCTTCGGCATTTCAAATATCAGCGTTATATCAAGCGCTACCTACGCACCATTGCCTCGATAGATGATAACGTTGGGAGGATGTTGAAGTACCTTGACGATGAAAACCTGACAAATGACACCGTCGTCATTTATACATCCGACCAAGGCTTTTTCCTTGGAGATCACGGCTGGTTCGACAAGAGATTCATGTACGAAGAATCTTTCCAGATGCCATTCATGATTCGATATCCACGAGAGATCGCCAAGGGCAGCGTATGCGACGACATTGTCTGCAACGTCGATTTCGCCTCCACATTCCTAGATCTGGCCGAGCTGCACAAGCCATCTTACATGCAGGGCCGCTCGTTCCGTAAGATATTGAACGGTAACACGCCAGACGATTGGCAACAGATCGCTTATCACCGCTACTGGATGCACAGAGATGCTGAGCATAACGCGTATGCGCATTATGGCATTCGTGATCAACAGTATAAGCTGATATACTGGTATAATGAAGGTTATGACCTTCCTGGTACGTCTGCTGGAGGACAGCCAAGAGAGTGGGAGCTTTTCGATTGTGAGAAGGATCCTCTGGAACTGTTTAACGTCTTTGGACAATCTCAGTATACGGAGGTTGCCAAGAGGATGATTGCTCAATTAGACGATAAGATGAGGGAGATTGGGGATGAACCGGAGCATATACCTTGAAAAATAGTTTACAGACGATGCGGAGGGGCGGTGTAGCAATAATATGCTATTTTGTAGTAGACCTTTGACGCTGGTGTAAATAGAGTAGCTTCACAAAATATATTATACAACCAACATTTTTATAATATATATATTTGAAATCCCTAGGAAAATGAAAGAGTCCCAGCAGCAGCACAGTCACAATTCGAAAGGATAAAACGGCCGAGTACGAATGCATAAATAACAAGATCTGTATGAACTTGGGAGGCCGCATTATTCACGCTTGATATCCCATTTTTGTCAAACTGACCCGGGGAAGAGGTTGAGACTAGAAGTATGGATGATCCGACTGAGCTGAGCGGATTGATCCTAGATCAAGACTACGCTACTCTTGTTTTGTGAGGTTGAACTGACCATGCAACGTTACTTATCCGAATCGCGTAATTTGGGGTGTTCTCTGCTTTTTCCTAATTTGGATTCAAACAGCCATACGATCGGCGGGCTTGGTAGAGTTGGCAATTATCCTAACTGGGAGATGTCCATAGCATTTGGAGATAAGTTGAGCCGCTCTACCCATTTTTAAACAGTCATTGATTTTTATGTTCATATTTCAAATCATTACATACATGTTTCACCATGAAGATATTTGCTTTATTATCACTCGTCTCTCGGGTGACAGCAATATGGCCAGCCCCTCAATCTTTCTCTAACGGAAGTTCCGCTGTTTGGCTTGCGGAGGACTTCCTGGTCACATACAATAATCATAATGTAATGTTCTTGTGAGGGTGTATTTCAACTATCAAGCCGTCTTATTTTCAATGAAGAAACTGATAATTGCGTTCTACTGCAGCTTCACAAACGCACAGAAGAGACAAGATCAACAAGAATATCCAGCTTAGAAATTGTCCAGGCGGCCGTAGACAGGGCTCGAAAGTCAATATTCACAGAAAGCTTTGTCCCTTGGAAGTTCTACCCGCGTAATGAGATTGATAAATTCGAACCACCTGCCAACGGTAAATCAAAAACATATATACGGCAACTCGAGATAACTCAAACCACACCTGACAATTCGGCAACATTCAAGCCTCTCGCGGGACAAGTTGACGAAACTTATAACTTAACAATAGGAGCAGATGGAGTAGCATCCATTACCGCAGTATCCTCAACTGGCGTCCTCCATGCTCTTGAGACTTTCAAACAACTGTTTTACTTACACTCGGTTAGTGGTACGGCTGGAGTGTATTGCAACCTCGCCCCGGTCAATATCAGAGATGGCCCAAAGTTTGGCCATCGGGGTGTGAACTTGGATGTTGCTAGAAATTGGTTCCCAAAGGAGACCATCCTTCGAACCATTGACGCCCTTTCCTGGAACAAGTTCAATCGCTTCCACATCCACATGACAGATGCACAGTCTTGGCCCATAGATATCCCTGCATTGCCAGAGTTGTCAAAAAAAGGCGCGTACCAGACTGGATTATCCTATACTCCTCAAGATATCGAGGATATCCAAGTCTACGGCATCTATCGTGGTGTTGAAGTCATCATAGAGATAGATATACCAGGCCATACAACAGCTATTGGGTTTTCGCATCCAGAGCTCATTACTGCCTTCCGGGAAAAGCTATGGCACAATTACTGCGGCGAGCCACCTTGTGGACAGTTAAAACTTAACTCGACCGCCGTATACGACTTTATCACTCAACTATTCGACGATCTTTTGCCCAGAGTTTCTCCTTATTCGGCATACTTCCACACTGGCGGCGACGAAATCGACGCTCGAGACTATGTTCTGGATGAGACCGTGAAGTCCAACGATACCGCAGTATTAACCCCGTTGATTCAAAAGTTCATTGATCACAGTCATGACCTAGTCAGGAAAGCCGGCCTCGCACCAATTGTTTGGGAGGAGATGCTTCTCGACTGGAACCTCAAGCTCGGTGATGATGTCGTGGTTCAGACCTGGATCAATAGTGCATCTCTCGACAAGGTAACCGCGCGTGGACATAAAGCTCTCTTCGGCAGTAACGACTTCTGGGTCAGTAACCCCCAAGCCTCCTCAAATAATTTGCGGGTCACTAACAAGCGACAGTACCTTGCCTGTGGTCACGGACAGTGGTTCAACTTCAACGACGATACCTTCGCTGCCCACTACCCATTCAACGACTTCTGCTCTCCGCTTAAGAACTGGCGTCTAATGTACTCGTACGACCCAACCGCCAACCTATCTGCCAAACAGGCTGCGTTGGTACTTGGAGGCGAGGTCCACCTCTTCACCGAGCGGTCTGACCCGTCAAACTTGGATGCGATAATGTGGCCACGCACAGGTGCGGCAGGAGAAGTGATGTGGAGCGGGCGTCAAGATTCGAGCGGGAAGAATAGGGGACAGGTTGACGCAGCACGGAGGTTGTCTGATATGAGAGAGAGGATGGTAATAAGGGGGGTTAAGTGTGAACCAATTCAGATGGCATACTGCACACAATACGATGGTGACTGCACCTGGTAAGGGGCCTGGCTCTAGTTGTTAACAGGTGGGACGGGGAGGGGCAGACAAGTTATTAGGGGGCATACTACATTTACAGGACATATAGCCATGAATGAACGGAAAATGGGCACTCTGGCTGTCTAGTTTTCTATGAAGACCAGTATCGTTTGTATGGGTGTGAAATATGCATATATATTATCCCAGCAATCTATATATTTTTATAGATGGCTTAGCTCATGAGTCTCTTCACCTGCTTACTCGTAGAATACGAGACACCTAACCTCAATACTCTGTCTCCCCGGGGCCTCTTTCGGCGTCTGCGGATCTATAAACGCCGTATGCCCCGAGCCATGCGCAATTCCCCCTCTCCCAGTCATCAGCTCGCTCTCTGAATCAAAGCACTTGATAAACATAGCCATGTCGGGCGTCATATCCTTGAAGTAATGGAACCGGTGCTTCTCGTTCGGTGCTATGACATACTGCTCGCCCGTGACCTCGTACCCCTCTGTCGACGCCGCGGAGCTCGGATCCGCGAGGACTTCGCCCGTTTGGCTCGCGCCTTTGGGGTACAGGAGGTCCACCTTGACGAAGTCGCTAGGGTCAATGCTGCGCCCGTCGATGACGGCGAGGGGGAAGTCCGACGCGGGGTGCTGGATTGGTCGCCAGACGTTTATAATTTGGTACCGACCCTTGAGGAGTCCCTCGATTTCGTCTTCTGGGGCATGACGACGCACTCTGACCTCAGCTGCGGCGGGGGTCTGGTCTATATGGACTAGTTGGACTGGTTGTCGCGGAGAGGCCTTCGCCCTTCGTCGTATCGTGTGATCAAATATGACCACCTTTTTCACGCCCGGAAGCTTCTGGCGAACTAGAGCCTCAACTTCACCGTAATACCCCTCTTTCACTTGCTTATCATCTGTAAAGGACGTTTCTTTCGCTGGGGCAGTGTACACAGCAAAGCCACAATTATCGGTAGTGAACTCTTTCTCATGGCCAGTTAAGTCATGGACTGGACGGCTATAATCTTTTAGCCGGTAGGAATTGCCAGCTCCATCAACCTTCGTCCAAGGTTTCTTAAAGGGTTCGGTGGCGTGTGGATCGTATGAAGTTGGATCAATATATTTGAATGACGCAGTAGTCATCGTAGCGGTTAGGTAGCTGACAGTGCTGGTATGAACGAAAGATATAGGAATCCCTTGCTTCAAAACTAAAGCTCTCACTTGCTTTCTTAGAAGTGGGATATCGGTGACGAGACAACGAAATGCTTGAAATGTCATGGTACTATTTTGGCGGAATGAGGGGTCGTTGAAGCTTACAAATTAAGCTACTTACATGGCCCACTAAGCCAAGAAGTTAGCGATGCCACCCTCACCACATCCCTTAACCGCAACAACGCATTGAGCTATTCTCTCTCGAAGCTGCCCCTTCCCGTCTCTTTGATTAGGTTACTCTGATTGTGGTAGTAAGAGCAGGGATGGAGGATTGCTGCGATGATGAAATAATTCTAATATGTTTTTGAGCACGTGACAGGCGCTGTTCATGAGCAGTGATTATACGATTGGGTTTGATGATTGATGTATTTATATATCTATATCTTATAAGAATTGTAGTTTATAAAACCCATAATAGTAACATGCTGAATCGGTAAGGCCTTCAACATCTATATGTGAAAAGCTGTCCACAACGACCGTTTCTCAACGTCTCTAGTATACCGCGTAAACATCTATATGATAAACCACATATCCCCTGTACTCCCCTAATTTGCCGAGTTTGATGGCTGGGACTGTTTATTGCCGACAAAGCTGTTCTGTCGACTCGCCACATAGCTGTTCGGCCGGCTCGCCACGTAGCTGTTCTGACGACTCCCCATACCCTGTCGAACCCTAACACTCTGCTGAGATCGCGCGAAAGAATTAGCCCTCGAGTGTGTAGGCATTCTTGAAAGGCGATGGCCGCCGGTAGCCATTTCTTCACGCGCACTAGAGAGTTGTTGCGCGAAGGGTGAGCGCTTGCGTAGCTGAGGTCCACGGAGATAAATGACGTAGACGGCAACAACAAGGACGCAAGAAATGCAGAAGAGGATGGTGAAAGCGTATGGAAGGTGATTTTTCCCACCGATATCTGCAGTTGTTGTTAGCTTGGAATCTGGATGGGTTAAAATACGACAACTTACTTTGGAAAAATGGAGTCGCAGGAATAGTAAGGACACCAGCGAGGAAGTCACGCGACCATCCATTACCACCCGTCGCAGAAGCTGAATATGGTCCGTAGGCACAGACCATATAATCGATTGTTGCCATGTAAATACTATAGTTGGCGATTCCAACAATAGCTGCTGCAATACAGGTGCCGATCCAGTGGATAGGTGGTCCGGTCGAAGTCCATCCGAAGATTATTAGTCCTATTGGCAGGCATGGAGCAGTAAATAGAAGCCACCAGAGACGTGATTCGTATTGGGCCTTCTCGTCGTGTGGTTTCTCCTTCCGTTCCTTGATATTGCGCCTAATGGCGGGAATAAAAGAGGCCCACGCGATAAAATATCCGACCAGAAGTGGGATGAAGGCGAGGCCGACCTGGTACGTGTTGAAGCCCCATTGCTTGTAAACGAGTCCATATGACTGGACAAACATGAAGATGAGGGCATCGCTGAAGCCACTGAGGAGTGATAGTGTGAGAACGATTGGCTCTGTTAAGAACATCTTGAAAGGCCGAATCCAAGTGGCTAAGATTTCCCGAGCAGAAAACCGTTCCCTGAATGGAACAAGCTCGTTGGGGCCATAGACATTGGGACTTGTGCCGTCCTTGCGCCGCCTTTTAGCGATCTTATCCATCATGACTGTAGTTCTAGTCTCCGGGACGGTAAGTAAGTGAAGAAGCTGGACAGCAACACCAAAAATGAGTTGGATCCAGATATTCCACCTCCAGGCACAATATTGCTCGACAAAACCGCCAACAACAGGACCAAGGACGGAACCTCCCACCGACGAAAAGACAATGAAGGCGACGGCATATTGTTGCCTGTCGGCTTCAAACATATCGGCAATCATCCCCAACGTGACCGAGCCACCAGCGGATGAGAGACCGCCGAGCGCACGACCAACTAAAACAGTTGCAAAGTTCGGTGCAAGAGCAACCGGAATTTGCCAAATATTGACCAGAAACAAACTTGCTTGAAGGATTGGCTTGCGACCCAGTTCCTCACTCCACGGTGCCCAGAGTTCGCAGCCAAAAGCGTAGGTGATGAGGAAGATTGCCGCTCCAGCACGGGCAGCTTGATCGCTAACACCGAACTCCGCACCTATGCCACCGATGGCATTGGAGTATAAACTAGTGTTGAAGTTCATTGACACTTGGACAATGAAAATAACGCTTAATATCCACCACTTCTTCGCCGAGGTAAATGAGAACCCAAGTTCATCGTAGCAGTCCTCCTCGGTGATCTCTTGCTGTACGTTTGTTCCGGTCTTTTCGATTACACGAGTTTCCTCGAGGCCATGAATGGGAAAGCGCGGGCGGTTTGGCGGTGCCTTTTCGCCTGTCGAATCGTGATTGTCGGTGCTGGTGGACGTTGTTAAGTCCTCACTGGAGCTTGCGTGTCCTATGGTTTCGATTGTTTCCAGGGCATTCGCATCTCTGTGGGGGTCTGATTCATGGGGAGTCGCCATCTTGGAGTGCGAGGCCTCAGGTAGTAGTATATGGATTAACCAGTAAAATATTCATGACAAGTTGGCTAAATAAAAGGCGACATAGATTGATATCAGGGAGCGGAAAATGGCGTCCAAGATGCACAGCAGCGCCTCAAGTTATAATAATTAGGCTCGGTAGATACAACATTAATTTAGACAGCGAAACGCGGCATATATATGGTCACGGCCAGCATGGCATTTATCAAGTTTTAGTAACTAAGTCATTTTTAAACAGAAATTGTGGAGCTGTAGGATTTCTTGCCTCTCTCCCCCGGGTTATGGTTCTCCAGTAGGAAAAGATCTATCGCCAGATCAACTGGGGCGCCCACTGAAAAGAGCGATGTTATCCAAACAAATTTCCCCTTAAATGTGACGTCACAAGCGCTTACACCTTGCCAGCGAATCCGCAATGAACAATCAGGGAAGAAGAGAAAGACATGTAAGCGTAGAAATCCGGGCTGCCTTTTGTAAATAGCTATTTTATTTGATTTCATATATATATATATGTGTTTTTTTATAAAGGGCGATAATAAATATGATCTTTCTACCGCAATTAAATGTTATTCACTTTTTGAGTGGCAAGATCTTCCCTCGTACCTCGTTAATCGGACTTGGCCTCTGAATCGGCTTGGCCGCCTAATCGGGTATCGCACCGAGACGTACCTTGCCGCTACTTCCGAAAAGGGGTATGGATTGTTGCAGGGAATCAAGCTAACTATCCCGCTAGTGGCTGGTCTAAAAGCCGTCTCCGCCGCCTTCGCCGTGTTCGACCGCCGTAGCCGCCTCTGGAGAAGTTGGGGAGAGGAGGGGAGAGAGTTGCGGAGAGTCGTGGAGGGTTGGGGGGGGTTGGGGAAGGGGACGATCCTGATGAGCGGGTACTCTACGAGGGTGTGTTGAGTTTGAGCTTACGTAACTGATATTTTTCAGGTACCGTGCTATTGCAGTATTTTCCTTGATTCGCCATGTGCGAGCCACAAGTTCGGAAAGTGCTAAGGTTCCAGCCACATCATTGCTAGTCAGCTGACGCCCATCATCATCAAAGTTGTAGAAATCGTAGTGCAAAGACAATGCCAAGAGGGGGGCTCTATTTTTTTTTTTGTGGATAACCGAATAGCTTCAGTATGTTAGGTAAAATATTCATGCTTCTTGTATTTGTATGACACAGTAAGTAAATTATGAAAGTAACGCGTGTGGGAGTTGAAAGTTTGCAGGGCCACGAAAAGTGTTTAGATGACCGATGATATGCCTGCTTCTTAGATTGTACGAACATACTCCGTAGTAAGTAAAATATAAAAATAACGCGTGCAGAAGTTGAAAGTTAGCAAGATCACCAAAAAGTGTTTTAGGTGATAATATACTTCTTAGGTTTGTACTGTTGAAAAGTTGAAAGTTGAAAGTTTAGTAGCAGGGTCACAAAACGTGTTCTGTGTGCCGGTGACGATATCTCCAGGTACCAGGGTCCTGATAAACCACCTTCGTTATCTGATATTAGAGTTTTGCAATGGGCACCCAGTATATAAGCTACACTACCCAGCGTTCAACTCGGACCGTAGGTTATCGCCTTGCCAAGTTCTTAGCGGCGTTTCAGCTGATCGGGACGGATCCCCAGCCGCGAGTGCTTATTTTGACAGGTCAATCATTTCGGAGTGAGAGCTGGACTGGGAAGAGTGTAAATACTCCGTCATGTCGGAACAACACAACCCCAACGTCGCGGCCGGGCTCGAGCCAAATGGCAATTTTTCATGGGATGATTCCTTCGCAAGTGAATCCCAATCGAAGCGGCAGTCTTCGCACCGTAATTGCCATTGCTATCGTTCACATGCGGATGCGGCTGACATGAACTACAGAGGACAAGAAGAAGTACCATTGCCCATGCGGCAGCACCATGTCTCGAAGGTATGTCCATGGGATCTTCGAACTCAGGCTACAACAAAAGAGAGCAAAGATGATCTAATCGTCCTCGCATTTAAGCGACGTACTGTTGCGACATATTCGAAAGTGCCAGATGGCCCGGGATACACTTGAGAGCTCGGGTTCCACGTCAAGAAGGCCGTCTCGGTCTAAAACGGCGTGCAATGAGTGTGCCGCCTCTAGACTGAAATGCGACTCTCAAAATCCTTGCTCAGGATGCAAAAAGAAGTCATTGAGGTGTGAGTACACAAGGAAAGGATACTCGGATCCATACAAAGTCTTCCGTATCCCAGCGGCAAATCCTGTCGTGGAACAGGCACAACAGGCACCCGAGCCACACCCTCATCAGCCTCAAAACATGAATGCAGAATCTGCCGCCAGCATTCTACCAACGCCGCCTGGCAATACTATATCTGCTGCGGAACAAAGTGGTGTGCTGGAATTCACCGGGTTTGATTTTAATACACCCTTCGATCACACAAATGCGACCCCCCTTTCAGGCTACAGCTCAGCCGGCATGAATGATGCTTTCCTAGACCTAGACTGGGACTCATTATTAACGAATTTAGACTGGCCGGAAAATATGGTCTCGGCAAACAATGCCGCGACGGCTTCGTCAGATTTTACCGAAATAAGCTCAGTTCCGAAAGAGGCTGCATGGAATTTCACTGAAGGGCTTCAACTGCGGCAAATCGACAGTGTCGAAGCCAAGTGTGTTGAGATACAGAACTACATAGGGGCGTTTCAGACGGGTATTGACCATACCATTCTATCCAAGTACATAACTCGAGATCGGCTGGTCGATTGTGTCCAGCTCTACGGGAAATGCTTCCAATCCATCCACCCCATTCTTCATTTGCCAACATTTGAACTCACTAAGACGCCACCTGACTTACTTGCAGCCATGATGCTAGTGGGCGCTTGCTATTCCAGCAACATCATTCCTCCAGCGATTGTTGTACAGGGGGCAATACATATGCTGCTTGTATTAGAGTGCTCGTCGGTAAGCGCGTCTCGGTGGCTGTTTCGGAACATAGACGCTGACAGGTTTATTTTAGCACGAAAGAGCAATGAACGCGCCCCCATTAGCATCAATACAGGCCACTGCTCTATTGTGTCAGCTCCTCATTTTAACCCAGAACCCCCAAGCCTATTATTTCGCCACAATGTATAGAGCTCGCACCATCTCGGTACGTCTAATATCAACGTTATTTTTCTTTGAAATTGGCCGGACTAATCATGGTTGTTCCTGAGTGTAGATGGCCGAACGTGCAGGTCTTTTCTACGCCAGCGACACCCCAAGTCACTGGGATTTGAAAGAGAGCTCCTTTGATTGGTTTCAATGGAGTCAATTAGAGATGCGAAAAAGGTTAGCAGGATATATGAACTGACGTATATGTTCTGCACAACTAACATTGAGCGATCTGGTAGACTTGCGCATCACATTTTTGTCGACGACATTGGAGCCAATATGTTTACACGAAGCTCATCACACATATCACCATTCACGTTCTACGTCGACACACCATGTTATAATGATTGCTGGGTAGCCCCCACTGCGAATGAATGCCTAGAGAAGCTACGAATCGCACCTCCTCCTATTAAGGTAGCAACGGCTGTCAAAAGGCTTCGATCGGCCTCCTCTCTACAGGGCAATCATCTTTTCGATGCATCAGATTGTGGGATGCTTGAAATCATAGTAGCGCTTCACAACGTACTGTTCCGCGCAATGGAGGAGAGCTTGGATGATGAGAATAATGTGCCACTGGACGACGCCACCTCGTCAACCCAATCAACAGATGTGAATTTCTCAGACTTACTGAATCGCGACCTCCTCAATTACGACATTGCAAATATTGCCAGTAAGATTGTCGGTAAATACGGGTCCGCCTCTATCAGACGCGTTGACGATGCTCTCGATGCCTGGCTGAGGAATTGGAATGCTCGTCTAAGGCGTGACATCTACGACGAGAGACACGGCGCCTTCACTCATCCATTGAACTTCTGGCTCCTGGCTAAATTGTTTGTCGTTCTGCACTTTTTTCGAAACCGTTATCAAGGAAACGTCCCCGACATGGGGGAGGATGGCCAACCACAACGAGATTCAGAACTGCATGCATTCTACAACAATAATGGAGCGGCCCAGGGTAGGTTGGCAATCCAGATGCAGGTGATTGGTTGGCTATCAAAGCTTAGAAAGCAACGAGAAGGAAGCTTGTTGTCTGGCGGGAGTTTCATATCGGAGGTTTTGAACATGCAATAGCGGTTAGTACACTTCGAATGTAAAAGAGAATGCTTTACTTAATTCTATAATGATATCCCAAGTAAGTTTAGACGTAAATATCCTGGGTTTAAATTGAGATCGACTTGACTGTCGAACGCATTGATGATGGCGCCATCTGGGCGACCGTTCCGCTAGTGATCAAAAACGATAAGAACGAGGACACAATTGTTGCTGTGAAACTGCCCACGGGTCTGTTGCGATGCGATGTGTGGCTAATGGAAAGTATATATTTTAGACGAGGCGGAATGGGAAAAGCAATCGGTATAGCCGCAATTCGGAAACTTACAGAGGTATGACTCGTTGCCTCAAACGGCCGAAACAGATTAATTAATCGCATTCAATTATCGTATCGCATCGGCATTGATCCCACGAGTTTCTCCTTTCAATTTCCACAAGTCGGAATTATAACCACTCTCTCAACTAAAGCATCATCGTGCTCCAATGGCTGGGACCCACCTATCCACGGGGTATCGGGATAAATTCCACCCAAACCCCAATAGGGGCTTTGTCACCACCACAAAAACTACCATTTTTGAACTAGAGTAGTAAACGCCCCCGATGCATGCTTATACGGGCCTAAGATCGATGTCGGCTATCGGATTATGGCTGTTGTTGGTGTAGGTGTTTGTGCTCGGAGTTAAGAGGTTTGGAGATAATCCATTGTTAAACATGCTGTCCATACTCAGTACGACCCTTTGTAAGGCACCAGGCACGGCAGTCTGACATGGCTGAGATTCTCGGGTGATTGAAACAGATTCTATGCGGATTTGAAATGGCATTTCAGTCCCTGTCAGCAATTCAGCATGCTGACCAACAAGACCGAGAGCCGCTTCAGCTAATCCAACCGCCCTTGCTTTCTGTGACCGCCACCAATGTCTAAGCGTAATCATCTCAAACCCCGGAACCAACCCCATCCAAGTCACAATGTACGGTGATGCTATGCGATCCTTTGACAATGTCTCGTGTCTCTCTAGTCTGGAATGTCATAGAGTAGAAGCAACATGCCTTCCGCTCCCCCTTTTCACTATACGCCTACGCCTGCGCCTACCTAAAGCAAGGGTTGCTCTGTATTATCGCCATCACGATGGCGATGATCTTGAATGATACGGGTAACGGCACCGACAAGTCGAACAAGACTGAACAAGACAATAGTCAGCAAGAATGGGCACTGAAGTCCAAATTCGCCGCGTTCCAGGAGCGAGACAAAGCATCTGGCTTTCCAGGACGACATCTCGGCATAACATGGAAGGATCTCACAGTTGAGGTCTCCAGTCCTCATGCCGCCATCCATGAAAATGTCATATCCCAGTTGAACATCCCAAAACTAATCAAGGAGTCACGACATGGAGCTACGCTAAAGACCATTCTCGATAACAGCCATGGCTGCGTAAAGCCCGGAGAAATGTTGCTTGTCCTGGGCCGGCCCGGATCGGGCTGTACGACTCTGCTCAACATTCTAGCCAACCAGCGAAACGGATATGGAAAGATCTCTGGAGATGTGCACTACGGCACCATCAAGGCTGAAGACGCGAAACGTTATGCTGGCCAGATTGTCGTAAACGGGGAGGAGGAAATCTTTTTCCCGTCGCTGACTGTGAAGCAAACGATGGACTTTGCGACTCGACTAAAGAAGCCCTTCAACCTGCCTGATGGGGTGGCAAGTCGAGAGGAGCACCGTACAGAAATGCGAGATTTTCTGTTAGAATCCATGGGCATTGAGCATACCGTGGACACGAAATTGGGAGATGCCTACATTCGTGGAGTTTCGGGCGGTGAGAGGAAACGGGTGTCCATTGTTGAGTGTTTGGCATCTAGAGGAAGCATCTTTTGTTGGGACAACGCCACTAGAGGTCTCGATGCTAGCAAGTGAGTAACACAAGGTGTGTATAGTACATTCCTGCTAATAGTTTATTCAGTGCTTTGGAGTATGTTAAGGCAATTAGGGCTATGACGGACATCCTTGGCCTCAGTTCTATTTTCACGTTATACCAGGCCGGCAATGGTATCTACAACCTGTTTGATAAAGTCCTTGTCTTGGACGAAGGTAAGCAGATATACTATGGTCCTATGGTGAGTGCTCAGCCTTTCATGGAAAGGCTTGGCTTCATCTGTGATCATGGTGCCAACGTTGCCGATTACTTGACGGGCATTACTGTGTCTACAGAGAGAAAGATTCAAAAGGGCCAGGAGCGTAGCTTTCCTCGAACCTCGGACGCTGTTCGAGAGGCATATAAGGGTTCTCTCATCTACCAGCAAACGAGGACAGAATGCGATTACCCGTTGACGGATGATGCCATAGCCAATACGAACCAATTTTGCAAAGGGGTAGCTATGGCAAAGGACAAGAGGCTACCCGCTAGCAGCCCTATGATGGTCGGGTTTTCAGACCAGGTCATTACCTGTGTACACCGTCAGTATCAAATTCTCTGGGGTGACAAGGCGACATTTTTTATCAAGCAGATATCGACAGTGGTCCAGGCACTCATGGCAGGTTCGCTATTCTACAACGCGCCAGACACATCAGCCGGCCTGTTTATGAAGTCTGGTGCATGCTTCTTCGCCATATTTTTCAACGCGCTCATGTCCATGTCCGAGGTTACCGACTCCTTTACTGGAAGGCCCGTCATACTCAAGCATAAGTCGTTTGCGTTCTTCCACCCTGCGGCGCTTTGTATCGCCCAAATCGCAACCGATATCCCAGTCGTCCTGTTCCAGGTTTCGGTTTTTTGCTTGGTAATATACTTCATGGTTGGGTTAACCATGTCGGCTGGCGCATTCTTCACGTTTTGGGCTGTTGTTGTGGCAACAACTATGGTGAGTCTAGCTAGTCTTTCAACTCTGAGATGCTGACAATAAACAAGTGCATGACAGCCTTTTTCAGAGGAATTGGTGCTTCATTTGGTACCTTTGATGAGGCGTCTAAGGCTTCTGGTTTCATAATTGTCGCCTGCATGATGTATTTGGGCTATATGATTCCTAAACCAGCCATGCATCCATGGTTTGTCTGGCTCTTTTGGATTAATCCAATGGCCTATGGATTTGACGCAATATTATCTAATGAGTTTCACAACAAGATTATTCCTTGCGTGGGAAATAATCTGGTTCCTAGCGGCCCTGGATTCTCCGATTTGAGCCACCAGGCTTGCGCTGGTGTTAGTGGTGCTATATCAGGACAGGCATTTGTTAATGGTGATAATTATCTTGCTTCATTATCCTACAGCCACGCTCACATCTGGAGAAACTTTGGAATTGTTTGGGCGTGGTGGGCACTGTTCGTTGCGTTAACTATTTGGTCGACCTCGAAATGGGCATCTTCGACTGAGAATGGGCCGCGCTTGGTCATTCCCAGGGAGCGCGCTCAAACTGTGACAACTCAACGCCAGATCGACGAAGAGGGGCAGGTCGATGAAAAGGTGACGATGCCATCGGGAAGCGATGCCGAAGCTACTCTTGGATCAGAGGAAGGACAGCGACAAGCAAATCTCATTCGCAACTCATCGATATTCACCTGGAGGGACCTATCATACACAGTTAAAACTCGATCTGGTGACCGTATTCTACTAGACAATGTGCAAGGCTACGTTAAACCCGGCAACTTAACTGCCCTTATGGGATCCTCTGGCGCGGGAAAGTCGACTCTTCTCGACGTGCTCGCCCACCGCAAGACTGAAGGAACCATTCGCGGCTCAATCATGGTTGATGGTCAGCCGCTTCCCATATCCTTTCAGCGGTCAGTGGGATACTGCGAACAGCTTGACGTTCATGAGCCCTACGCCACTGTCCGTGAGGCGCTCGAGTTTTCAGCCCTCCTCCGGCAAAGCCGCGAGACGCCACGTGAAGAGAAACTAGCTTACGTCGAGACGATTATAGATCTTCTTGAGCTACATGATCTTTCTAATACGCTTATTGGACAAGAAGGCACTGGGTTAAGCATTGAACAACGCAAACGCGTTACTATTGGTATTGAGCTGGTTTCTAAGCCTGGAATTCTCTTTCTTGACGAGCCGACCTCGGGACTAGACGGCCAGTCCGCCTTCCATACTGTTCGCTTTCTTCGGAAGCTAGCCGCCGTGGGTCAGGCCGTGCTCGTGACGATCCATCAGCCGTCAGCTCAGCTATTCGCCCAGTTCGACAAACTACTACTGCTTACCAAGGGAGGCAAGATGGTATACTTTGGAGATATCGGCGAGATGGCCAACACCGTTAGAGAATATTTTGGTCAATACGATGCTCCATGCCCCGTTAATGCTAATCCGGCTGAGCACATTATAGACGTCGTTTCGGGCACTCTATCCGCCGGTAAAGACTGGAATGCCGTTTGGCTATCCTCACCTGAATACAAGGCTATGAACCTGGAGCTAGACCAAATTATTAAGCACGCTTCAGCCAAACCGCCCTCAGAAGACACCGCAGATGGACGTGAGTTTGCGTTGCCACTTTGGGAGCAAACAAAGCTTGTGACGGAGCGTATGAATGTTTCCCTGTTTCGCAACACCGAATACGTCAATAACAAGGTTATGCTACACATCATCTGCGCTCTCCTCAACGGCTTCTCATTTTGGAAAGTTGGAGAGTCTGCTAGCGAGTTGCAGCTGAAGCTCTTTGCGATTTTCAACTTCATCTTTGTGGCACCAGGTGTACTAGCTCAGCTTCAGCCCCTTTTCATCCACCGCCGTGATATCTACGAAACACGCGAGAAGAAGGCTAAGATGTACTCCTGGGTCGCATTCGTTACCGGACTTATTGTGTCGGAGATTCCATATTTGATCTTCTGCGCTATAATATACTTCCTGTGCTGGTACTACACTGTTGGATTTCCGGCGACAACTTCACGGGCTGGGGCAACATTTTTTGTCATGCTTATGTACGAGTTTTTGTATACGGGAATGGGCCAGTTCATCGCCGCCTACGCCCCTAATGCCGTATTTGCGGCACTGACGAACCCGATGTTGATTGGCGCTTTGGTTTCCTTCTGTGGTGTCTTGGTTCCGTATCATCAAATCCAGGAATTCTGGCGCTATTGGATCTACTATCTTAACCCATTTAACTACCTCATGGGCAGTTTATTGGTATTCAACCTCTGGGGAATCAATGTACAGTGCACCGAGGGTGAATTCGCAGTATTTAACCCTCCCGATGGGCAGACCTGTGGAGAGTATACGACCAGCTATCTCGCTCATGCACCTGGCCACCTCGTCAACCCGGATGCAACGTCTGGGTGCAAAGTTTGCTCCTTTGAAAATGCTTCCGACTATCTCAAGACCTTGTATCTAGAGGAATACTCGTACGGATGGAGGAATGCGGGAATTGTAGTCCTAATGGTGTTTAGCTCCTACGGGCTGGTTTATGCGCTAATGAAGCTTCGAACTAAGACATCTAAGACGGCTGAGTAGAAATACGTAGTTCAAAAATAAATATATAGTTATAGATTGGGTATTTATGTAGATAGACGATATAGATAAGATTCTGCTTGCGATAAAAATTATCAGATCTAGTGCTTCATTCGCCCTTTGGTGTTCTCTTTAGCTTCGCAATAGAAATGAAGCGTCTTCAATTGGCATGACCCAGGACTGCCTCCAATGTGCAAAACCCGAATATGAGCAGATCACGCAGAATATCGGAGAACTACATAGAATCTTGCGGCTGCGCGTGTTAATTACTAATGATTGCTAACAAGGCCCCAGGAACTCCGTGGGATGGAAGTAATTCCGAGCTGTTACAAAGCCTGATTAAGCGCAGCTGACCGCGAGTTGGTTACCCCCTGATCTGGCATATGCACAATAAGCAGGCAATCTGATAATCAGATTTAGTCCGAGGATCGACGCCGAGCTACCCATGCTTGGACGGCTACTAAATTATAAAGTTTAGGTCGTGGCTTGAAGCTCGATTGAAGTTAAATCACGCTTCTTAACTAACAGAATCGCCATCCATAAGACCCAACACCCATTTCACCCACAAACTAAAAAAGGGAAAATAATGGCACCTACAAATCAAGCCGCATGGCTCACCAAGGCTGGTACCCCTCTCGAGGTGAGCGATGCCCCGTTGCCCACCGCAGGGCCCGGTGAGCTTGTCGTGAAGAACGCTGCAGTCGCCATCAACCCGCTCGATTGTCATATGCAAGACCACGGCGTCTTTGTCCAGCAATGGCCTTCTGTTTTTGGTTGTGATGTGGCCGGTGAGGTATATGAGGCGGGAGAGGGTGTCCAGTCATTTAAGAAGGGAGACCGTGTCATCGGGTAGGTTCATAAATTATTCTCCATCATTAACAAGAACCTCCACGGCTGACACTCTTTGTAATAGGCATGCCATCAATCTTGTTAGCGGTCGCCCTCAAGATGGTGCCTATGCTCTGTACACAGTCATCCCTGCTAACAAAGCCGCCATCCTTCCGGATACGATCTCCTTCACCGACGGTGTTGTGGTGCCGTTTGCCTTAGAGGCTGCTGTTTGCGCGCTCTCCCTCAAAGTGCCTGGGGTCGCCATGCCAGGCGTCGCTACACCAGCGCTCGCCCTGCCTTACCCCTCGCTGGAGGATGTGCCTGCCTCGGGCAAGACTCTCGTCATATACGGGGGCTCATCAGCCGTTGGCTCCATGACTACTCAGATAGCCACCGCCACTGGCATCAAAGTCATTTCCGTTGCCGGCAAACATAACTTCGATTTCAGCAAGCGCTGCGGGGCAACTCAAGTCTTTGACCACAAGGATCCGTTGGTCGTCGAAAAGGTCATTGAAGCGGTGGGGACATCGGAGTTTATTGGCATCTTTGATGTCGTCGCCACGCCCGAGACGTACGCCCACGACCTCGCCATCTTTGCTAAACTGGGTGGTGGCCATCTCGCCTCTGTACACCCTCCCCCTCCAGATCTGCCCGCCAACGTAACAGGCGGAATGATCTTCGCCGTCAATGACATCGCTACGCCCGTTTGGGAAGAATACGTTACGCCCGCCCTGAAGGCTGGAAAGCTCCAGTGTCTTCCTCCACCTACCGTTGTTGGCAAGGGCCTAGAGCACATCAACGAAGCTTTGAAGAAGTGCAAGGCTGGCGTAAGTGCGACGAAGCTAGTAGTAGAGCTTTAAAAGATGAAATACTTTGCATTCACAGTAGCTAGATATATGTGTTAGTAAATAGGGTAAGGTCGATGATTAAACCATCTTGTTCATTGTTACCATACAAAAATAATGATTTACCCTGAATATTCCCCGTTATGAACCATAATACCCTATAATACCCCATTATGTGGCGCCTGGGGCAAGCTATAGAGCAAACCATTATGCTGCCGTCATTTCAATAGGTGACTACGTTGTGCTAAAGCTTAAGAACACTGTGGAGGAGGTGCGACCAGTCATGCCACCACTTAGCGCAGTGGAGAAACAGAGACCACAAATCAGTGGCATATTCACTCCCTACAATTACAGACCAAGCACCCCACCATGTACTTCGTCTTGGTTGTGGTCCAAGTATGCGGAATTTAATTTGAAGCATTTCGACTGTCAAAGACTAATGTTCGTATCATTTTAGCCAAGCATTCAATAATAGTATATAAGATTCTTCTAAAAATTCCAAAATATATATGAGATAATAAGATAACAAATAGGATAACAAAGAAAACCAGTAACATGTAATAAATAACAAAAAAGACAATTTCTAATCTTCAAATTCTAAGCTCCAGGCTTCGCATCACTCATCCAAAATCAGAGGTGCTCATTTACGCGTCTATTCAATATTCAGCCACCGCCTGCGCCACTGTATCACACACGACCGTCCCAACGGCTGCGGCAAATGGCGGACACATCATAGAGAAATGATCTGTACAAAATCATGTTAGCGGCTGCGCTCTCTCTATGGTATAGCTGGGGATATACTAACCTCCATCAACAACATGCACGGAAATGTGATCCCCAAGAAGGTCCTCCCATCCATTCGTACCGAATGTTTGGCGCCGACCATAGAACCACGAATTGAAGTAAACCTCAAACTCTGGTAGCACCATTTCATTTAGTTTCTTGCCGATTTCGACACCGGGGCGACACATGGCAGCGACGGGCGCATCTGGGCGGTTGTCTAGCCCGAGCTTCGCCCAGACGACAGAAACTTGGCGCGGCTGGCGATCCTTGGGAAATTTTGGCGCGTCGTAACGGGATAAGGCGCGGCATGTGGCCATTAGATGAGCCCTCTCCTTGACAGACAGATCTTCGGGGAGATCGCGGGCGCGGTTGATGCCCTCAAACGTGCCGAGCTTATCGACAAAGTCCGTAGTGACGATGCTGGTCGGGATGAGGGAAGGGGCGCGCATGTCAAGGATGACAAGCGCCAGGATGGATTCGCCCTGCATGGTGAGGCGATGGGCAACCTCATAGGCATACATGGACCCCGCTGACCAGCCGCCAATCAGGTATGGCCCTTGAGGTTGGATCCTGCGGATAGTTCGGATGAAGATGGTAGCCATTTCCTGAATCGACAGGTCGAACGTCTCTGGGCTCGCCAAGAACGGCGACTCAAGCGCATAGATGCGGCGGCCCTCAGGAAGTGCGCTCAGATGGATATAAGACTCAACCGTTCCTGAACCGTCAGTGGTCATGAACAACGGAGCATCTTTGGAGCGCGACTGTCCCTGGATCAGGACTGCCCGAGAGACGGCATTGTCAAGCTTGTCCTGGCGTGCGGACTCGGCGGAGTTCACTGTCTTGGCCGCAGAAACGGCGGGAAGATGCGAAGACGAACTCGTCGATGGTTCCTCCTGCGGTGTCGCGTCCATCGATCCATCCAATTCCTTACGTGCGGCCGCCACTGTCGGATAGTCCGAGAAGAAAGCAGCTGCCAACTCAATTCCGGTATCCTCCTGGAATGTCGATGTGATCCTGATGCTCAACATTGAATCCATGCCCATAGATTCGAAGGTAGTCGAAGGTGTGATATCGCTAGCCTCAAGGCCTAGCGCATCGGCAACAAGACTTAGCAGATGAGTGCTAGGGCCCAGAGGTGCTGGGCTGCGCTTCTCGCTGCTCTTGCGTTTTGGCGGAGGCTGGGATGCGGTTCTGACCTTCTTCTCTGGTTTTCTTACCTCTTCCACCTGCTCACTGCCCAACTCCTTACGTACGTCGGCTGGCGTTGGGAAATTTGTGAAGAAGGCAGCTGGCAGCTCGACGGCCGTGGCTCTCTGGAAGTCACCCAGAATGCTGATGCTCATCTGCGAATCGACACCCAACTCTGTGAATGCAGTACCCTTTGTCTTGTCCAATTCGGCCACACTCATGCCACACTGCTCTGCAACGATGGCAAGCAGGTCTGCAGCAAGATCCACCACGTCTGACATGCTGTTCCGCGACGATGACGAAAACTCAGATGTGGGTGTGGCTGAAGGGCTGGTGTCTGAGCTAGTTGCACCCGTCGCCGCCTGCCACTCACGCCTTGGGATGGCCTGCGGTGTGCGCGGCTTCTTGGGGAATGTGCGAGCTGAGCCCGTCAGCATTGCGAAGAAGTCTCGTTCGAGTTTCTTGAAGCAAATGTCTGTGCAGAGCGCCACAAGCTTGTTCTGGGCATTGGTGAGATACACATCGCACAAGCTTGTACCGGTTTTGGCATCTTGCTCACGAACGGTGGTGTAGGCACGGAATGGCCCGTTCGATGAAAGATCACCCAGAACGCGCAATGATCCAATGTGATTAGCGATGTGGACCTCATTCTTGGGCTTATGCACGTCAGCATTGAGCAGGAAACCAGCAATATGAACAAGGGCATCAATGGCAAACGGGTTGCAAGTAAAGGTGCCCAGCTCAGACTTCGAGGCTACATCGAGGGTCATGACGGCGTCTTGGAAATCTGCGGCCACGGTAGCCTCCTCAACAGCATGGAAAGGAGCCGAGTAATCGACGATTTCGGAGAACACCTTGTAGAATAGTGTCTTGTCCATCGCATGAACTTGTCTAGGGCGCACCAACTCATCGAGACTGCGTACGCGTGCCTTTATCAGCGGCTGCATTCGAGACCATGCTTGGGTGATGGGCGTATCGGGCTGGTTCAGACGAATCAAGCAGGACCCGTACTCGACTGGGGTAGCAACCCCCTCTTTGCGGGATAGGAATCGAACTGAGACGACATCTGTTGATTGGTCAAGGACCCCCTCCACATAGACCTGTGGCAGCACGGTGTCGTGCTCGCGGAGTACAAGTGGAGAGAGCATGCTCAAGTCTGCCAGCTCGTATGTTGACAAGGATGAGCCCGTTGCAGAATTGCGACTCTCTCTGTCAAGGTATGCGGCCGCGGTGTAAGCCATGTCCATGAAGATACTCGCCGGGCAAATGGCCACGCCGTCGACAACATGGCCGCCGATAGCTTTGGCGAGGTTTTGGTCGGATAGGTCTACACCAAATGTCGCAAGTAGCCGGGACTCTTCCTTGCGGAACTGTTCGACAGTATGCAGCGATGTAGAGGACAACCGAGATACCCCTGAGGTTGAGGCACGCGAGACTGCGCCAGAAGCATTGTCAGGCACCGCCCTTGTCTTGTACGAATGCCAAAACTCCTTGTTGTCGAATGCATACGTGGGAAGATCGGTTACCATGCGGAGGTTATCGAGATGATCCTTGTGGAATTCTGTCCAAGACACAGGAAGCTGTGCGCGATATGCGGCGGCAACGGACTGAGAGATGGTCGCCCAGTCGTCGCGCCCGCGGCGCAGGCTGGGATACCCTGTAAGGCTCACCTTCTGGAGTGATGAGGACAACAGGCCGATGCAGACTGGGTGAGGCCCAATTTCAACAACAAATGACTGTTCTTGGATGAGCCCTTGTTCCTCGCATGCACGTACCGCGTCAAGGAAAGCAACTGGCTCGCGAGTGTGTCTGCGCAGGTATTGCGCGTTAAAGACCCCATCTTCGCCGGGCTTCACAATACGACCAAGTAAAGTAGATGCCACTGCAATAGTGGGTGCTTTAAAGGTAACACGCTCGGCAGCCGATTCGAGTTCATCCAGCAGAGGATCCATTTGGCGGGTGTGGAATGCGAACTGGACGCGCAGGCGAGCAATGGCGACGCTTGCATCGTCCGACTTAAGATAGGCTTCCAATGCATCAATGGCGGCGACGGGACCACCAACGACAGTGCTCGAGGGTGCATTGACACAAGTTACCTCGCATCCAGCTGTGGTAGCCAAATCACGCAGGCGATATTGGACGGTGGTCAGGGGAAGTCCGACGGCCAACATACCAGCCTCGGCTGGTGCGCATTTAGTGAAGATGAGTTCCGCACGCTCACACGCCATGGAGAGTGCATCTCCCACGGACAGCACTCCTGCAACACAGAGCGCTGCGTACTCACCTAGGCTGTGTCCGACGAGCAGTGTCGGGCGCACGCCGAGTGACACCCAGTATTCGGAGAGGGCAATCTCGAGAGCGACGGTGGCAACCTGCATATCGCGCTCGGCAGTCTGCGAGACGGTATCTTGTCCCGACGCACGGATCACGTCGATAAACTGGCAGTTTAGACCCTGAGCGTCGCAGAGGTTCTGATATGAATCAAGAAGGCGTTTGAATGTGGGTGATGTGCGGTATAGCATACCGCCCATGCCCATATGCTGGCTACCCTGGCCTGTGAAGGCGAAGACAACTGATGATGCCGACTGCTTGGTCTCGTCCTTAGCCGCTGAAGGCTGCAACTGGCGCAGGAGATCCTCCGTAGACTGGGCTACGTAAGCTTCTCGGTTTACGTGGTGCATGCGACGAGCCGTCGTTGTGTAGGCAAGGTCGGCCAGTGGCGTCTCTGGGTGCTGCGTCAAATACTCAAGGAGACGGCTCTTGTTGGCTTCTTGGGATGCTACAGTGCGGCCAGATGTGACAACAACATGGTGCGATCGCACATCGGGCTGCAACGCAGGCGGTTCCACGGCGAAGGATGGCGCGTCGTGCAGCAACAAGCTCGCGTTGCCGCCGGCGGCATCGAAGTTGTTAACTAGGATATAACGAGGGGTTGTTCCATTGCGCGTCCAGGCCTGGCCGTTGGCAAGTTGGATATCAGTGCCAAGGATAGGCTTCAGGTACGGATTAAGGGTAAATGGCTGGCCGGGCTGAGGGGGAATTCTGTTGCGTTGCATCATGAGGATCGTCTTGATCAATGAGACGACGCCAGCTGCGGCCTCGCTGTGGCCTACGTTAGCCTTGATGGCGCCAACAATAAGTGGCTGTTCACGACGGGGCCCACCAGGGGGCGCAAAGACGCTCTGTAACGCCTGCATCTCGACCTTGTCACCAGCTTGCGTCCCTGTGCCGTGCATTTCGATGGCACTGACGTCTTCTGGGCGCACTGCGGCCTGGCGCAGCACACGGCGGTATAGAGATGCTTGCGCTTCCTCGCCAGGATACGTGATGGATCCGGCGCCGGCATTGCAGTTGCGGGATGCACCAGCCACAACGGCAAGGATGTTGTCCTTGGATCTAACAGCGTCATCCATGCGCTTGAGCACGATAACAGCGACGCCCTCGCCTCTACAGTAGCCATCTGCGGCATCTGAGTACGTCTTGCAGGCACCTGTAGGCGAAAGGAATCCTCCCTGGCTCAAGCCAGCAAACCACTCGGGGGCGTTGAGAAGCGTGCCACCACCCACCACTGCAGCATCGCATTCACCCGAGGCGAGGGCCTCGCGTGCTAGACAGAGAGCTGTGGCGCTCGAGGAGCAGCCGGTGTCGATGCTGTAAAAACCGCCTGCCCATTGGAAGTAGTGTCCAATGCGACCCGGAGCGAAACTGCGGTTGACAGCCGGCAGAAAGTGCGTGTCGATGCCCTGCTGCTCATTGATCGTCTTCCAGTCATCAACTGTCTGGCCAAAGTAAGTGGCAATGCGGGGCGGGTCTTTCTTGTTCTCGGAGGGCGAGTAACCGGCCATCTCTAGGGCCTCATATGTCGTCATGAGAAGCATGCGTTGGACCGGGTCCATCTGAAGAGCCTCTTTGGGCGATATGTTAAACAGCCGATGGTCAAAGGCTCCTGGCGTCTTGATGAAGCATCCATGGCGGGCAAGGAGGGCGTTGTGAGTACGACGAGTTGGGTCGTAAAAGTCGTCGACGTTGAAGCGCGTGGAAGGAATCTCCTTGTGTGCCGTCGTTCCAGACTCAAGCAGCTCCCAGAGCTCATCTAGCGTGTCGCTCTCAGGGAAGCGTCCCGACATTCCCACAACGGCGATTTCATGTCGAGGAACACTACCGATGTCGTTGCCAAAAGGCATGGGGGTTGGCTCATACTCGCCGGCTGAGACGCTTTGGCCGTGTTGCTCCAAAATGGTGCGCACCTTGGATATATCCCAGGTCGAGCCAACTGTTGTGAGGACGACATCTTCGTTGTCCTTTCCTAGAAGCACTGCGGCTACTGCTCGGAATGCGTCCTCGACACGAGCCGGTTTGTGTCTAATGCCCGCCACAGCGAGGCGCAATGTTTCACCAAAAGTTTCGGCGGGGAGAGAGTCGGCAACAGAGTGCGCCGAGTATTGCGGCCTCTGCACGGTGAGTGTATTAAGCGCTGGAGAAGTGCCCACTATTTGGGCGTCGTCAACTGGTGGAAGATGGGAGCCGAACATGAGGCATCGAGCCGAGGCGGAGGATGTTACGGCTTGAGTGCTCAGTGAAAGGATGTCGAGGGTTGAGGGCGGCCCGGCGACGACTATACCCTCAGGCAAGACTTGGCCGATATATGCGCGTTTGAGTGGTCGTAGTGTGGAATTGATCTTTTCCAGTTGCTCCTCGAGCTCTTTCTCGTCAACACCCGAGACTATGCGTGCCCATGTTCCCTCGGAAACTTCAATGTCCCTGCTTGTTCGTTCCAAGGCAACGGCTAGGCGGAAGGCAACAGCAACGCCCTCCAAGCCCAATGTGAGAACCTCGCTCGTAGTTGTCGCTGTCGAAGCAACTGCTGCCGCAATCAATCCAATTCCGAATCCAACGGAGGACAATTTGTCTATCCGTTTGTCTGATAAGATAGAAGTGTGATCCTCTGCAAACCTATTGGACTGTTAGCTTACACTGCGCTGCTAACTCCCGCTGCTTCAGCTTAGATTCTAGGAAACTTGCATCAGGAGCTGGCCAATCTGAATGGTTGTCAACAGGACAATTTCAGCCACCACACTGGGCCTGCCAACATGTCGCTCGGCGAGCTCTACGAGATCCTCAAATCCGCCAATTCTAGCACTGTCGACGCCGGACAAGGCAGTAGCCTCTCTTTGTATAACAGTCGACGCTTCGTTCAGTAGGGTTTGGAGCTGCGGGTGATTCCTGGCTCGCACGCTCAAGTCGTGTACCGCCCTGAGCAAGTCTGTGTGCTCATGGGCGAAGAGGAGGATGTGGCTAGAGGAAGCCATATTGGAGAAGATGGTCCAAGCTATGCTTCTCCAAGCTGTTGGAGCATTCAACTACAATAAAAGGCATACTTGTGTCTATATTATATAGCCACTCGTATGTTATAATGGAAGGGGTTGATAAGAGAGGTAAGCAGCGTGGAACATGCCAAGGCCCTCGTTCCTATGGTTAGAAGCCATACGATGAGGTATCCACGACGATTACTTTTGCCTCTGTAATCAATCCCTCCGACGAGTTCAGTGAGTCCAACAATGCCCCTCCAGTCAAATTGAAGAGACAAGGCTGTTGTTGCAAGGCTGTGTGGAGCCCATGCCGGAGCCGCCCACGAGCATTCTCACCATAAGCGTCAACATCATAAGCATGCAGAGCACGCCCGTAAATAAGCATGCAGCGATAAGCATGGTTTAATCAAAAATAACGGGAATACGGAATAGGGCACGGGCTTATCCTCAAAATTCATGCAGGGCTTGCGCAATGCTAGTCAAGGTAAGGAACAAATCACACTGTGGCTGCTCCGGGATAGTATTCAGCCTCAATGGTCCGAGTGATAACCGACCACTTTGTCAACATTTGAATACTATCTGACAGTGGCTACGTATCATCAACGGCCTCGCATCGACTTTATTTTCCCCAAAATCTTTATCCCAATCGCCCACCACACCATTGCTCTACTCTAATCAAGTTTCGTTACCATGACGACTCTCACCGCAGATATTGCTGAAATTCAACACATTCTCAAACGCGAGCGTTACCATCGGGATACTGCTCAGTGGGATTTGTGCCGTGCCGCCTTCCACCCTGATGCCTCCAAGACATACATCAATGTTGCCTGGTTTGTACAGTCCTTGGTCATATGATCTTATCATTTGTGAAAGCTAATTGCTACTGAATTCGTATCAGGTATGAGGGTGATGTGGAAAACTTTCTGCAGCAGTCGGCCAAGATGCACAAAGGCAAGGTCAACATCCTCCATTCGTCGTTTGATCCCGTCGAGATCCACGTCCGCGGTCAGCGAGCCACCAGCGAGGCCTTTTGCGTCATCACCAGTTTGCTAACGCTAGATGGCGTCGACTACGAGCTGGCTTCTTACATGCGTCTCTTGACTCGCCTCGAGAAACTATCGGAGTCCGGCCAGTGGCGAATGCTCAGCCTAGAATCAATTTACGTACGCGATCGCATAGTCACGGCCTTCCCGGGATCAGGATCAAGCACACTCACCATGAGTGAGGAGGTGCAGGCTTACCCAAAGGGCTATCGCCACTTGGCGCTGGTGATGAGATATCGGGGCTTGAAACCGCAGACGAATCTTCCCCACGAAGATGACCAGGAAGGCGTGCGGGAGTTACTGGACCGAAATCGGGCATATCTAGAGGGAGCTGAGTAGGGACTTCGATGGAATATTCCGTAGGGACTGGTGGCGTTCGCTTTTACGCTGACGTTACCTAAGCCGGTCAAATACACACAATTAATGATATTCCCCTCCTAAAAAAAAGTATTGCTACAGTATAGCATGTGTGCGGCTGTAATCCTCGTAATGTAATCCGAATGGCTGTAGTCCGAATGGCTGTGGTCCGAATGTCTGTAATCCACCCAGCGTAATGCGTGGGGCCTTAATCCTCGTAATGTAACGAATGCCATCATTCTCCACGGCTGAACAAAGTATGCCTTACGGGTGGTTGTTTCCGTTGGTCCGGTGCAGGCGGAGTGGAGCAGAACTGTTCTGGTTCTATTTTGCACGGGCTGCTTGCATTGTTGCATTGCAGCACATCCTGTCCTGTCGTCTATCACGTTGTCCTCTACTAGGTTGTAACTTGTGATACCTCATCTGGACGCAAGGTACTCTACTAGGTTGTGTGACCTAGATATTCGACATAGAGGAAGTGGATTCCAGTGGCCTGTGAGCGAAACATTTCCCCACACAATGAGGTATGTTTTCCATAACGAGCGCCGCCTTGATGTGTGTATGGCGTGATGGGCTTCCAGTCAGGTTTGTACCTTCCTACCTAGGTAGTATAAGCTATGTAGCTTTTCTATAGTAAGCCACAGTAACTTACAGCAACCTACAGTGGGATAAAGTAGGCAGGCTAGATAAAGGTGCAGGAACACGTGAGATAAAGTATGGTAGAGCGTTGTCGGGCTTGGCAAAAGGGAAGGAGATTCACCGCAGGGGTGTTTGATCGACAGCAGGGTGTTTATGTTACTATTTACGAGCTATCCTACCTACCATGAACGCCCCTAAGGGCGACTTTAAGTACCTACCTAAAGTCAGTACGAACTGTAAATGCAAGGTAGTTGACGTGCATAAGAACACTCGGCGTACCGCATAAGGTACATAAAATGTGAGATATGTATGCTCCAGTAACAAGTAAGCTAAGTGGAGTACTATGTAATCAGTCTAGACCTGCCCGAGCCGCCCGTGTTTACCCCTGTAACGATCCTACATACCCGCTTATCAGAGCTAACCAGCTAGTTCTTCTCCACTTTAACCTTTAGTAGGTCCTCCGCATTCCGATACGCTATCATCTCCAGCTGCTCGCTGTTAAGCATCCCGCTCTCCTCTAGTTGCTTGAACCACTCCAGGCCCCTTTCATTTGTTTCGAATGGATAGTCTACACTATACATGATATGCTCCACCCGGGTGTTTTCCAGGATGCACTTCATGGGTGCTAGGCTCCATGATCCAGACGTAGTAATCCAGATGTTCTCATCCCAGACCTGACGAAGTGGACGATCCCGAGAACCCCAGCCGGCCCAGCGAGTGCTCATGTCGATGCATCGCTCTAGCATGAACGGCAGCATTTCCCCCATGTGCCCGACGACTATCTTTAGTTTGGGGAAGCGGTCAAACACTCCAGCGGCGAACAGCTTTAGGACGTGCAGGCCCACATCACTATGCCACCCCCAGCCTGCAGCGCCAAGGCTCACAGCTACAGGCATGGGGTACTCGCCTTGGAACTGCTCCGCCATCGAGGCTGATGGCCACGTCGGATGCAAGTAGATGGGCACGTCCAGGTCCGTGGCCTTTTCCCACAAGACGTCGTACGCAGCTGAATCAAAATGCGTCCCGTTCGCATGGTTGTCTATCAAGGCGCCGACAAAGTTGAGCATTGACACGCTTCGTTCAAGCTCACGCGCAGACTCAGCTGGGTCGGAGACTGGGAGAACGGCCAAGGCAGCGAAGCGATGGCTCTGGTTGCTTTGCGCTATGCCAGCGGCCAACTCATCGTTGCCTTTTTGACAGCTTTCCACACTAGGACCACCTGTGGAGATCCAGATTAGCCGAGTCACATTGCAAGTGTGGAATTTGGGGTCACTTGCCAGGGGTGAAGGCATGCGAGATTACCTGGAGAGAGATTTGGCCGCGGTCCATCGCCGCGAGGCGTCCGTCTCCCAGATCAAGCAGTGCCTCTGAGAGGCCAGGCACAGCCTTCAGAGTACGTTGGAATGTTTCACCAATAGATGAGAACACGGCATTGGAGTAGAAGTGCTCCTCGAGAGCAATGAGTGGCGGCGTCATTCTGTCAGCTGAAGCATTTGCCAGTATAATTATTTGGAGACGATGAAGACTGACCACGAAAGACCGACCTTGATTATGGTCGGTCTTTAAGCTATGTAGCGCGGGTTTATATCCACATCAGCACGGGCTCAATAAGTCCGTCACTTAGTTTCAGCACAATTTTGCTATACATTCTATATTGATCGACCCACAGTAACTTGTAAGCATGATAATCAATAATGGATCATGGGGTATGTAGACGCTTATGGGCGCCTGTAAGCACCCATCTTGGTATAAGCACCCGAGCTTCAAATATGCCCCTTGATGTAAGTTATTAGCAAAAGCGCCTCATACTTGTTGCTTGGCTGTCAGTATGCATTGGGTAACAACCCCCTCCTGGAATGGGCGCCTTGGCCTCCAATAATGCCAGGCTACTTATATCCCACCCAGGGCCCATTCTATGGCTCAAAGGTTGTCGGTTTCAGCATCAATATCACCATTGCACCATGTTTCGTTCCTTTTACTCTCTGGCGGCGCTTGCCCTGCTATTTTTGGGGTTGGCGTTAGCCGATGACAAGACTCTAACGGATAAGCTGGTAAATATCTACAAAAACAACACGCTTAGGAGGCTTCCAACTACTGGCGCCTGCACGGCCAAGAACATACGAGTACGCAAAGAATGGTATGCATCTCACCTACCTTAGGCCATTATTTCGCTTTCACCTTTCGCAAAAGTCCATGCATTGCAGTTACTGACTTGTCTGACTCGCAGGGGTAACTTGAGCTCGGCGGGCCGACTGGACTACATCAGAGCGGTTAAATGCCTAAAAACCTTGCCATCCAAGATCGATCCCGCCAAGGCGCCAGGTGCCCGTACCCGCTACGACGATTTCCAAGCTGCACACATTATTCAGACCACAGTCGTCCATGGAACAGGCTCCTTCTTCGCTTGGCATCGTCACCTCATATGGCTCTACGAGACCGCTCTCCGCAATGAATGTGGTTACCATGGGTATCAGCCTTACTGGGACTGGTCCAAGTACGCCAACAAGTCGCTATCGGCCAATCCGTTGATTGACGGCTCCGCCACGTCCATGTCGGGCAACGGCAAGTATATTGCCGGCCGCAACGGGACTCTTCAGCCCTTCCCCATTCCCGTCGAGAACCCCCCAGCTCTCTACTGTCCTCCAGGCACAGGTGGCGGTTTCGTTTACAATGGTCCTCTCGTCGACTGGAAGTTGAACCTTGGGCCGGTTGTGAACAATGTTGTAACCAACGGCCTCCACGTCAACCCCAATCCCCGCGCGGACGGCCTCGGATACAATCCGCGCCGTCTTATTCGTGACTTCAATAATACTCTCCTCCAGGACAACACCTATGCAATCGTCAACAAGATGCTTGTCAACATGACCAGTAAGGCCGCACCTCCCAAGGTTCTGAATTAACGGGTAGTAGCTAACCAAGTGCGCTAGGCATGCACGAGTTCCACCCCTACTTCTTCCAGGTCCCGCACACCGCAGGCCACCTGTTCATCTCTGGCTACGATAACGATCTTTTCACTTCCCCGGGTGATCCCCTGTTCTACTTCCATCACGCTCAAGTGGATCGTATATGGGCTCTTTGGCAGGGGATGGACTTTGCAACGAGGGAATTCGCCCTTGACGGAACGTTGACTATGCTGGACCGTATGTAACCTTGTTCCTTGTCCGGGCTTCACGGTCACTCTCACCCGAGTAAGTAGCTAACTCAAAACAAAATATAGTTCCCCCGACCCGAAATGCGACGCTTGACGATCTGATGAAGTTCGAGTTCTCTCCGGATATTTCCATCAACGACAGAATGAGCCCAACCGCACACGGGCTCTGCTACATATACGAGTAAGCAGATATAAACAGAGGGCATACCAAGGACATGGGCAGCACCAGTGACTTTGGTGAAGAGCGATTTAAATTGTGGAGAACCTTCCGACATGGAGCACATGCACTTATGTACAAATCGGGATGGGGCGGAGAGAAGACTGGGTCCGCTTATATGACTTGCATGTCCTAAATTCGCATCATTTTGCCTTGTACGGACAAGGGAAGATGACTCCAATCAATTCTTTATTGACGTGTAAATCCTTTGTCTCTTTCATCTATTTTTATTTATTAGCAAGCGGGTGGCTGTAGTAATGGTGAATCACGCCGCCCCCAATTTTGGATAATCACAGCCTCCCGTGCCGCCCGAAAGTCTATGCAATACAAAGTCCGTGCTTTGACTTATTATCAACAACAATAAATTCCTACAGGTTACGGCAACGATAAAGTACTGGCTTTATAGGTGATTATCATTTTATTTCAGTTCGTAGGAAAAAAATTAGTATTTAAAGTTTTAATCAAAAAGGAGAATTTCATTGCATGCAGTTGCTTGTGTGAGGACGTATGGTCATTGAACACAATTTTGGGCGCCAAGAGTATCACACTCCAGAGCTCAAACAGTTTCAATGAGAGTATATATTTATTCTTTCTATCGTGTTACCTACAGTGTTTATCTATTGTTAAAATTGATGAGGCAAGGCCAGCTTACCCCCATCCGACATCGCTTCATCACTCCACTCTTCTATGTCGCTCCCGCTTAGCCCTTCATCGTCCTCGTCCATTAGAGTGGGAGCCTTGCAATATATCCGCTTCATGGCCGCAAGATAGTACTTTACTTTGTCGTCCGGCTTCAGGAAACCCGCCTTCACTCCGATACTGTAAAGTAATTGAACGTCCCGGATTGTCTCAACCGCCGGAGACGCTGTTTCTGATTCCTTGCACCGGCCACCAGTATTGGCTAGGTCGTAAACTGCGCCGAGGCTCTGTTTTGGTAGTCAGAATCATGTTTGCAAACAAATTAAGGCAACGTGAATTGTTTTCTTACTGCAGAACTTGAGGATATAGGTGATGTGAGCAGGGACGGGTGGCATGTCCCAGCAGATGGAAAGTGAGAAAATTGGCCTCGAATTTGCGGTGACATAAAATACTCCGGCGAGGCTTGTATTGAAGCCTCGTCAGCACGATTTAGATAGCCATTGGCAGAGATATCTCCTGACAGTTCGTTATTCGGGCTGTGAGTCGAGGAGCAGCCCTCGCCTTGCTGGAGGTAGAAGTTGACATCCATCGGCGGCCAGGAGACGTGAGCATCAGACGGTCCCAGCGGCTGATCCGGAAGCCAACTTGTATGTTGCGCAAAGTAGCAGTTGTGATCCGGCAGCTCCAGTGAGTGTTTTGACTGAGGTCTTGACTCTAAGTCTGATATATGTGGTGTTGTGTCAAGCAGCGCCTCGTCGGCACCAGGTTGTGTACTCTCTGGTTTTTTTGCGTCGTCGGGTTTAGCTTGTCTATATCGCTCTCCTAAAGATAAGGTATGAGGGTTAGCCATCTCCATCTCTGTACTTGTTCAGTGTTCTATGTACATACTCCACCGGCGCTGTGATTCACGATTTTGACGCCGCCGTCGGACACGGGGATCTTCCTGTGCAGTTGTGGGCATGCTCATCTTTGCAAGTTCAAGTGCGATATTCCGGCACCATTTGTAGTTTAACTGGCATATGTGCCATTTTACAACGCCTCAGCTCAAGCCAGCCCGCCTAGCTTCATATCTTACCGCAAGCCACATCGTCAGCTAGTATGGGGCGGCCGGGGGAATTTTGAGGCTTGCTGACGGGAGGCGTGGCAAACGGTACAGTTTAATGGCCGAACTGACGGCATCGGCCATGTAGCTTTTCGCTCGAGGTTCTCGCTCCTACTCGTGCTCTACTATACCTCACAAATGGTCAAAACTCGTAAATCAGAGAGCTACCCTGCTCCTACCACGCAACGCTGTTTTAAGAAAATGAAATTATATGGGTATTGACTCTAGCATTTTGAACGCCACGCGACAAAAGCAGCAAAACATATCCTTGCACGTTTAGCAAAGTACATGTGGACGTAGATATTATACAGTACTGTATTGATCCTTTCCAGGGCTGCAAGGCACAATACGATTACACCATGCATGCAGGCTATGGCATGGGCATGGCCTCATCCATGTCTCGATCGAGGCGCTGAAGACTTGGCGCGGTCAAACACGGGGTGGATGATCTCCGACCCCTGTATCCATCTACAGTGTGCTATCTACAGTTATGGTAGTACGTACAGGGTACTAATTAGTAGCTAAACCCCATCCTTTGCCTAACACATATAACATTTGAACTAGTTGTGAGCTACAGGCAAGGCCGGACCAAGGGGACGTCGAGGACCAATGCCGTATCCATGTGCAAACCGCCAGCAGATAACGAGATAGCCCACCATGTAAAGTGCCATCCCGTGCCTAACTAGCCTATCGCGATTCGCAAGCCCGTCCCGCTATTCCTTCCCGCTCCTTCCTGCCGCTACTGCATCCACAGAAGAATCTGGATGCAGAACTCTACAGCAAGCCTGTACTTGGCACTGCTCGTTATTTCACATGGTGGATGCCACCCCGCCGCTCCCAGATTGGCAATGGCAAGGTTCAGGGGTCACGGAACGGGCCGGGGGTGATGAGATCGGCGCCAATTTTTACCTTTCCAAAGTGAATCTGAGGCTTATTTCTGGCTGCCCAGCAAGACCGATGGTTGGCTGTTGCTTTGATGAATAATGGAGAAATCCGAGAACGCCGTGGTGACGTGAGAAAACGGTTAGATTAAAAATATATCCGCCTATGATATAGGGTAAGTTTAGGCTAACGGGGAATTCTAGAAGTTGGCGCGAAGTCGACAAAAAAGCAACTACGTACCAACTTCTAGCACGGTTATGACGCTGCGGGGAACGACAATTGTCGAATGAAGAGGGACGGATAAGGCCTGGGGAGGGCAGTCTCAAACATAGCTTGCATTGGCTTGGCCGCCGTGGGGGCGTCAAACCGAGGCAGCGACGACGCATGCTCAAAGATTCAGACGACGACGGCACTAAAAAGTAGTTGCTAAACGTAGCGTAGACGATCCCGGGCTAGCTGAGTCCTTGAATTTAAGAGGTATAGGTTAGCTTGAAGAATATAGCGGTGGTTAATATGGGCTCATACTGTAACCCTAGGCCACACAGTACATAGAGGAAAGCTTTGGTGGAGTATACGACTATACGGCAGAGTGGGCCCCGCGGAATTCCGTGCGAGACAGAAGAAGTGTAATTCATAGTGGAGAACGCCAGTGCGAGAAGTGGTTTATGAGTCAAATCCACTTAACGAGGCGCTGCCAGGGCTTGCACGCGCCTTGGAGCCCTCGGCCCACCCACCCACGAGATCCTATTTCCACCTCCTTGCTAGAAAGATCACTGCCACATCCGTTTAGGCGCTGGCGCTGGAGCAACTCTTCTAAAGTCCAGCTGCCAGCCAAGCCTTCCACCTGCTGTATCAAGACAATCGGACTCGGTTACGTATCAACCTACTCGCGTACGATACGTAACCGACATGGGGGCGGGTCGCCGAGCCACTCGAGGAGTTCCGCGGGGAACAGGCCTAGACATGAGGGCTTGGGATGCGTCTAGGTGGGCACCTCATGCTGGATCGGCGAAACGAAAGAACACCGAGGGCGCAGATGCGGCAATCAACCCTATATTTTCCCTAAAAACCCAAATATCTCCTTTGGGAGCTCCACACATAGTGTCAAGTCTCACATCCTCGTGGAATATATTCCCTACATCCACGTGCCTGTTTGATAGTCGGCGAGAGTGCGTTGTTGGATGTAGATCCGGGCTTGCAGAATGTATTAAATATAACGTAAGCTTGCATATTCATGTTATGAATTATTCAAAAATATATTCAAAAATATCATGTGATTATAGGAATATGACCGAACCTAATTATAGGAGACTTTTATATAGCGAATTCCTCAGTATGACGAATAATGCAATATCCAAATTGATCTGGTATTCAATTTGCTGTAGTCGGCACGGTACCGAATCTACTTTAGATAGAGCTCATATTATTAAAGAAGGAGATAAAGATACGCAAGGCATTAATCTATTAAGAGATTCAAAATCTGTAGATGCAGCTTTCTAGGAAGCCATCCGCTCAAAACGTTGCTGCAAGACCTTAACCATATCTATTCCAACTTTGGTAGACTCATCCAGGCTCTCATTTGGCAACCCAAGCAGCTCATTCTGCGTCTTGGCAGAGAAGTCACTCGAATCCCCTGGGAAAAACGCCCTCGAGTACAGCAACTTGGCAAAACCAGCCATGTTACCACTCTTAACTTGCGCCAGGCCGTCCTCGTATCGCTTCTTAGAGTCCTCGTGAGTAACCGTCCAGTCGGCGTCAGTGGTGCCTGTCACGCGCTTGACGCTCTCAAACATGTCGTTTTGGCTTAGCACAAAGCTTTTAAGGTATACGCCCTTGTTGAGGAAGCTCGACAGAGTAAGACTCTTGTCGTTTTCGTCAGCGGGAAGCTCATTGAGGCTCAGAACCTTGGCCACGGCGCGCCCAACCTGCGACAAGGTCGACGTCGAGTTCTTGGTATTTCCATCGTCATAGATTGTCAGGGAACGCTTGTCAAAGTCGAATCCAAAGCGCGACTCACCGCCCCCCAGGCTGTAATCATACCAAAACCCACAGCACACGGTGATCCACTGCATACCAAGCTTCTCAATCTCGTCCCTGTTTGCCTTACCCACGGGACCTAGCATCGTCTCCTCGCCCAGTTTAATGTTGTCAATGTCGCCACCGTATCCGTTGGGCATGACGTACGGAACGCCAGCCTTAGCAGCTGCCTGGACAAGCTTACTGTGGGTGTCCCGGGGCGCTGTGGGGGCCACGGTGATGATGAAAAATTGCTGGTCCTTGAGAGCGGCGACAATGGTGGCCTCATCGTCGTAGTCAACTGTGGCGACGAGGACACCCTCGGGGAGTTTATTGCCGCTGTCTTCGCGGGAGAGGGCTGTGACTGTGTGTTTTCCGGTTTTAAGGAGGGCTGCAGTGATGTGCGCTCCAACGGTGCCTCCGGCCTAAGGTAGTTTGTTAGAATTGTTGTATATGTGGTGTTGCTGAGAAGATTACTTACCCCGACAATGGCGACTCTCTCAATAGTGTTTTTGAAGCCGCTAGGCTGGTTTTTGGCGTATGTAGACATTATAGGTATTGTTAACAAGATGTGGATTAATGACTTCAGTTCATTAATTATTGATTGTGGTCCAAGTGACTGAGTGATGTAACTGTTTAAGCCGGTGTAGCTTGTGGGTGTTTAACTATTCCTCCTTGAAGCAGAAAATGCCGTATATTTATACATTTCAGACTCAGAGAGACTTGATGGATATTATTCATGGTGTTGGTTGTAGAGAAGACCGCGCGTCTGGGCCGCAGCAGCCGCAACAGCCGCACACCGTTATCACCGCTAACACCGACACTGTCTCCTCTCCAACGTGAGCCCATAATGAGGTGGTACGTGATTAAGTCCGAAATAACCGGAACAGCCTTACAATATCAAGTCGTATAAGGTAATCTATCGCGCGGACTATTCACTTACGACCGACGGAGTTCGGGCTCGAGCATGAACTCCGTCGGCCATCCAGAACGGTCGGGCTGGGACCCAGATACAGAGCATAAACTGACTTATACTCATTCCGCATCGAAAGGCCGACACGTGGATGCAATGCACATTGTAGAAAACTCCATCATCATACTGGGCGTAGTTGTGTCTCTGGATCTCTACTTCATAGAGCGTACTCTGTTCGACGCGCCTGAGAATTAAAACAAGAGACATGCTAGGCGCAAAATTTCGTTATAACATCCTAAAATGCTACAACTACGTTTTGATCAGTTGCATGCTGCATCGCCGCTAAGAGGCGTCAGTCAATGTCCAATTAACTCTATACCGCCTTATCTAGACGTTAGGACCGAGCATCGATAGATGTGGCTCGAAGAGGAACTGGTCCCAGTCCAACCCCCAGTCTACATTTAGCACAGCGGCGTTGGTATCGGATTCCTGCTGCACCTGCAAAGGTTCATAGCTCCCATCAACAGCTTCCAGCTGTGCAAGCTCCCTCCGCTTCTTTCCCATAGTGAGACTGAGTAGATGCCGTGCCATCGACAATGCCTCACGCGTCAGCCCCGTATCGGCGGCTTGGGCGAGATTCTCCAAGCCCTTGAATGCAGGGGCTATATGTACGGAGGCAGCAGGTGTGTCCATGGCTAACAAGACACAGGCATACTGAAAGGCGCTACCGATGACATTCCAAAACAGATGACCTTCACTAGCTAGCTGCTCAGCCGCCTGACCTGCGGCGTTACCGGCATCAATGACGAGCTTAACGATCTCGTCTGACACGCCCATCTTGAGCTGGTAAACGCGCCGATAGAAGCAGAAGGCTAGGTCCGCCTTGGTAACCACTAAGAACGGATGGACAACTTGGAGTTTATCCAACGCCTTAAGTCGCTCGAACAGCTCCTCCCTCGGAGTTGCCACCTCGCAATCAAGCTGGAACGGCGAATCAGGCACTGGAATAATCTGACCCAACTGCACGAACTGATCCGCCACAGACCCCGCCGTCGTTATAACCCCCCCACAACTCACAGCCCGAAACCTCACAGACGACCGATCAAACTCATAAGAAAGCAAATTATGCCCCGCCCACGAGATCCAAAAAATCCTCCTCAACCGATCCGCATCATGACCCACGACCGCCGCGCCAGCCACAGACGCCATCTTCTTGATATTCTCCTCGTCGTGCAGCCCGACTGCTTCGCAGAGGTGCATCACGGTGCACGACGCGATCCAGGCGTTGTTGGGACGGGTTGTGGCGCGGAGGTAGAAGGTTCGCATGGCCCAGGCGATGATGTGGTCGATGCCTAGCACGCGCATGGAGGCGGGGTCGTCGAGGATGGCTTTGGCGTACTGCACTAGCTCTGGCTCTCGCGGGTGTCTGTTGGGGGATAGGAAGGACCCTAGAGCGGCGACGCCAGCGGCAATAGCGCCAAAGGCGATCGCGGGGCTGCCGGAGCCGTGGTAGTAATCCCGGCACCGCTGGGCGTAGATTCTCGCATCCATGTAGTCAGCGATAGGGGCCATTGCGGAGAAGAAAATATCCGAGAACAAGCCAAGTTCGTACTCCGAGATGAGACTACCCAGCAAGCCATGCGGATTAGAAGCCTCCTCGGGGCGAATGCCGAAGTTGTAGGCGAAGGAGCGCATCGTGGGAGGGCTGTTGGAGCCCAAAGCCACGCCCAGGACGTGCGGGAATGCTGTTGCCGCCGATGCCCCGGCGTATCGGGACTTATGCTCGTCAAATATTCCGACAGGCGTGGCGGTCGAGGCCGCGGACGCACCAGCGGGACTCATCGTCGACGAGCAGGCATCGGCTTCGTGGTGTCCTCGCCCTAGATGAGGCCGGCGGGCGGGACTCTGTGATGTGGGGGCGGCCCGGCCCGCCGTCATCCTGCTTCCGCCGCCGGGGCTGCCGCGCTTGGTTAGGGGCGAAGCATGGACGCCGACGCCTGTAGTGCCACCAGTGGTGGTGTCGCCGGCGTACCTGCAGGTGTATTGGTAGGTTGTGCACATGCTGCAGGGATACTCGGAGTTGCATTTCCGCTTGCGCTCGTGGCAGGGGATGCATGCCTTCCTCGCGCGCTTGCGCTTGGTGATTGTTGTCGACATGAAGGCTGAGAGGGTATGAGCATAGTTGGACTAGAGCTGCTGTGGAAATGTAATAGTAGGAGAGTGGCAGCCTGCTGCTTCTAGGTTACAGGGGTAACCTATACCCCCTGTAATCCGTATCCAAAAGACCGGACATAGATTACTAGTATTGAGATAAAAATTGAGGATAATGTACCTTTATTCTATTTAAATATTCATGGATAAGAAAATATTAAGTACGATGTTTATTCTTAAATATAGATGGGTGAGTAGTCAAGTTTATATAGGTGTAATTTTTAATCTTGAATATAGCGTAGTGTTCACATTTATATTTGAATCACCAACCCTATCATCCATCCCATTTCCACACGAAGTAACTCAATGAAACGGAGTATATGGTGTTATAGAGAAAGTGTACCATAATAAAATAGATGAACAGAAACCAGACATCCCAACAGTCAGACCTGCCATACAGAAGGCTCAATATCGACAGTATATCTGTAAATATATATATTTTTAACCCAACAATCTACTCTTTTCATATATAATCTAACTCCCCTCCCCACCCAACCCCAAGAAACCATCCATTCCATCGCATACGACCCCCCTCCCCCAAAGACTCCCCGCCAAAAAACCAACCAAATCAAACCACACCCTCCACTTCACCCGCTCAAACCGCCATGAGAAGCGGGCAACACAAATTCAGAGCATAACACCGCCGGAGCAGATTCCCATATCTGCCCACCCTTGCAGTGTAGCCCTTTCTCCCCATACCCACCCACCCAAGCCAAAAAATAAAAAACAAAGTTACAACCATTGCCTTCCAAAAAATCGTGGAAACAAAGTGCTCCAGATCAATCTCCGCCCTCGCCGGGCAGATCGAGCGTGCCATCCAGACCCTGGTCCAGAACAGCTGACGCATGGAATGGAGTACTGCAAATAACCTCCCAACTTTTATCCCCACACCCCCCCAAAAACGTATATCTCACACCCCAATCGGCATGCACCACTCACCACCCCCTGTGACTCCCCCTCCGACTCCCACCACCCGAATCCCTCTCGCTCCCCGCCCCAGCCCCCTCACGGCCATCTTCGAGACTACGCCGCGACTGCTCCGAGTTCCTCCCGATCTCGCTCATATCGAAGAGCAGCGGGTACTCGTCATCATCAAACGGCGGCCCAAGGGGGCGGGAGAAGCTATACCGATTCGTGCGCTCGTGCTCTCCGCTACCTGCGCGTCTGGTGTCTACCACGCCGCTGGACGATGATCCCGTCTGCGCCGACAGCGAGCTGCGATCTACCTTCGGTCGTCGCGTGGGGCGTTGTTGTGATCCCGGTGCCGAAGAGCGCGGGACAGGGGGCGAATCGCTATCAAGACATGATAGTTGTCCGTCCATAGCCGCGCTCCCGATACCCGGTGCGGGTTGAGAAGAGCGGTCGCGTGTCTCCTCCGGCACAGTTCCCGGGACCCGACCGAAGCCGCGCAGATCGCTGAGGCTGGGGGGTTCGCGGTCATCGGCGCCAAGGCTGATGCTGCGGTGGAATGGGAGGTCGTTATCATCGTCATCGACGGCGAGGGTGCGTTGCTCCTGGGCTACCGAGCTGGAGCGACGACTAGCATACTGGCGTGGCCTGGGCGAGAGAGGGATGTCGATCGCAGTGGTACCAGGGCCATTATCGTCCTCGTCGCCGGAAACATCGTCGATGCGATCTTCTTCCGCTGTGCTGCGCGTGCGTTCACGACGAGGTTGTGAGTACTCAGCAATGGAGTTGGCGCTTAAGCGCGAGGGAATCGCAGGTGTATGCGGGGTGTGTGGCGAAATTGGTTTGCCAGGCGACGATGACGTCGAGATGGACGTTGCTGCAACCATCGGCGGGACGCTTGATAGTTGTCGGCTAGACGAGGATGACGAGCGGTGCAGGAGCATCGACGAGGTCAAAGATTCCGTGAGGATGTTGTGAGACTCTCTCATAGATTGGAACCTCGTTAACTGTGACGCCGTTCGCCGAGTGGCAGCTTCATTGCCTCTTTGTTGGAAGCTCGGTAAATTTTTATTGCTTTCAAGGACGTTGAGAAAATCCGAGATGTTATCGTCATCAGTCTGCAACGATCCTGAACTGCCAGCAGTGGCCTCTGCGAGTATTCCCGATCCAGGTTGTGCCGATGACGAGAGGCTCTGCTTGCCACTGCTCCCTTGGTCATCCTCTGCCCTGCTGGTCCCGCCGTACGATAGCCTGCCGCGACGATGGCTAAAGCTACTGCTATATCGGTTAATAGTCACCGTCTTTGGTGAGCTCGATGGCGAGATAGTGTTATCTTGTTGAATCGGTATGCCACGCAAAGACGCTGGCATTCCCGCTGTCAGAGACGATCTATTCCGCGCCTGTGATAATGCGCTCATACCAACAGAGCGAGGCACAGACTGTGAAGACCCAGGGGGCAGCATCTCTCCTTGTTGTGGCGCAGACGTGCCAGGTAAAGGAGACCCAGACAGCGAACCAGCTTTGAACGGATTAAATGACACAGATGGTCTCCTCGCAGCAGCAATACTCTCATTTGCCCTTGATGTCGGCCTCGAAGGCTGAGCATATTTCGCATAGGATGACCCAGCAGGTGGCGAGTTAGTCTCCGACCCCATATTCCTAGCAGCCCGCAATGCAGAGATCGGACTTGCAGCAAGCGTTGGCCCTTCGCCGTGAAAAGTAGACAAACTTCCGTACGTCTGCGTCGGCTCCACTTCCACAGAAAACCGTCGATTGACAGGTAATGAACCAACCTCTGTCACCCTTGTATCTCTCCTGCGATCTTCCCGTCTTGATGCTAATGTTGGCTGAAAGAAATCCTCAGCACCCATAAACCTTTCACTGAGTAAAGCTTCGGAATCTGCAGCACGGAAGTTACAATCGTTGCGATAACAGACCTCAGCAGAGAACGGTCCCGCGGGGCTCTCTGTCTCGCCTAGGTTGAATCGTGTCGTCGTTTCGCCATCCCCTTGGAATAGAGGGATGGTGAGTGGGTCATGGTGAGCTGGAACAAATGATTCACCGTTGATAATCCGGCAATTGATTCTCAGCCCGCCTCTTGATGTTGGAGCCTTGCCGATGGCCTTCACAAACTTCGACACAGGAGTGAAGCGGGCAGTTGCATACAGGGTGCGAAAGAAGACTATCGCCTTCTTGTATATCGTCGGCAGTATGGCTCCATAATCGTATGTTTCGTCCGTTGAGCCTTCCTTCAGCTCTATCTTCCAACGTTCCAGTATAACTTCTGTATGTCGTTTTCTGTGGCGTGAGTCACCGTGTTTCGAGTCCTGAGCCTCATTGAGCGCTTCCGCGACATCCCAATGCTTGCCGTTGTCATCCACAATGACCAGGCTTTGTTTGTTTGATAGATCAGAGGTATCAATATATGTTTCAAGGATCAACGGCGGAGGCCGATTCTCAAACCCCCCACACGTTTTCCATAGTCGTAAGTCTTCGCGAAATGCATCTGTATCATCCGTCTCTAATTGGAACTGCAGGCAAGTCAGACTCAAACATCGAACCTCACACCGCCAACTCTTCTCCGTGTGAACTTGCCCATTTATTAACCTTCGTCGTCTGATCCTTTGTTCGAATAGTCGGAAACGACATCCTCGACTGTAGTATCACAGTCGCCGCTTTGGTATGGAAGTTCTATCACTCATCAGCAACCACTCACACACGCCAGACCCCCCCTCAACAGCAAACTCACCTGCACAATCTGATCCAGCTTCCTCCTCGCCTCCGCACTCGGCCCCGAGGAAGCCACGACATTCTCCCCACGAATCCCAGCGGACTCATTCTCGCTATACTGCGGCGCATCAGATCCGAACCGGCTATGACCACTCTGCCCTCCTTCCCTTGGATTATTCGTGCGATAAGGGTTTGTCGACGGCGACGACGCCGGAGAAGCCCCCTTCGGCGGGGGGCGGGGGTGTTGATGCATTATAGGCTTCTATTCGGAGGGGCTGTTGCTGGGGGTGGTGGCGGCGATGGGGATTCCAGCTGCTGCTCAACCGCGCAGGTTCGATATGGTGTTCAGTTGTGATAGAGTCTCGCGATATGGTGGAGTTGCCCTAGAGCTTCCATTGTCACAGTGAGTGGCGCTCGCAGGAATATATCTCCTCTGCCGTTGAATCTCGCAAGGCGGCGGTAAGTTGGTGCTCTGGTGCTCTGGATCGTTCTAGGCGGTGGTTGTTGCTGTGGCTGGTGAGGTGAGAGACAGGGTATGCAGGGATGTGAGGCGGCCAGGGAAGGAGCTAGGCAGACAGCATGGGCTGCGGTCAAAGAGTCGGCGGAGGAGGGGAATGCGGATTCGTGAGTCGTCAGCGAGGTAGGTTGATCCTGCAGGTTGGGGTTGGTGCTCCTGCGTTGTACGTATATATGCCGTTGATGGTTGGGGATTTTCAAGGGGAGGGGAACGTGGCTTGGTGGTGGTTGATGATGGTTAGATGGTCATGCCGTAACCTGCAAGGTAGCTCTCGTGATCCAAACGCTATCTCGCGCCTTCCCGGGTAGCTTTCGCGGCGGCTATGATAGGGAGATAGGGAGGGATATGGGGTGATTAAAACAATGGGAAGGATAGCTGGAGATGGCGAGGATAGGAGATATAGAGATCAACAAGGGATATTTTTCAATGCAATTATGGGCAAGTAAATACGGCAAAAGTGGTCTATGAATGGTGAAGGTTCATTTGTGGTGGGCGGACTGTTACTGTCTTGTCCCGCCCCAGTGTGACTCTTGAGGTTCAGAGCTGTACGGTGGACTATAGGGGGCGCAAGCGTCTGACTGTGCCTGTTATGGCCTTAGGCCACGACCCCCGGGGTCCACCACCAGCCACAACTGGCAAAGCCTGGCCACCCAACAACTAACAAGCCTCTACTGCAAAGTGTGTATCTACAGCACACCGTAGAGATTAGGCCTTCCCTTATCGTAAATAAGCCTAAGCCAAGAATAGCTAGACTTCGGCAGACACATGCCAGGCCACATTCTGTGTGGTTGGTGACAGCGATGTGAATGCCTGTACTCCAGGCAACACAAGGGCAGGGCAAAGGAGGGTGGATAAGGAGAATCTTGTACAACATGTAGTTGTAGCTGGTATGTATTACAATATATTACCCTGAAAACTTTATCTCTACATAGCGGCGGGATCTAGCCTTTCCTTCCCGTCAGGGGTACTCCGGGATGCCCCCAAATCAGCCCCCGTAAACGCCGTCGACGTGCCCTTTTTACCATAACGCCTTACGCCTACCTTTTGTCCTTATTACCCGCCCTTCCCTGGGCAGCCTCGCCCGAATCTTTTTCCTTCCGACTCTCGCCTTGCACTATATTACTCGCCCCTCTACCCCCTCCTCCTCCACCACCACCTCTACCCCTCTTCCCCCTCCCTCTAGAACTGCCGCCTTTCTTCGGCGTAGATTGCGCAGGTTCGCTCCTCGCCGTCTCTTCCTCCTGCGCCCTGCGGCTCTCCTTATCCCACCACTCCTGAAACGCCTGCTCCTCTTGAATTTCCTGCAGACTCCTCTTCGCAACCGCTTCTTTGACCAGGTCTTGTTCCCGCTTCTGTTGGCCGATGATATCATTCATGGACAACTGCAGCGTTGGTTCTGCGCGCGGACTACCAAGGGCAGGAAATAACTCTCGGTTGGTGACCAGAGGCGAGGATTTCATCATTTGCGGCTTTGCAGGTCCGCGACTTTGTGACTTGTAGCTCTGTGGTGACACATCCGACTTGCCACGTTGGCCCGAAAACCGTGTATCCGGAGAAGCTGCACGTGGGCGCGGGCTTGGTGTTGGAACCTTGAGACTAGATGCCCCAGATGGAGAGGTACCCGAGTCTCCACCGACAATGTCACTCAGGTTGATTCGAGGTCCTGCAGCCGCTACCTGCCATGGCCCAGAAGGCTTCTCATTAAGGTTGGGCTTCTTGCTCAATTGTTCTTGTTCAAACGCTGCTTGCTGCTGTTGCTTCTTGCGCTCTTTTTGAGAGAGCTTGGGGGCTGCGGCTCTTGATGCTGCCTCGTCTTTCTCTCTCTGGGCAGATATGCCCAAGGACAACGAGGATGTCTGGTTTGAGGACGCTTGAGACATGATCTCACGCATGTTCAGTTTTGTTGACGGCAAGCCCGGAGAAACCCATGTCTTAGGATTGACGCCTGGAGATCCCCTGGGAGGAGTTGCCGGTTCGTCAGGCGAATTTAGTATTGAAGAGTCGCGCACAAATATCGACTTCTTGCCCTTGTTCTTGAAGGCGGGAGGTGGGAGCGCTGTGTTCGAGCCGCCTAGTGGAGTGGATGTTGATCCAAGGGGTTGTAGAGACGGAGATGAAGGGTTAAGTGGCGAAGATTCATCATCCTCCATATCAAACATAAGATCGGCGATCGAGTCCTTGGGTCGAATACATGGGCTGGTAGCTGCTGTATGATGAGGTGTGTTCTGTCGCTTTGGGGTCACACTTGAAGATGGCGGCGAAGAAGCACCATCAAATCCAAAGCCGCCAAGTCGGGTCTTGAACGAACTTGACAATCTTCCCTCTTCGTCTCTGAGGGAGGTTCTAAAAGCCATATCTCGTAGCTTTCGCTGTCTGTCCTCGTCCAGCTCGCCCACCAGGCTGGGATGACGCTCATGCAGGAGCAATTCTGCTCGACCGCTTTTTGCAAATGGCAAACATGCCAACTGGTTTTCTCGCACGTCCTCGTTTAATTCAGCAAGTAGATCATCGTCAAGATCATTTAGTAACCTAATGGACATTAGTATTTCTCATATATGCAGATTGTGAAAACATACTGGTTGTCAAGCATAGTCTCTAGCTGCAGGCAGACATATTCGAGGCCAGCTTCTTTGAACTCCCGAACAGCGCAGGGCGCAACATCATTCAACAAATTGCATATATTCCTAGTGTTCACTAGTATTGTTAGCTGAATATCCGTCTAGAGGGTTGCATGATCTGCTTACCGAATCGGCCGAGGATTTGTTGGCAGGCTTGGGAGAGTCGATCGAGCATCAGCTCGTTCGCTACACTCATGACATCCATCACAAGGTCGCAAAACTCATCCACATCTTGCACAACAATGTCGTCAAACAACTCCGTGCCAGCGTCCGTGTAAACATGCCTCAACACAATATCGAAGGTCGACGGCTCAATATGCGTCAGATCAACTCGAACAGGCTCCGAATCCTCTTTGCGGCCAGCAAGCCACTGTCCCCCAGCACGGCCACCAAACAGGCCCTCAAAGAAAGGGCATCGTTGACGCCAAAAGACACTGTGGACAGTTACCTCGTCGCCATCCAGCTCAATAACCGCATCGCCATCGGTGAAGAAAGTGGGGTCGTTCAGAGCAAAAGCGAAGTCTACGTTCATCCGACGTAGCGGCGCGGCCATTCTCCGCACCCCGACTTCCAGCCCGTTCATCTCGAGTTTTGTAGCCACATGCATAATTTCGTTTCGTATTTGGCGGTATCGGTTCCCGCGGTCAGGTACATTGCGCGAAAAATGCCAGACGTCAAGCACCTTGTCGGTATACAAGTATAACGCCAAGTTGAATATGGTGATGAAGTCGAGGTCCTCAAATTCGATGTTTAACAAGCCATCCGAAGCACGGATTGTCATCACTTCGGGAATAATAAACTCTCCCGTCTCCTTAGCCCTTCTGAAGGCATCTCGAATCAAAGGGCTGCGTGCCGCGAACATAAAGCTGTGAATGGGAATTTTGGTATCGGCAGCCGAGCTTGAAATTTCAGCATCGTAGCCTTCTTGGCCAATACTGCCCTTGGCGATGTGGCGCGCGACGTCTGCTTCAAAATCTGCGCTGAGAAGAACAGCTTGTCTAAGAGGGTCGAGGTGGTCTATCGACACTGTAGGAGGCCATGGATACCTGACTCTTTTACCCGGTGGTGCGGTGGTCGTGAAAGATAACTCTTCGCCGACACAGAATAGCGGAGCAATATCGTCCCACAGGGTCTTCTCATCAATTGATATCTGCGTCATGACGTCGCAATCCTTCCGAATAGCCGCATACCCCCCAAAGATATTACTTCGTACCGCAGCAACATTCGTAAGGCCAGGCACGCGTTGAAATTTGTAGTCCTTATTCTTGGTATACGACGAAAATGCCTCTTTCACTTTCGTCCTCTTGACGCGGCGCCAAACAGCACCAGCTTGCGTGCAGAGGATAACAGAGCCATCCTCTCCAACACCAACTGACTTGATACCATCCCAGTTGCCTTTACGTAACGACCAGATCTTTTGAGGCTGTGACAGTGAACTTCGGATTTTGGCTGGATTCGTCGTCGATGATGCCGAAGAAGTGCTAGAATCGATGTTGTGGCTGACAGTCATTGTAAACAGATCTCCTCGGCTAGAAACAGCAGCTATAGTGTCACCGCCTGCAGTTACCAACGAAATATGGCTAGGCTCCGCCTCGTATCGCGTAGTAAGAGTACGAGATTTGAGATGATAGTTGCTGAATCCTCCGTAGAGGGGAAATTTGACAATATTATATCCGTAGTTGGTAAAGACGCACACAGTGTGATTGGCTAGCAAGCATATTGTGGCCCGATTGATTGCTGATACCATCTGAATGTTAGATGTAAAGAGTGACGCAGCGACCTTTCGCGGGATTGGTTGAACTTCCAGAGATCGTGAGTCGGAGTCCATTAAGCCAAGCTGTCCCTCGTTTTTGCCCCATGTGTACAGGGAGGTGGACGTATGGGCCACAGAATGGATAGCAGATGCTGCAACACCAATGACAAACTCCTTCTTCAAAGGCCCGAATATCTGCCGTGGAGTATTGTTGATAGGCTCCTCATCATTTGGCGGTCGTGGCAGCGTATATCCAAGAGTTCCGCAGGTATTAGTTCCCCAGCTTACAACCCCTCCGTCCGAGGTAACCGCTAAGCTGTGATTCTGCCCCAGGGCCACCGCGGACACCTTCTTTTCTTCCAATGCCCCTCCTTCTACGCAAACATAGTTAAAGCTTGTGATATCATGACCGAGACCTAATCGACCACCCGGCCCAAAACCGCACATGTAGAGATTAGAATACGGATCAGTCGTAAGGATGGCGCTGTGGAGTTTTGACAAAATTGCATCTTGGATTATTATCGGCCTGTTTCTAATCAGGGTAGGGAGGTCCTCGATTCGCTTGGGTCCGGGGCCTTTCTTGGGGTGGTCGTCCTCGTTCTGACATTCAAGAACCTCTCGATAGAATCGCCAAATTAAGTGGTCTGGCCGCTTCAGAGTTATTTTTTCCGGGTGCTGCCTGTCGTCTTCATCGCCAAACCCAAGGGTCAAGTTCTTATTGCTGCCAAATGCATAAAATTCGTCGCCATCGATGGAGTCGTATCCTCGAGACTCAGTATCCGCTACTTCAGCAAAATCTGAGTCTGAGTCATCCGATTCGTCAACTTTGACAGAAACCTCGATAGGGTGTAACGTGCGCCGAGCAATCGTGGAGTTATACACGTCAAATGCGCTGTTGCCTTCGTAGTCTTTGATTCGGACAAGGGGTGTGCCCTTGGTGGTTGTGGTCCCTGGACCCTGAAAGTATGTGTCTGTCGAATCCTTATTGAGAATAGCTCTGGCGATGGAAACATTGCCAAAGTAGAGCGCGCGGTGCAACGCAGTCCAACCATTCTCCTTATCTTGTACGTATAAATCGATCAATGGATGTTCAATGAAGGCGAGTGCTATATCCAGAGACTCCGCAGTGTGGGACGAAACTGCTCTGTGGAGGATGGTCAGACCCTGGCTGTCGCGACTGTTGATATCGGCCTTCGTGAGACCACTTGTCGGGTTTTTGGCGCCGGCACTGCCCATGTGTCCCAATGATTTCTTTGACTTGACATTCCTAGGAGAGGCGGCGCCGTGAGCTGCGCCGGGACTGCTGGCAATCGCGCCCAAGCTACCGCCATGGCCGAACGGGGCGCCTTGGCCTTTGCTTGTCAGTTGAGCTCCATTGCCTAGCAGATTCCGACACCTGTCGACATCGTCTTCTAGGTAAGCCCTCCAAAGCAGGTTACTCATGTGTTAGGCGTTGTTGTGGGGGAGTTGTGCCGAGTCTGGTCGCCTCGCTGTGGCTCTGGGTAGACACGGCGTTTTTAAAGGCGACGAGAATCGGAAGAGGTTTCGGAGAGATTGATCAGGATTCGGACTATGGCGTGTGAATATTATCGAAATTTGTGGCTACAGTGTATTTTGGTATCGGGAGTAGATGTGTATTGTGTCGATGGTGATTTTGTTCCGGTTATAGTAGAGTTGAGGCCGTTGCCTCCATGAAAGGATCGATATGTATGGGATGGAGGGGTGGTTCGCGAACCTCGATGACTCCAGATATTTGATGAGATATGGCCAATCAGAAGCTCTATATCTGGTCCGTGCCTGAGGGAGATGCGATCGAAAGATAAGTCACGTGGTGTGGATTGTTAATTGTGTCACGTGACTATTTACTGAAGCGCCGCTAGAAGTATTTTTGGTGGAGATTGAAAGGAAGATCGATGGTGGATGCGACAACGGGGATAGACCCGAATCATGCGCTAGTAGTGTGTGTGTACCTTAAATAACTCTGCGGCAAGAAGTTAACCCTTCTAGTATTTGTTACTGTCTGTACTGTAATGTTAGTTTGCCATTTTATCATTTTATACGAGTCGAGATCTATATTTACTTTTATTTATTTATTGACAAAAGACGTGAGTGTGCCTGCTGATGAGTAATTTCCTTGGCCAGAATTGGGTGATTTGTTGGTGATTTTATTAGTGAAACCGTTTACGAGGTTGCCGGGGTACAATGCCGTACTTTTATGTACTTTTATCATGGCTGTGCAGCAAATCTCTGGTCTCATACGCGTCCCCTACCCACTTTTGAGCCAATTAACGGCTTTCTCATCCCCCAAAACGACGGTTAGTTTGAGCACCACGCGTACCCCAGAAACCCCCCTGTCCGTCAACTCTCAACCCTCCTGATCTACTAGCCCCATCTCAGCTATCTCTCCCTTGTCTCCCAAGACATAAGAAGCTTTTTGTCACGACTCCGCTCTTTTCTTGGCGCCCTTCCTCTCATAACCCTTTGAGATATCTTCTACACTGTGTGTATTCATATCTTCCATTCGTTTTGTACCCCACGACCTCATATTGTCGATTTATCGAGCTTGCCGATCTATACCCTCGGGTGCAAGCTGTCTGCGCGATATACCTCAGTCAGAAACTCAACCCGTTTGAACGCGCGTGCCTGTCCTCGTATTCTGACTCCAACAACAACGACGACGCTCCCTGGGAGCTGACGACTAACTATTATTCTGAGCATTTTGAAAATCGTTCAGGATGAAGACGGGCAGCTTCTTTGCTCTCGCCACGGCTGCTGCGGGCCTCTTTGGCCATGCGGTCGCTATTCAAGTTGACTTCACTTCGCCCGGTAGGTGCTGGCCACAGTCCACAGTTACCCAGGTTGAGACATCAGTCTAACATTGTTCTAGCTTCCGTGAAGAGCGCCGCATCCTCCATCGCATTCGATTTGATGAGCTACTATACAGGAAACCAAACTGGACAGTATAACATCCCGGGGCTCCTCGAACAGCCTCCCGCCGGATACTACTGGTGGCAGGCTGGTGCCATGTGGAACACTATGGTCGACTACTGGTATATAACAGGCGACACTTCCTACAACGAAGCCACAACACAAGCTCTGACCTTCCAGGTTGGCGATGATCAAGACTACATGCCAACCAACCAAACAAAGGCGCTGGGAAATGATGACCAAGGTAACATAAATATACCCTCTCACATGCACTTACTTACACTCTTCCAGGCATGTGGGGAATGGCCGCCATGACAGCCGCGGAATACAACTTCCCTAATCCTCCAAAGGGTCAGCCACAGTGGCTCGCTCTCGCCCAGGCCGTGTTCGCCACCCAAGCTTCGCGCTGGGACGATGCTCACTGTTCGGGTGGTCTGAAATGGCAGATTTTCCGCTTCAACGTCGGATACGACTACAAAAATGCCATTTCCAACGGCTGCTTCTTCAACATCGGTTCCAGACTTGCCAGGTACACTGGAAATGATACATACGCAAACTGGGCCGAGAAGACCTGGGACTGGACTCAAAAGATCGGCCTCATTGATGCGCAGTACAATATATATGATGGCACTGATGATCTAAGCAACTGTACCACGATCAACCACGTCCAATATAGTTACAACGCCGGTGTCTGGATTCTCGGTGCTGCTCATATGTACAACATCGTACGTATACTCCATCCCCCTCCCCCCCCCGAAAACTCCACGCGCAACCACGCAACTAACTCCCCCCCTAGACCAAATCGGACGTCTGGAAAGCCCGCGTCCAAGGCCTCCTCGACCAATCCATCAAAATCTTCAGCGACAACGCCACCGGCATCATCATCGAGCGCGACTGCGAGCTCACCGAGCCCGCATCCTGCAACACGGACCAGAAATCTTTCAAAGCCTACCTCACCCGCTGGATGGCCGCAACCTCCAAAGTTGCCCCTTTCACCGCTGACCAAATCTCCAAGTTCCTCCTCATCTCCGCCAAAGCCGCGGCAGCGCAGTGCACGGGTGGGGATAAAGGGAGAGCTTGTGGTTTGAGGTGGGTGCATGATGGGCAGATTGGTGTGTGGGACGGGACTACGGGGGTGGGCGAGGAGATGTCGGCGCTGGAGGTTATTCAGAGTACATTGATTGGGTCGACTGCTGGACCTCTCACTAATACTACTGGTGGGACGAGCCAGGGTAACTACAACGCGGGGAGCAATGCTAAAACCGCGGCGTCGTTGCTTGATGACTGGACCCCGACGACTGGCGACAAAGCAGGCGCAGGGATTGTGACGGCTGTGATTCTCGCGGGGGTGATTGGAGGGGTGGCGTGGATGTCTATGGCGGATTGAGGGGGGGGCTTTTGGAGTAGGTGTCGTGATGAGTCGGTCTTGTTAGATGGATTGGGATTTCATGGTTCTGTGGCGCGCAGGAAGGGAATGGGTAGCGCGGGCAGGACGTGGGTATGGTATGTGGGTAAGGGACCACGGGTGCCTGGCGTTATCGTTGCGGTTCTATATCTGCTTTCTATGTTGTAGTATGTAAGTCCTATCAGATGGAAATATCTTTTTCTTTCTCGGGGGGTTTAAAGTGCACGTAAACTTACCTCTGTCTCTGCTTTTCGTTGGTAGGTAAGTGGGCTTTTACACGCAGCCCTCTTCTTCCTATATTAAATGACGTTAAACCGGTGAGTTATCATGTCTCTGAGATTCAGCGAGTGGTCGGCATGTGAATTCATTGATAATGGACAAGATCTACAGTCATCTTGTGTAATTTAAAAGTTGAATACACTATGTTAATATAACATTGCAAATACTACTTATGGTTTACTATTGGTTTTATGGGCTCTTATAATATAATTAATTCTATAGACTATATAGCTATTACTGTAGAATTGCTTAAGGGGAGTTTATTAGCAACTAGATTATTTTTATAATCTAGATTGTGGTGTTCGAGCTTCGGGTTTAGCGCCCGCCCTAATCAGGCAACGCGCCCGCGGATGTGCCTGCCGCCGCTTTCAACTTCTAGAAATTTCGTTTTTATTAGGAACATATACTAGGAAATTATTAGAGGATTTAAATCCTACTAATATACCTTTATTAGCCACACTGCATGGCACCGCCTAACGGGTCCCACTGCTCGGGCGGGGCCATGCAGTGTGGAGGGGGTGGCGGAGGAGCCAAACGTTGCACGACAAGAGAAAATAGGATTAACAAGGCTCCTGTAGGATAGATGAGACTGCGTGTTTTCAGCTGCGGCGAGGCCGAGCAGGGGGACCCGTTAGGCGGGGCCATGTAGTGTAGAGGGGTGGCGGAGGAGCCAAACGTTGCACAACAAGCGCAGCAGGTGCGAGAATGTTAGGAGGCAGGAGCGACGGTGGAGAGGGACAGAATCGGAGGGAAGCGATTGGCCCTTACTATTTACTATGGGTGGTATATGGAAGTCGAAAGCGGCGGCAGGCACATCCGCGGGCGCGTTGCCTGATTAGGGCGGGCGCTAAACCCGAAGCTCGAACACCACAATCTAGATTATAGTAATATGCAAGATTGTGGTGTCGGAGCTGCTGTTTTCGGCTGGCGTTGGTTGCTGCTTTACGCAGCCCCGAACACCAAGTTTTCATCCTGTGCCGAGCTTGGTGATCGGCCACCGGATAATTATCGGAGTGAATGCGTCGTACCTGAACTCTAAAAACCAAAACCGTTGTCCTGCCTCCAACCTCTAGCTGGTTCTGTCTCAGATGTCCCCATTATACCCTTCCGGCACGGGCCGGAACGTAGGCTTTATAGTAAGGTTTAGTGTTGCATTTCAGTGCCTGGGGGTAAACATGTTTTCATAAAGATGGCATCAAGTCAGCGTCATTCGCAAAGTCACCCATTAAAGAAGCAGGTGATCACAATGAGGGATACCATCATGTCTTAACAAGTATCTATTTGGCGTGACACCAATCCAGTTTCTCCTCAGGAACCAGTAACGCTCACACTCCACCCGCACTCCGCACCTCGTGCTCAGAACAGCGAACAATGTGCCATCTCTACGGACGTGCACGCATCGAACGCCCCCAAACAATAACTAGATGCACTGTGCGACTCCACACAAGTACCAACCGCCTTCGATTGATCCGTCACAAAGTAGATGTTCCACCAGTTGCCATTGTTGGGTTTGTAGATGAAGTTCGCCCACCCGTGGACCCACGGCTGCTGACTGGTAAACTGGGTACCGGGCAGGGGGTTCCCGTCGACCGAACCGGCACCACATGTGTTGGATGCCTCATCAGGCGCGACGACATAGTAGTAGTATTCGGGCACCTGGCCACCAGAGCTGGGGATGACGAAGTTGGAGCGGCAGTTTTGTATCCATACACGGAAATAAGCGGTGCGGGGGAGGAGCTTGTGGGCCTCACTAACGTCGGTGTCGGCGATTGGTTGGGGTACTGCAGCAGCAGAGATGAGGGTCCCTACAGAGAGGGTGGCTATGAGAGCAGTGGGGAGGTTGAGATGGAGGCGCATATTGACTTGGTCTTTGTATCCAAGGGCTGTAGTATGTAGAGTATTTGTTGTTTGCGTGTTTTTATATCGTTCTTTGGGAGGAAAGACGCTGCCAGTTTGCACTTGTCAGTTCTAGTGAGAATTTCATGTCCAAGGTGTAGCTATATGTATATACCTGCCCCCCGACTCCCAGCTACCCCTCTTTATGGGAACTCTAAGAATCAATATTATGCACGGTTAAGTGTAAGTGTAAATACATTTACCCAAGTTAAGACTAGGATTCTCATTTTATAGAGCAAATGGTATGTGGTGACTTACAAGGTTGTAGATTAGCACACTTGGGGTTTGCTGACCTAGCCCGACTAATAGCTTCCATTTCACGATATATCTCATGCTTACTTTTTACACTATTAGGTGGCGCTCTTGGCAAATTTCAGGGTCAACGGTAATTCCGCCCGCCGGAATCTCAACCCGTCCTCGTGGAAGGAATAGAATCGAATTAAAACGTAACGTCTTTTAAAGATGCAATAGCGATAGATGAACACCAAATCTCAACTGCAATTGGCTGTGTCATAGTGCAAGGAAGTCAGTCTCAACGCAGATTGCACATGCCACGATTGCAAGCCACGGTCTCAAGACGCTTCAGATGTGTGCGGCAACGAAGAAGGGCATCAGAGGTGCCATCAGAACACAGCTCAGCTCAATCTCGTATCTTGACCGATCCGACAACTTCGTCGACGATACTCAAAGCGCTCGCTACCGTCGCAAAGAGCTCGGGGGCATGAATGGCGAGGTCTGCTAAGGGCGGGATTCGAGTTTGTAGTACTACTATCCCCCCCTGTATGATTGTAACGATCCACTGTTTTTACAGCTTCACCGCACCCAAGTTAGGCGGAATAGCATCCAGCTTTAGTGAGCGATCCTGCCAAGCTCTGGCAATACTTTTGCGGGTCGTTACAATCATACAGGAGAGGGGATAGTATGGGGTATTCATGTGCCACTGTGGGTTTTCGGCTGTGGCGGGGCCATGCAGTGTGGATGGGATGGACAAATGAACCAAGCGTCGCATGATGAGCGCAGCAGGTGCGAGATTGTTGGGAAGGACGACAGAGAGTGAAAATCGGGGGGGGAGGAAGCTGCCCTTTTATACAGCTCGAAAGCGGCGGCAGACCCGTGCACACATGTTCCCTGATTAGGAGGGCACCAAACCCCGCATGTCGAAAACCACGATCTAGATTATGGCATATAAAGTAGCTATAGTTTCGCTATACACCTAAAATGTTCCTAATAAGGCTATAACGAAGGCAGCGATAGAAATAGTAGGGTAGCAACGATGAGCAAGTAGTAAAACCCCTATTAATAGTAACTATTAGGTCTATAAATCTTTTGCCCAATTTCTATTTAATAGACTTATATATATTGCCTACTATTATATCATATGATAAAGTACCCTTACCTATTCCACCGGCCCTCCATAGCGCAGCCTACATATGATCTACAGACGAATCCCATATCCATGGTTGTCTTTGATCGAAGCACTGGACTCAACACCCCAAATCGCGGGGCTTTAGTACTGCAAGTCGAGCGAATCATGTTGCACCGCCCGCTAAGACAAGGCGGGACCGGCCGCATTTCGCTAGTAAGTTTTAGGACAGCATAACGTCTTGCGTCTTAATATCATTTTGTTAGACATACAGTGCGTTCGATAGCTTCTTCCATTGGCCCTTCAGGCTTTTAATATTCACTTTGCAGCGCTGTAAGACTTATGGCAGATTACTGTGTCGCTGCCCGAGCCCGCAACAGTGCCAAGATGAGAACTGAGGTGGATAGTCATGAGGGACCGCATACAAAATTATATGGTATCTCCGGTGGCCGGGACTCCTCACTTTGGCCTAACGGAGCAGGAAGACCTCACAGTAAATGTAGTAAATAGATCAATTGAATCGCCACTATCTACGGGTCTACGTACGCTATTTGTAGGCCTCACGGGGAGCCCCGAAACCCTGACAAGCTGGAGGCCTCCGGAGCTCACCTGTGGCTGAACTTGGCGGCTGCATATAGGCGGCATCATCGGCCAACCTGGGCCAGCCGGTGAGCTGGACAATCAGGCGAGGAAGATCTGTCATTTGGGCGTAAAACACCGCCATATTTGGCGGGAAAGTCCGGCTCCCGGTCAACACTGTGAGACAAGTTGCCAAGCCAGCTGAAGTCGACTTCAGAGGCATTTCTGATCAATTTTTTTTTGGGGGGGGACGATCATATCAATTTTTGGGCATTTTAAATCACTCAAATGGCGCTATTTCAACAGCTCGTGGAGGAGGCAGATGTTTCTTGGGCTTTCACTTATAGGGATTTTACTGGTAAGATTGTCAAGATACTATTAATGAATTTGAGTGAAGTCAGAGCTGGGCTAACCATTTTTTCTTTAATAGCTACCGTGGTTCCATTCTCATTTTTCACCATCGCCTCTTCTCTCGAAGCCGGGCCATCCTATGAGACCTTGCTTATCAACACCAGCAAATGTGCTGTCCTGAGCTTTCTACTGCTCTACACCTTCACCAAAAGCAATCAGATTAACGGCATCGAAGAAGACAGAATCAACAAACTTAATCGTCCAATTGTCTCTGGGCGTGTCAGTCTCCAAGGAGCTTACGCAAGATATGGTGTCTTCACACTTGGGTGTTTATTACTCGCCTTTGCTATGGGCGTAGAGGCAGGAGCCGTAACATTCATGGTTCTGGGCGATCTCCACAACTTCACCGATATCTCTTCCTTCGGTCCGGCTAAAGATTTCACAACAACGGGTGGCCTCACATCTGGGCTTTACACCGCCTGGGTCCTTGGGGGAGGAGACAAACGCCGTGGCATAAATTGGATTGCCTGTCTATCCATCAGCCTTCTCTTCACTATCTCAATCCAGCACCTCGGGGATGTGATAGGTGACGCAGCATCGGGCCGATACACCACCCCATGGATGCTAGGTAAACCATACGGCAAGTTCTGTTTTTAAAACAATTTATCCAACAAAGTTGACGTATAAATAATAGACAGGGTATACATAGGCATCTGCATGCTCTTCGTGCGAGCAACGACACTTACGAGGCAATATTTTGGGGGCGGGAATTTATACGCCTCGAGGATATGCGCTGCTCTGGTTGTTATGGCGGATGTTTTTTTGGTGGCGCGGATGTTTACGTTGCAGAGTACTGGGGAGGATAGGAAGACGTATCTGTTTTACATGTTGAGATTCTCATTTGAGACGGTGTTGGCTTCATTTATACTGTCAGCTTGATCGGGTGTGGACTGTTGACTTCACCGATGGATTACGGGATGAGATGAAAAGCTCCAATTTTGAGGGGGGGAAAAAATGGCTACTCGGCCAAATACTGTGTTGGGTATTTGCACAAGAAGCGCTCAGTCTAGTATGAGTGCTGCCTAGTGGAAGGGCTCTAGCTGGTGATAGAAGCGCCTTTAGCTATAAGTTTTATGGAAAGTTCGGGAATTATACCAAATTCTCGTTATCGTGGTTTTACCAGAGCTTCCTTCTATTTGATAGCCCAAGGAATACCTCCTCGGCATCCACATCCTTATCTCGAGCAAAAAAAAATACAGAGGCGCTGACCTGGTCTCAAGGCTTCTCTCAGACCTTCATTTCAACTTCTTCTATGTCCCGTAAAACCTCGATTGCGGACATATACTTCAATTCCCAGCACTTGGCAGTAATGGCACTACAGGCATGAAAATCCTGCGGGAACTCGGCATTTTCAAAACGGCTCCGGACTCGATCATGCCATCCCTCCTCCCCATCGACAATATCCGGAAAGACACAGTGGCCCATCATGATGAAATATATCGTACAGCCAAGCGCAAACAGATCCGTCTTGACGTCAGCATGGAACGGGTCAATTCGAGGGCAGAAGAACCTGCACGGCTCGGCACTTCCGCCTTCTAAAATGATCTCACCAGTCTCTGATAGATAGTTTCCCTGGAAGTCTGAGAGCTTCAGGCAAAGATTTTCGTCGAGGAGCAGATTTGTAGGTTGGATATCGCAGTGGATGACCCGCCTGGAGTGGACATGGGCAACTGCCTCAGCAACGTCTCGACACCATGCTAATCGCTGTTGGGAAAAGATAGTTGTGTGATTCGATAGTATGAAACTGTGCAATGTTCCATTTGTAGCGCGCTCTAGGTACAGTCCATCGGCAGAAAGGTGCTTGAATCCGATAATCCGGGGATGTTTGCCAACTTTGCAGAGAATCTCATACTCTAGTTCGAGGCGGCTCCTGTCTCCACCGGGTGTGAGAGGATACTTGAGAACTGTGGATTCATCCACTTCACCAATCCAGGCGCTAGTTCCTGATGCAATTACTCGCTGTACTCCTGGTGGGCAGTACTGGCGATATTCAACGATTTCCATTTCATCGCTACACATTGTGATGATACTCAGATTGCTTTAGGCTGTGGTTGATTTATGCATAAAGGAATATTGTAGTCGCCGCGTAGTTTATTAACGTAGATATGGGTCAGCTGACACTTTGCAGGGCGGGCGGCTTCAGTATTGTGGCTGACAGGTTGTAGATATTTATCCGATACCTTTACCTAACGTGTGTGCCACAGGATGGGGACGGCCCCAATAATCAAATGCAAGGCTGCACCACCTGAACCACCTGCCTCATCATAGCTACTATTATCAGCGTGGCATGTCGGGCACCAATCTCGCCCCTCTCTCTGCTTCTCAGCCTGCATTCTAGTTACCAGCTAAACTCGACGTGAGTATGAATCGTGCAATATGCTAGAGAGAAGTGTAATAGCATGCACAGTAGATCTTTATGTGATGGATTCTCCATGGGTCGCTATCTGAGACTCGAATCGACGACTTCTATGGATTCTCCATCGTCGCTATCTGAGACTCGAATCGACGACTTCTATGGACCTCCTGTATTTTTTATTCATTGCCAAGTGTAGGAAATAAAGAGAGGGTCGATCTGGATTGATGTAAGAATGGAGTTGTTTTATTGTTAAACGATCCTTAATAAATTAGTTTTAAAAGTTGCCCATCCACACTTCGTCTCACCCTCACATGAATTGTTTTAGGGAATATTTGTGTCCAGAAATATATTTCGCAATGAGTGGTTTTAATGTCGCTTATTAGCTAGACATAGATGTCATTCCAAGGAGCATAGAAGAGTGTAGAGCAATTTATGTAAAGTCAATCAAAGACCTAGAGAGCTTCTGACTTGATTGGTATCAAGTTATGTGATAGAATTTCATGACGGGCATTCGAAAATTGCCATCACCGCCAACGCAGGCCGATGTGGTGACAAGGCAGTCCCAGCAACATTATAGAGCCGTACGGCATTTTGGAACCAAGAACAAACACGTTGTTCGCTTTTCAGCCGTGAGATAGTATACTGCCTATTTACCCATTCCATTATTCCTACGAATATATCGCCATAAAGGCACCCCACTCAAGATCTATATCCTGTTATAACCCGCATCTCGGTCTTCCAACCTCAGGTCTCCAATTCTCATCCATCTCTACAGCCCGTTGGTAAGAAGCATTCATCCAACAACGAGAACATCTCTCCCGCGCTATGCAGCCTATGTACAACGCATTCAAGCTCCCCATCCATCTCCACCCCGTAATATCCATTAAATAATACAAAGTCCACGCCCGACAATACAATCAAGCAAAAGTCATCTCCATCTCCTTCTCCTTGAACTCATCCTCGTCATCTTCATCCGCCCAGGCGTTCCCACCAAGCGGCTCTGTCTTGTTCCCTCTCATGGGCGGCCTATGCATATCCACCTCAATCCCGTCCTTCGGGTCAGGCGGCAGAGGTTTATCCCTGAGTTCTTTTGAGACCCGCGGACTAACCTCGTACGACCTCGATTCGCCCCATCCTCCCTCGTCGACCTTCAACCCCGACTGTGATAGACCTAGTCCGGTGGCCGACCGCGCCGGCGACGCATACGATGTGTCGAAACTCATCTGCACCTCGTCATCCGGCGCGAGGTATGGACTCGACTGGTAGCTTTTATAACCATCATCAGGGCCATATGTATAGCTCTTCTTCGGCGCCGGGGACGGCGACTCCTCATACATGCCCATAGTCGGAATCACATCCGCAGACTTCGTGTCCCTAAGCGCACCAAGACTAGATGATGGCACGGCCGGTGAGAGTGAGGCAGCCGGGCTGCTAAAATCCAACTTCATAGGCGGCAGCGTACTCTCCAGCTCCTTGACCTCGAAATTCTCGCTCGCGAGCTCCGCGCGGATGGCATCGATATCAAAAAGCACACTATCATGTTTCGTGCTCAGCTCCGCATCATCCTCCTCTCGACTCTCCTGATACGTCTCCCACTCCTTCTTCGTAGCCGCCGCCTTCTTCTTCCGTTTTAAGAAGCCGAACTTCCCCTTCGCCTCGCGCTCCTGACGATCAAACTCCTTGCGCGCCTCCTCAATTTCGTTGATCAGCTCGCGCTGGCGCTGCTGGTGGTTCTCTGGATCAGGATCCTCGATCTCGCTGAACTCGTCGCTGTCGACCTGCCAGCCTACTTCACGGAGGAGTCGCGGCATGGCGGTTCGGTACGCCATGTGGCCCTTGACAAGCTCGGTGACGTCGACGTTCTCGAGGCCTGGGATGCCGTCAACGGGCGCCAGACCGGCGATGCGAGAGATTCCGCCGGAGGTGAGACGGAAGAGGTACCCGAGGATCCAGTCGTTGCGCGCGAAACCGTTGACGAAGCGACCGGCGACGACGGAACGCGCTTTTAGATAGTCATCCTTCTTGGCAACGATGGGTGAGCCGAAGAGGTACACGTTCTGAACGAGGCCGTGGGCTCCCTTGCGAGCGAGCTCGCGGAGACACGAGAAGATCACGCGGCAGCCGAGGGAGTAACCCACGAAGGTGATGGGGCGAGTACCCAAGTTACGGTCGATGAGCGAGTCGGCCAAAATGAGGCCGGCGGATTCAGCGCGCACCAGGGAGACAGCCCACGGGTTATCGATGAGGTACGAGAGTTTGGTAAGAACGACGGGAAGTTGGAGAGCGGCCATGAGACCAATGAGGATGGTGCTTCCAAGAACTTGTTGAAGACCTTGCGTTAACGCCTGTATCTGTTAGTTTTTGCCCAAGTTTGATATCTAAGCGCATAGAGCATACCTCAGTAGCCAAAATATTAATCGTATCTCCCATACTAGTCAACATCTCCGGCTCCCAAAGAACAGAGTAGATGTCTCCCATAATGGGATCAACAGTACTGTATGGCAACCGCACATCATCGACCTTACCCGTCATCCACCCCGACACCGTGACAATGAGGTTGACCCTCTTATTGTTATGCAGCGGTCGATACTCAAAAGTCTTGACAGCGCCAGTCCTCCTATTCGCCGCCTTCACCGCAATAATACCACCCGACGTCGCAGCAGCAGACGTAATAATTGCCGCTCCTCCTGCACCAGCCAGGAAACCACTCGTGCCCGCCACACCAATGGTGGTGAATCCAGCTGCCAGACCAGCACCAATGACAGGCGCAAGCAGACCGGCAGAGAGGCCGATGACAAGACCTCCTCCAACGGTAGCGAGGCCCATCATCATATAGCGCTTCTTAAGCGCCATCTTCCGCCGAGACTCTTTGTGCTCATCTTCGTTCCAGTTCTCCTTCTCGGCCGCTTGTTGCATCTCGAGGGCGTCGGTGACGCGCTTCTCGAAGCGGCAGATGTCGAGCCAGGTCACGTCTAGGTGGCTGCCTACTTGTTCGAGGAGCACTCTGGACCGTGCGTCGTAGACAGAGTCGGCAACGAGGGTGAGGAACAAGTCGCACAGTACCGTCCACCTCAAATCGATATCCAGATTTTTCGTCGTCGGTAATTGTCCCGGCGTCCTCACTTCCGGCAAATGCTCTCCATCAGTCTCAACATACGGTGGTGGCGGCGCCGCTGCTTCTTCCTCCTCCATCTGGGAACTCGACAGCGAGTCTCCCGACGACTTCTCACCTGCCTTCTCGCTCGACTTCTCGCCCGCCACCGACCCGGAACGAGGACTATCAGTCTTTTCACCCACTGACTCAGCCTTCTCAGCCATCGGATTCTTAACCCTCGCATTCGCCATCAGCGTCGGCGTCAAATCCCTCGGCTCAACCCCATGCTCCGACAGCTGCTCAATCATAATTTGCTCCGGCGTACTGATCTCCATATGCGCATACAGTCTAATCATCATTTTCTGACTGAACATGCGCATCGCCGCCGTGCCAACGCTGGTCTCCTTCTTGGCGCCCTTGCTGGTGCCTTCGATTACCTCGTGAGCTTTGACCATGGAAGTGAGGACAAGGCGCGTCATGCCTACGTAGGCGATGCGTTGGCCTTCTGTGAGGAGGTCTTTGGTGGTTTCCATCTGGGAGACGACGTCGCGCTGTTCTTCGTCTTCGAAGCCGGCGGCGGTTGTGCCGCCGTTGGATTCTTTGAAGAGGTAGGAGGTGTGCTCGTCCATGCTCGTGGCGGACTGCGCATCCTCATCCAGTTGGACTCTGGTGTATCCCTTCCCTGCCCCGCCGAGCCCAGCATAAGTGGCATCCTCAACATCGGAGTCCTGAGCCTCCTTCGCGACGAGCTTGTTGTCATCGTCGTATATGTCGAAGGGTGCATAAGCTGGCATAGCCTGCCATTCGTCCTCAGACTCTTCTTTCGTATCTTTGTCCTCTGGTTGTGCCGCAGACTGTTGGTGAGACCATTCGGATACTCTATTCACCGAGCTCTTGTCGCGTTTGTGACCAGCTTTTGATATGCTGTTTACGGAACTCTTAGCTCGAGCATGGCCTTGCTTTCCTGCAGGCTCAGCGGCGACTTGTTCCGCCTTTGTAGATGCTGCAGTTGCGGAAGCTTCAGCTGTGGAGGCTTCAGTTGTAGGTGATTTGGTTGCGGGACCCTCGGTCTTCGTATCCTCGCCCTTCGCAGTCTCGGGACTCGTTTCTTTTGGCATAGCAGGAGCCTCGGACTTCCCTCCGCTCTTTGGGACTGCTGGGGCTCCTGTGGCTTCTGCAGTCTCCGGTATCTGTTCCGAAGGAGCATCCTTGAACTCATCGTCATCGCTGCTCGAATCCTCCGTCACCACCTTCTTCCCCTTCGTCGTAGCTTCCGCCGTCTCCTTGGGTATCTCTTTATCCCCCGCCTTTATATGTATATTCGAATCTTCCGTATCCTTTATTTTCTCCTCGGGCACCTCCTTATCCGAAGTCGTTTTATGTGTACTCGACTTCGTATCGTCCTGCCCCTCCTCTTCCACACTCTTCTTCACCTCACTCCCTTGAGTTGGCGCCTCAACCTCCCTATGCCTTACAGGCAACCCCCACTCATCTACCTCAACCCCCTTCCGTATCGAGGCAGCACCCCCATCCCGCCCAGGCATGATGCTTATCCAGAGCGTCCTAAACCCTGTCCCAGCAGAACCATACGCCTCTCTCAGTCCGATCCACCTGTCAAATATTCCTAAACTCCCAGTCGTCCGTCAGCGTACCGCATAGCAATCGCCGTGTCACCGGCTATATTCGTGGGTCGCTGCGTTGTTGACTGCTGACTCGAGGGTAGTTCAGTGGTGGGTAGTAGTGGGCTGGCGGCTCTCCTTTAATGGGCCAATTGCGCGGCCTGCGGATGAGATGGGGGCTCGTCGGTTTTCGTTCGCTGGTTGGGGAAGGCGGTGAGGCGGCGGGTCGTGGGGCTGGGTGGGCGTGGGCGTGTGGGTGGGCAAAATGTCTTGGGGGTTGGGGATTACTGGGCGGGTGGGGGGCATGTGATTCGGAGAGTGATTAATTAGATGGTACTGGGATGGATTGATTGGATTATGAAGGTTAATAATATTAATTCGTGTTGGAAATACTGTGAAAGAGGGGCTTCATTCAGTTTCTTTGATCATCTTGTGCGAAAGACGTCAATGGCGCTCATGACGTCCGGTGGTTTGAGGGTATCGTTTATTCTTTTGTTCGTGACGTATTCTCTACAGCAGCAGCTTCCCGCATATTCTCAAGCTTCCATGCCTTCCCCTGCATCCGCAGCCTCCGCAGCAACAGGCGCACCACCTTCCCCCTCCCCAGCACCAGCACCAGCACCAGCACCAGCACCAGCACCAGCACCAGCACCAGCACCAGCTTTCCTCTTCCTCCTCGTCTTCTTCTTCACCTCCCCCTCCGCTGCTTCCCCATCGGCCCCACCCTCTTCGCTCTTTTCGCTCTTCTCGCTCTTCTCACTCCTCTCCCTCGGCGCCCTAACCTTCCTCACCACCCCCTCCCCCTCCTTCTTCGCCTTCTTAACACTCAACGGATTCGGCCCCTTCGGCTGCCCATAAACCTTCTTCTTCTTCACCTCCCCCACACCCTCCTCCCCATCCTCCCTCTTCCTCTTCATCCCCACACTCCCACTCGCCCTCCCCCTAAGCCCATCCCTAAACTTCCCCTTCTCCTCCCTATCCCTCTGACTCCCGCTCGCCTCCGCCATCGGCTCCATAATCATCACACTGCGATTAATATACACGAGCGGCACGCCCAGCACCGCGCGCATCCGCCGCCGCACCTCGACGTCCTGGCTCGCGACGACGTAGCAGTGCTTGTTGCGGCCGGAGCCCTTGGCGTCGACCACGGAGGAGATGCAGGATTCGGCGGAGAGGGGCTCGGGGTAGTCGGCGGGGAGGTGGCCGCAGCGCCGGCGCTCGAAGAGCTTGGCTTTGTCGATGAGGAAGGAGACGCCGGGTTCTTTGGCGGCGTTGTAGAGGTGCCGCATGGAGCATTGGGTTATCACTGGGTTCGCGGATTAACTTGATGTTCTAGAATATGGTGCACAACTGTGAGTCTAGGAGTGGAGGGTGACATACTGGGTTTGACCTGTCCGTGTAGTGTGCGCTCTAATCCGCCAATGAGGTCCATTTTGAACTTATCCGCGTCGCGAATGATATCTGCGTCCACTGTAGTATCAATTGTTAGCATCAATCCTCCATTCCCAAAGTTGTGGGCCAGGACAAAGACATACGTAGCACCTGGTACGGCTCTCTGAATCCAAAAGCAAGCCCATACTGCTGCATGAGCTTCTTATACTGCTTCGACCTCTTCCCGCGCATCTTGTTGTTTTCTTCCTTCGGCGGGATGTATGTGTGTGAGAGAGACGAAGGGAGGGGAGGTAGGTAGGTGTGTTCTCTGCGCTGGGACGTTGGTAGCTTCGTTTGGGCGATAGATGGTTCTCTCCAAAACAAAAAAGTTTCGATAACGGATTTCTGCCACTGGGATTTAGAGTTTAGCGGCCCGTGCGCACCTGGTTTTCTGCCGCCCTTTTTCGCCTAGTGCGCTTTTTTGCGTCATCCTCCGCTCCTTCCTTCTCTTAGGCTCCTACCATTCACTTAACCATTTGAATTCACACGTATGCGACGAAAGTAATAATCATATAATACATAGTACAAACAGCAGTATAGAATCGAAGAAGTAATTAATATTTTTATCCCACTGTTATAGACATCTGACACCCCCTTTTGTAAAAAGGTCGTGAAGAGTTTCCCAGAAAATGCCATTGAAAACGCCAGACCAGCCCGTTCAAATCGCTCAAAAAAATTAGTCTCGCTGCGTTGTGTGGTGTTCCACTTTCCCTTGTTCCCATTGTGTACACCTCCATGATTATTACCCTGTTTATCGTTGGTTGTCCATATCCCATGCCTTTGCCAATATAATAAGTAGCTCCGGCTCCAAACCTGCTCAGATCTTGTTGCCTGAGTTGCTGGATCGTTGCGATGTGATATCCGACCCTGTCGCCATGAGTGAAGTTGTTTGTCGTACAAGCCGTTTAAATGCTCCCCTCAGCCTTCTCAACCTCTCACCCATCATTCCTCCTAATAAGCCCAACCACCACACTAATATCATCAAGCTTGCCTACAAATCATTAGCTCCCATCCCCTCCTCATGCACCGCCAAAAAGAATGCAAACTCACCACCCTCCATCGCCAACCCCTCCTCAATAGCATGCTCCATAAACGGGCTCTCCGCAAACGGATCCTGTGCAATAACCCTCGCGGCATTCATCAGTTTCTCCGCCACAAACTGCATCCTCCCCTTCGTCACACTCCCAGCCTTAGCTGCCTTCTCTGCCTCCTCCCACTCCTTCATCCCACTAACGACACACGATACCACCTCGTGCTCCCATAGATTATCGGTCACTCCGTCCGAGACTGCCAATACGACATCTCCCACTTCAACGACCACTTTATCCATTACAGCTGCGCCCATTGGCGTATCGGGGCTATTCGTCCCCAGCTGCCGCGGGCAATCGAACCAATGCCACTGCGGCTCCGTCTTGAAAAGCACCTTGGAGTTCCGTGGCCGCAGGATTAGGACCTGCGAGTCGCCCAGGTTGGTCACGTATAGCACCGGCCTCTCTGCACCGTCCGCGTCGGTGTTCTCGAAATGTAGTTGTGCACCTGTGGCGGTTGTGGTTCCCTGCCATTCTGTAGGTTGCGTCGTTGCTTCGAGGGTCTGCTCGTATGCGCGTTGCAGGTACTCGATCGGCGTCGGTTCCCCCCCCTCATTAGCAGCTCGTTCGATCTCCGCCGCCCAAAAATGAACAATTAATCTCGACCAAAGTCTACTACCGTTAGCCAATCTCCCCCTCCACCACCCCTTTAAATCGCCGACCACCCCATCCCCCAAACACCCCCAAAGACAAAGGAAAGAACAACTTACCCAGCATGCCCCCCCTTCCTAGTACTCCACGCCCCAACCCCATCACAAACCCCCACAAACCCCTCCCCCACCACGACCGCATCATCCCCATTCGTCACCCCCCCAACCCTCTCCCCCCCCACCGTCGCCTCCCCCTTCCTCTCCCCCCTCCCCCGCCTCCGATCCCAGCTCCACTGATGCGTACTCAGCGCATCGGAGAAGCTCGTCGTTGGCGGGCTCAGGAATGGTGGCGGGAAGGGGCGCGGTGCGCGCTTGGCGAAGAGGGAGATGCCTGTGTCGAGGTAGAAGGGGGAGGGTCGGCGGAGGGGGGGTGCGGGGGTGGTGGAAGCGGCGGTGGTGGTGGTAGTAGTAGTAGCGGTAGTAGCGGTAGTAGGTGGTGAAATCGTACCAGTTGGCGAATTCGGCGATTCTTTAAGTGATGATGGTGGTGATGAAGTCGTCGAAGCAGCAGCAGTGCCCCCCAACTCCCTACCCTCCAGCCCACCAAACCTCTCCGTCAACCTCGCAAAGCAGCGCCCAGGCAACGCGCGCACGAACGGACGACGTAGCGAGAGGATCGACGACCGCCGCATCCCAGGGTTATATTGGGGGTTGGTGCGGGGTGATGGGTCATCGTCGATTTGCGTGTGTTGTGTTGTAGCTCGGCGTGTGAGGCTGGCTTGGCTGGCTGGCTGTTGGGAAGGCTCGGCGGCCGGCTGGCCTAGGCAGAATTGGTGGGTGAGTGGTGGCTTGTTGGGCGATAAGGGATTTTTTTTTGGTGCTAGCCTTATCGGAGGGTTTTTTTGGCACGTGATATGGGGTTGCGGGTTTATTTTCGGGGATTTTTTAGATTTTTGGATGGGGGTTCTTGGGGAAGGGGGAGAAGTGGAGCGTGGGTTGTTGATTGGTTGTTAGGGATCGGAAGGGCTACTCTATCTCGCCGTCGTCTCTAGGCTGTGGGATCTTCCCCTCCTACCCTTCTGAAGTAAGGAGCTGTGGCGGCGATGAGGCTGATCTTGGTAGGGTAGGTATACATTCACGTTAGCACAGCAGGTACGGAAATCCCTCCGCAGGGCGTTATGTTATCAGGGAATTTTAGAGTCCAGAGCTGGCACTAAGGCACAGCTTGACAGGCTACACACGCAAGGCAGCTAAGCCACCCCGCCGTCCTTGGCTGTTTGTTTGGAGGAATGATGGGCGTCGGCTTCAGACAGTGCCGGCGATGATGATAACAGATAGACCAAGCCTGAGAGACGGAGCCAGCCAGCCAGATCAAACAAACAAACAAACATCCAAGGTTCGGACCGCGCATCTCAGTCATCTCACTCGGTCGGCCGTACTCCCTACTTGTAAACGCGACGCGGTCGTGGGGCGCGGTAGAGTACGAAGAGTACAGTCAGGACTCTACATATAGGACTCAGAGGACCCATGAAGTACAAACCATAATCCTGCCCCTTCCAGACGATTACGATAGGGTGTGGTTTGTACCGAGAACCCTTTCCGTCGTTTCTCCTCGTATCGCCATAATTGGCCATTTCGTTTGATAGATGGCCCCTCGTATGGAGACTGTACTAACTCACAGAACCCAGTATGTATGGATGGTACTTGTTATTGTAAAGTAGTACTTGGTGCAGTAGAGTGAGAAAGTCGAGTGGGCTAGGCGGGTCCACTACATGGCGCGTCCGCATGCAGCAGAGCGTGAAAGTCAGTACTGTACAGTACCGCAGTAATACCATAGTAAGCATACTATGATGATATGCTGTGGAGTGAGATGAGATTGTGAGATGATGGGCGGCGGCGACTCGGGAACTGTAGTCGCCGAGAAGTGTAGCACTGGTACTGGTAGTGGTACTCGCACACTCCAGCTGCGAGGGAGGGATGGGATGCATATCTACAGCATGCACTGCACGGCACCACCGCATCACCGGATCGCCGTACTTGCCGCGCAACAAGATCCAGGACACGGTACGTATAGTAGCATCAACCCCCTTACCCCATCAGCGCCCAACAACAGATCCCCTGGAACGTGCGTACCGCCCTCCTCGGCCGAACTCTCCGTTCGGTGACGAGACTGGACTTAGTATAGACACCGTCGCTAGGGCTAGGCAACCTGGCAGGATAAGATACTCTCGCGCGCGCGCCTTCCAACCATCTCGAAGCGCTCTCGCATCCCCTTTCGGCACTGAAACCGCGCGGGGACCAGCGAGTCGCCCAGACTCTTCGTGTTGGGTCTGGTCTGGGTGGTCTCACCACAGCACAGCACGACCTCGCACTCGCACTCGCTCTCGTGTCGTGACTTGCTCACTCGCCGGGGAAAGAGGGCGCCAAGGGCCTGCCGCGCTGCTGCGCCTCGGGGTGAGGACGACGCTTTTGTCGTTCCTGGGGTTGGTATGCTGTGTAGTGGTGTTGTGTGGTGCTGTGGGTGGTGGTATGTGGCGCTGTGTGTGTGTTGTGCGTGCTGTGCTGTGCTGTGTTGTGCTGAGACATGATGTTTGCGTGTACACCACTCTCTATACGGGTGTGTTTCGTGTGGTTAGTGTGTCAGTGTGTCCCTGTGTCTCTTGTCTGGTCTTGGGATGCAGGGTCGAAGGGGACGGATGGAGGGTTGTGTGTGGAGTCTGAGTCGCACGCACGCTCGATTCAGAATCGGGAGAAAGTGGGTTGGGGGTGACGGTCGATGGTGATGATGGTGGTCGTGGTGGTGACGACGACTTGCTGGGGACCTCCTCTAACGGGGGATCGTCCGGGTTTGGGTTTGAGCAGTTTGTTTAGATACCCGCTACCGCTAAGACAATTGCGAGTTTTTCGGTTTCTCTTCTGCGGGAAAGTGCGTCCGGTGCATCCGCGAGAATGGGTGATGGAGCTGACTGATCTTGATCTGGATGGGACGCGTTGCTTGGCGGAGATTGGCATCGCTGGTTTGGTTTTTTGTATGGGGATTTGTATGGGGATTGTATGGAGTCTTGGCTTTTTGGTGGTGCTGACGGTACAGAGTCAGTTTGAGTCTGGTACTCTTTTTTAAGTCGCTGGCAAAGTAACTCACTCACTCGCTCGATATGCCGCGATGGGAGACATTTCTGCTGAACAGGACAGGTCAGGACAACGCTGAATCTTACTGCATGCGGTGTTGAGAGACGCTGATTACATTACAGCATCACATCATCAGAGTTGCCGTGTTGAACCCATGCCCAGGAACTACAGTATGTATGGCTACCAATAGTGCGTACAAGGAGTGGGCAACTCAGACTTTATCGGCGTCGATGTCGATGCTACTAGTAGTAAGTAGTAGTAGTAGTATAGTAGTAGTAGTGTAGCAGTAGAGAGTAGAGGACAGAGTGAGCACAAAATGAAATTAATTAAACTGGAGATAAGGGTCCTCAGGGTGTATGTGTTCAGTAGGGTGCTATGTGATGTATATATTATTGACAATAGTAGGTGGGAAGATAGCTAGATGCTATAGATCCCATACATAGTACAGTACAGTATGTGTAGCAGCATACAAGTACACAAATAGATCTCAACTATCCAACTGTTAATCCTCAAACCCTTAAAAGCCCAGCCCATAAACCCATCCATTAAGAACCTTTTTCTTCCTTCCCTTCCCTTCCTTGCTGCCCGGATCGACATCGCTGTCCCTGGTACGCCACATAACAAACCACATACGTAGGGATCAGTCGGGATAAAGTAAGGATACGATATGGTAAAGTACTACAGTAAGTAACTAACGGATAGTGGAGTAGGGATAGAGTAAGTACCCTTAGTGTAAATTTAGCTCCAGAACCCTCCCAGAAACTACTAAAAGTACATCCATTCTCCATAACTCCTATAGAGAAAGTTAGTAGTAAAGGTAAGTTAGTAGTAGAGTTAGTAGTGAAGTTAGTAGTGAGTTAGTAATCCCCATAGTCCCCAGTAGTAGTCCCCCAGTTAGTCCCTCACTCCCCAGTAGTTTTTAGCAGTTTTACTAGTTTTCTATGTACTTCCCCTACCAACAACAATACATAAACTACAAGCAGACAGAAACAAAGAGGTGACGTCCATCGTATCCACTCCAGCGGCACATCAACCTCCAAACGCTAACCACTAACCACCACACCCAACCAGTCAACCCAAGCTCTTCCAACCAAGAAACTGTAAATAGTCGCAGTATTGCGCCAGTTGCCCTTGGCTGGGGCATTGGCATTTTACATATTCCCGCACATCCCCCCCCCAGGAAAACTAACTCAACACCATCTCAAGACCTCTCTCGAACCTCTCCGACCTTCTCTTCCTTTACTACCTCAAGATCTATCCTCTCGCTATATCCCCACGTCTCTCTCTCCCGCGACCACTCTATCCGCACTCTCCGTCATTCACGCCACTTGGAAACGACCCACCGTGCTTTCACACCGTCATCGTCTCACTTTTTGGCGCTTAAGACTACGAACAAAGGCCACCCTTTGAAAAATAACCTCCAAAACCGAACAAGACCCTGAGAAGACCCGGAACCCTGGATTTCTACACCTAGACAAAAAAAGACACCACATTCGTTTATAGCTCAGAGATCACAAGATATGGTCACCATGGCCAAAAACCGAGGTCAGTCCCGCACATCCCGCCCTCACATCACACCACCCCCCAAAAAGTGTTCTCCCCACTAACGTGTCCCCCCCCCACCAACAGTGCTCTCGTTCATGTCGAACTTCTCGAACCGCGACTCCCGCAGCTCGAAAACGCCCTCGCCGCCCGGAGACACTATCCCCTTCCCGTCCTTCCCGGAGAAGCCGGAGCAGCAGCAGCAGCAGGATGTTTACCGCTCGAGGTCGCCGCAGCGCGGACCCCAGCAACCTTCGAATATTAGGGGCTCGCCCACACGGCGCGAGCAGGTGCAGCGGAATCGCGCAAACTCGAGGCCGATATCTATGGTGCAGACATACCAGCCGCCGCTGATGGAGTTGGGGCAGGATACGCTGCCGGAGCTGCAGCCGGTGTTTACGTACCTGAATAGCCATAGCAATAAGCTGTACCAGGAGGGGTACTTTCTCAAGCTCGATGATCAGAATTCCCGTATGTTCTCTTTTTTGTTTATTTTTTATTTTTTATTTTGGGGTTCAAGGATGAGGGAATAGAGTGCTGACCCCCACGCGTGTAGAAGGGAAGCCAAATTTGGACAGGACGTGGACGGAATGCTTCGCGCAGCTTGTCGGGACGATCTTGTCGCTCTGGGATGCGGCAGAGCTGGATGCTGCGGGATCAGAGGGCGAGGTTCTGCCAAAATTCATAAATTTGACAGATGCCTCTATCAAAATGGTACGTGGTCCGAGCATCCGCCCAACAGCAAATTCTCACATTATCACACAGATCGAGTCGCTCCCCACGAGATCGAATGACGATCAGCCCCTCAATAATGTTCTCAGTATATCGACGGCAGGTAAGAACAGGTATCTGCTGCATTTCAACTCGCACCACTCCCTATTGCAGTGGACCGCTGGTATCCGCCTGGCCATGTTCGAGTACGCTACCCTGCAGGAGGCGTACACGGGCGCGCTGATCGCTGGTAAGGGCAAGTCCCTCAACAACATCAACATCATCCTGGCGCGATCGACATTCAAGTACGAGGACTGGGTCCGCGTGCGATTTGGCGCTGGTACGCCATGGAGACAGTGCTGGTGCGTCATCACACCACCGGATGAGAAGGAGGTGCACAAGCTACAGAAGGACTTCAATAAGAAGAAGTCGGCGTATGACCGCAGCAGGCCGCCCGTGGTGAAGGGCGATATTAAGTTCTACGAATCGAGGAAGGTTACGAAGAAGTCAAGGCCGATCGCGTCTATTAGTGATGCGTTTTCGGCCTTTGCGATTTACCCCCAGTCTAAGGCGCTAATTGAACCGTCAACCTTGATAAAGCTCGAGGGTATCATTACGATTCACTCAGACCCGCCGACGTCTACAGAGGGCTTTGTTTTTGTTATGCCAGAGGTGCACGCTGCTGTTAGCGGTTTTGAGATCATGCTGAGATGGCTCTTCCCGGTTTTCGACACTTTCGCGCTATACGGAAGACCTGACCGGTTGGTCGCCGATACGAACGACACGAGGAGTTTGATGTTCGCCATGCCAAATGAGAGGCGCTACGGCTACCTTGACGTTCTTGATGTCGCCGCTTTGATCTCGGCCGAGGGAAGCCAGAACTGGAGTGAGGGTGAGTGGAGGCGGAGACTGAAGGATTCTACTGCGAAGCGCATGGTTGCCATCAGCCAGAATGGCGGCAGCAGGCGCGGCAGCAGGAGAAATACATTGAGGGATGGCTTTAACGACAGGGCATCTATCCGCTCCAACCCATCCATTTCATGGGGTCCGCCACCAGTTGACGTCCCAGCTCCACGCACAGACTCTGCCCCGCCTCTGGAAGGCCCATACCCGCCATATCCGTCAGCCACTCAGGCACAACACCACTCACGCTCAGCCTCCGAGGGCTTCCAGAACGGCTTCCCCCTCTACGAAGGATCCGACGTCCCCCCCGCGCCCCCACCACACAGCTCCGGCCTCCGCCACGAATACGACGCGACCTCCCCACCCGAACCGACCTACCACGAGGAGGACCACTCCCCCAGCGCCCCCGCACAAGAGCTCCGCGATCTCCAGCTCAGCCCCGGCGGCGTGGAGCCCGTCTCTCGCCCCCCCGCCTTCTCGCACGCGCCCGGCTCGCTCCCGCCGTCCGCGAAACTGCAGAACTCGCCCGAGCTGCGGCGCGCCAAGAGCCGCATGTCGAACGGGACGCTGTCGCAGTTTGCGGGCGCGGGAGGAGCGGCGGCCACGCAAGGGGTCGCGCAGTACCGCGCGGGCCTGGAGGAGATGCGCGTCGCTGATGAGACGAGGAGGGGATTGCCAAGAGGAGTACATGCCGCCGACGACCCTACCCCTGGGATGAATGCTAACATGGCTTCTGGTGCTGAAGGAGTGATAGTGGGAGGTAATAGACTCTCTTTCGAACGGCACCCGGAGGCGCTGCAGATGCGGGCTCCGGAGGATGCGGGTGCAGCGCCGTTTTATAATCCTGTCGACAACACCGCTCAGCAACCACGCACTGCCGTCCGGCCAACCGTCATCGTACCTGCGTATCCGCCACCGTACATCCAAGAACACGCTCAAACTCCATCTGAGGACAGACCCGGCTCGCAACCCCGCAGTGCAAACCGCAACAGTCTCCAGCGCAAGCCACTTCCAGCCGGGACCCCAGTAACGCCAATCGGGCCTCTGACGCGCGACCCTATCTCTCCTGGTGGAGCATCGACAATCGGCAGCCTGTACATGGACCAAGAGGCCTTCGACAGCATCCAGCCGCGTGGAAACCAGCCCGGGGACCCCGTTGCTCGACAAGCCACGAACCTAAGTCACGTCAGCGAGACGAGCAATTACACCAACTCCCCCACCGAAGCGCCACCAATCGACCAATCCGTCCCCGCACGCACGGCCTACGATCGACCCCGCAGCGGGATGATGCGCACCGTAGGCGGTTACGGCGATTCCACCCCCAACACCCCCTCCGACATCCCAAACATAGATTTCGGACCAACCATCAACTACGCCGCCACCACCAACCCGCTCGCCAAACCCTCCGCACGCACAGACAATCCCCAATATCAACCACAAACCCAATCTCAATCTCAACCCCCACAACCACCCACCCACCGCGGACAAACCCACGCCAAGCAACCATCCCGCACCCTCGCCTGGGCACCAGGCATGACATCCCCCCTCCCCTCCTCCCCCGGCGGCCTCACCCCCGAAGAATTCGTCGCCCAACGCGCCGCCGCCGCCGCAGTCGCACAAGGCCACGCGCGCCAAGCATCCGCAAGCACCCTACGCGCTAATACCCCCACTCCCCCGATCGGGACAGGAGGAGGTCGACCCGGACACGTGCGGAATAACTCCTCCTTCGACGCTCTCCAGCGCGAGGCCGCGAGACCGTCTAGTCGTGGTGCTGGCGCGGCGCTGGGGGGGTTAGTGGGCACGATTGATGCGAGGGAGCGGGAGAGGAGGGAGGTGGTTAGGGGGGTTAATAGCCAGGGTGTTCTTCATGCTATGGGGCAGAGGGTTGTGCATGGGCAGGGACAGGCGGTTAGTCCGGGGGGTAGAGCGGTTAGTCCGGGACCTGGGCCGGCGTATGGACAGCCTGGGCCGGGGAGGGCGCAGAGTCCGGGGCCGATGGGCGCGTATGGGCAGGGGAGACATAGGTCGCATAGCCCCGGGCCGAGGGTGGCGTATGGACAGCCGCAGGGAAGAGCACAATCTCCTGGCCCGATGGGGGCGTATGGACAGCCTCAGCAACGCAATCAGAGCCCCGGGGGGATGGGGGTGTATGGCCAACAATCTGCCCCTGGGTTGCCGGTGACGTATCAGCAGCAGCAGCAGTACTTCCAGCAGCAGATGGGTCGTGGGAGAGGGGGGTTTAGAGGGTAAACGGACATTATAGTCAGTATGGGTGGGTAGACCTTTTTCGATTCGGGCGTTGAGGTTTTTTTTTACGATGATTATGATGAAGATTTGGATCTGGATTTTTTTTTAAATGGGGCATCGCGTGGGGGGAATGGGGGTATACGTGGGTGTGTTTTTTTGTGTTAGATTTGGGGATCTGGTTTTATGGGTTTGGAATTAGATTTGGGGGGGGGGGTTGGGAGTGGGCGTTATTGTGTGTATGTATGGGGTTGGGGCATAGATAGATGGGAATGGATGATGGATCGTTTGTTATGTTCGTGTGTCTGTTGTCTTGATAGTGATGGTGGATGACCTGAATGGATATCTTCCATTTCCAAGGCCGCAGCTAACAACTCCAGCCGCCTTCGTCGTCCCTGATTTCATACCTCGTGATACCGTCGACATCTCCCTGTTGAACACCCAAACCCTCGTCAAGTTCTCGCACTTCTTCAACGAAACGCAATTCCTCCACAATCTCCGCTTAGGCTGCCCCGAAATGGTTGTCCACGCCACCCTTCCCCCCACCGTCAAGACTGACCTCATCCCCCTCCAACCGCAATCACTTCTCAAAGAAGTCTTCGCCGGCACCGTTCTTCTGCACGCCGAGCAGTGGCGCCCCGCTTTTGACAAGTGGCTCGACGCCGTTCCCAACAAAGGCAAGCCGGCCGCCGTCGAGCTCGCCACCCCGCTCCTCAACTTCCCCTTAAAATACGACACTCAAGCCTTCACCGACAACTTCGGCCGCATTCTACGGTTCCCCGAGCCGCAACGACGTCTCGCAGCCACGGCTCTGTACACGTTACGCACGAAATACAGCGTCCCAGTCGGCCCGTGGGAAATCACTCCCAACGCCTTTTTCGGCGCGCATTTGCGTGTTGCGGCGGATGCTAAGAAAGCTGGTTGGACGGGCTACGACGTGCAATCAAAGTTTCTCCTTGAGACTGCCGAGGCGGCGAGGTTGTCGACGGTGTATGTGACGAGCGAGTCGACGCTGGCGGCGGAGTTTAAGAAGGCTGCGAAGTTGAAGAATATAATGGTCGTTATGAAGGAGGATCTGCTTGAGGGCAAAGACCTGGAGGAGCTGAACAATATGACGTGGGATCAACGCGGGCTGGTGGATTATGAGGTGCTGCTCCGGAGTAGCATGTTTGCAGGTATTGAACTGAGCAGTTTTGCGTGGAATATTGCGTTGAGGAGACATACACTTTCGAGGCAGAAGTATCGGGCTGCGTGGGATACAAATGTGAAGGATGGTGAAAAGCTGAGTATGAAGGATGAGTACAGTATGTTGTTTGGGCAAAAGCATGGCCGTGAATTGTTTGTGGAGAGTATGTGGCCATAGTTGGAAATATATGAAGGAAGTCAACTTAGCGATTAGTTTTAATATTGGGCGGATCAGGATGCGGACCCTCAGCATGGTCTATTAGAGGAGGATACCATCTCACTCGCCTTATTCACCTTGTTCACTTTGGTTAGTATGCTCGCCCACTCACCCATGGGCATCTACTGTCGCGATATATCGCGTGAACCCACTTTTAGGGGGGGGAGAGATTGGTATAGTTAGTTAGAACAGAAATGATAAGAATGTAGGATAGAACCCAAAGCTTGTCAATTAATGATGCTTAAACCTCCATTCTGAGTTATCTCATCAAATACACTCGTCTTCGTAGCAGCATCACGTCAAATGAAATTCTCACATAGTGATATCTTTTGGTGGAGATGATTAAAATATACATGAAATTAAACTAAGCTGAAATCTTTATAGGAGTGGCTTTCTTTATATCGTGTCGGCTCTAGTTGCCTTAAGTAAGCTCTTTTAAAGTTCGGATATTTTAAGAATCTGTAGATCTTCCATGCATGGCCTACGGCGATAAGATAGGCCCGCCCCAAGCGTGGTTTGAGAGGACGTCATTTGGACGCGTTGTACTCGAACTTCTTCAGCCATTCCTTCAATTACAGCGCAACTATAGCCTTTTGGATGTTGTCCTCGATTTGAGCACGACCGTATGGTTGTCGGATGTTCATGGTGGACGATATGAAGGTTCTAAGTTTGTGGTGGGGCATTTTTGGACGACTACCCTCCATATGTCAGACGTCCCCATACACTACCTTATATATAGTTATGTACAAAATATAATAATTACAGCCTAACAACCCTGTACGAACCCTATAATAGAAAGTATATGCTCTTAATTAATGCTATTTACAAGTTCATCTCCTCCCTCGATTTTAATATAACTATGTAGATCGCTTTTGCAATATGTCTCTTGCCACTATCACTTACTTACCCCCTCTCATTCCTTAGTTGCTAGGTAGAACGTAGTAGACTAATAAACTTAGTTAACCCAGCCAGTAAGTCTGCTGGCAACATCAGCAACATAGGAAGCAGTCGCCCCTCCCAAGCACAGATTGCTCTTATCCACATTGCCACTGTTGTAATATCTAAGAGCCTCGTAAACGTTGCCGAATATGTTGATACCTTGAACAAGACCATCGCCTGACGAAGTTCCCTGCGTCCCGTCACGAACCATCTGGTCAATAATCGACTGAGGGCAAGGCGCTGCCTGGCCAAAGCAGGTCACACCTTGATGCGACTGCATCAAGCCGGGGTTTCCAACTCCATCATGAGACGTAGTGGAACCAACACGGGGGTTACCATGGGACTCCTGCATGATAACTGCCAGAATCTTAAATGTTTGTTAGTACCCTCTCCTGATCTCCACCAATCATGGAAAGAATAAGGACTTACCACTCGTCGATCCACTAGCGATGCAGCGGCAATCGTATTAATAGAGTTGTAGATTCTTCCGATTTCCTCGTCGGTTGCGCCATTGTTTCTCATGCTCTGCTTGTTCTTGTTGAACATATCAGGGTAGTTCATCCACACACCACCTGTGCCATATCGCGGGTAGGCGCTCGCGGGGCCACAGTTGGTGAGGTGGTTGTCTGAGCCTGCGGTGCCACTATCGGTGATTGTCACAGCCTGGTTGTTGGTCACTTTGGCGTTTGCTGGATCGGACACTAGAACGGCAAAGCTCTTTGCACCGCCACCAACTAAGCTTCCATCATTTCTCCAGGAGGCAGGGGACTGCTGGGCAAGAGAAGATGATTGATCCAAAGGAGCGGCAATAGCTGGGCTCAGTGCCAAGCACAGGATTGACTTTATATCTGTTAGAAAATTGGCCTTTAAAAGACCTTGGGGTTGTTACCATATAAGTGACAAACATGATAAAGATATTTTGATAATTTGAACCTAACAAAGATTACACTGTAGAAGATACTGATAAACTCGACAAATGTATGGCTGATTATTAAAACCTAGAGAGGTCTTAACATGGTCCTTTATATGCATTTTCGACGCTCCTATCTTCCCACCCTCTTTTAAATTCCAGTAGGCCTCATGAATTGCCGTTCTAATGCATTGCCCTTGTCACATCCTGAGAGAAGCCGAGCGTGACCCTGCGGTATAGATTGTATGCAACATTAACGTTAACGTTACGTGATTCTTAAGAGGGGGAGATGGACGGCGGCAAATCCGATGGCTCACATTGACTGATGACTGCCGTCTTTACTCGAATACTTCTGCTCCACATGTATCGCGGCGAACGTGCGCAGTTGGTAGGTAAGTAGTAGAATACAAAGATTCAAATCATTATAACCCTCATTGAACACGTTGGAAAAATGTAGCGTAGTTTTCCCATCGGTCTAGATTCTTTAATAGTAGAGCTAAGCCCATTGTCTACTTCAGTTAGTAAACGCCGACTGTTATAAAATCCCTCCAAGTGAGAAACGAATTGCCGACTTCGCCGCTAGCTCAATAGGGAGGGTAGTACCTGGATATCGCGCACGCACGTTTAAAAGATCGGCCGTTAAAGATAAATTTAAGCCTAGCAGGGGAGCCGCTAGGACCCCCCCACGTAATAGATACTTTTAACTGCTGCACCAATCGGTTTAGCTTCTTCTTGGCGGCGGCAGCTCGGTCTAAATGGGCAAATAATAGAGTTTCCAGCGGTTTGCAGGTAACGTTACCTGTTGACTAGAACCGGTGCCGATTTATCACTCTGCGGAATCTCGGGCTACCCGACTCAATCTCCAGGGGTAGGAGTGCCAAGTGTGGTTTGATGGAGTAACCTTGATGGTTATGCTAAATAAGCAAAAACTTTATTGGCACTAAGCTTCCTCCGAAGAAGATGAAGACCCAAGTCGACGAAGTGGAACTTTGGCAGTATCACTTTGTCGACTTGAGTTGGGGAATATAAAGGGATAGCCTTCCTCCATAATATTAGTGACGAACAGTATCATTGAAACATTCCAATCTAATTCAGTAATCGACTCAAACGATTATCACATCCTCAACCACAAAATGCTTATCTCAACCTCCATTATAACCATCCTGGCGGCTGTCGGCGTAACAAACGCTCTCCCCAATGAGAAGCGCATCACGTGTGTCCCACTCTCTATCCCTCAACCCCCCTCACTAATCCCCTCAGCCACGACGGTATCGGCTCCGTCAACCCAAACCCAACGGGCGCCCTTGGCTCCTGCGGCGTCTCCACCCCCGACAGCTCCATGACCGTAGCAATCAGTCCCTTCTGGATGACCCAGCATGCCCCGGGCCCTTACTGTGGACGGAAGATCCAAGTCACCAACACCGGTCCCACAACCGATAATAGCGTAGGTGGGGCCGGCAATACTATTATCGTCACAGTGCAGGACACCTGTGCGGGGTGCGATGAGAACCACGTCGATTTATCGGTGGCGGCATGGAATTCGTTGACGAACGGACATGAGTTCAGTGTTACGGGGGTTTCCTGGTAAGTTATTACATCTGTGAAACGTAACATTGGGAGGGAAAGAAGAAGAGGTGGGGGTTTTGAAGAGGATTTGGCTAATTGATGTGATAGGCACTTTTGTAACGTTAATGGGCAGTGTTAGAAGGAGTACCAAGAATGATCGAGGGAGGCCCTTCACGGAAGCAAATGTTTGAATTACGCACTGCTCATATTCTGTTGAACTTTGTTTGTAGAGATGCAACATCAGCGCACATATGCGTTCTTTATAGAATATTAGTACAATGTAGTCAAATCTACAAGCTTAAATATCTCTGGAAATCACCAACTGTCCGGAATCTCTCTCCGCTGATCCTGTCTCAAGCATGGATCCTGCTAAGGTAAGCTTAACTTATCACCTGCGATTTATCATATATTGAGCTTATATTGAAGTCTTCTAGAATGAAAACCAAACTAAGGATGGAAGTTCTCGGCTACTGTTCTATTGCCAGTGTATCCTCCCTTTGTTTGTTTTCACGACGCTTCTTCTTATAAAGCCTCTCCAACTCCCTATTACTGCGTGCCAGATCGACAGCAGACAAGGCACTCAAAACGCCGATAAACACCGCCACTAAGGCGATAATCTTGAATACGTCAGCATACCAGCATACCAGCATAGATAAACTATTGAGCTAGAAAACTTACAGCGGAGTAGAGCTGCCAGATCTTTTGCGTATAAAATTTATTGCCTAGCTCATTCTGGCGGCTGCGCAGTTCGGACTCGTAGATATAAGATATGTCTCGACTGCGCATGTCATAGGAGAATGAGTTAAACTTGGCATCTTGTTGGTGGAATTCGGTTTCTGTGTTGATCTTGTTCTCTAGTGCTTGCAGTTTTGACTTGATGCCGTTTATTGTCGCCTCCGATTCCGTGTTTGATTTTGGTACCATGACGCGATAGTTGCTGTTTGGAGAGATCGTGCTGAGAGACCTGGTTCTGCCCGGAGTCATGACGTAGGAGTTGTTGTGGTCGTTATAGCGTAACCCTGTAGAAATTTTAATGATTCCCGGTGCTCGGATGGAGAGGTGTAACTCGCTGGAAAAGATATGGAAGGCGCGATGCTGGCCGGTAGCTAAACAGCGTTGGGTTTCGCTGTGTCTGGGCCTATATATCTTTGATAAGAGGACCCCTCTTGCAGAAAGAGCTTGATGGAGCATGTTGAAGATGGGATAGTTTAATAAAACTATATGTCGGGTTATGGGCGGTGGATGTGGAAGCCTGTTCGTTCACGAATGGCAGGTGATAACAATATATATATGTGCCAGTGGTCACCACTACGAGTAGTGCCTTCCTATAACAATAGCATGCCACTAACGTAAGGTACGTTTATTTAGTTTGGTGTTAAATGACTATAGTCCGTACTAAAGCAGAGTCTAATTTTCTTACCTCTTACTTCCCGCGTTTAATTTACGTACAGAACCACGAACGGCGCTAATATGTCACCGATAATGGCATGTATTATACCCTTCTCTAGCACATTTATTGGCAAACTGCTGGCAATTAATATATCAGGCTTATGCCATCTGTGGATGACTCACTTCATAGTTAATTTTACTAACCCATTCAGGTTGTGCAGGGTATCAGATACGGATACCACACAGGGCTGGACATTGGGCCAATATCAGCATCAGTGATTCTTCATAGAATTACCCTAACTATTCAAGAGACCTTACATCGCTGTATATGTTCAAAGTAATCATTCTAATAGCTTGTCAGATATTTGAACACGAGTAATACCTGACATGAAAATAGACGAGCCGAGTTAGTCGCCATCGTCTTAGCCAGGACAACAGAAACCCCCCGGTTTCTATCCTATTGTTCTGCCGCACCATGTGCAAGAAGGAGATCCATGATGTCATCCTCATAACAATTCTGTGCAGCCTTTAGGGCGCTCCCATACTTACCTCCTTTAGCATTGACGTCAGCCCCATGTTCTAAAAGGAGCTTGACTACTTCTTCTGAACCGTATGGTGATGGTGATGCTGCTGCCTGTAAGGCAGTGCCATAGAATCCGCCTTGGGCGTTGACATTAGCCCCATGATCTAGAAGCAGCTTGACAATGTCTTCTGACCCCGTTGTTGCTGCTGCTTGTAAAGCACTTCCAAGGTGTCCACCTTCAGCGTTAATATCCGCTCCATGTTCTAGCATGAGCTTGATAATGTCCACCAATCCTCCTGAAGCTGCTCCTTGTAAGGCATTGCCGTACTCTCCGCCTTTAGCGTTGACGTCGGCCCCCTTTTCTAGTAGCAGCTTGACTATTTCTACAGAGGCCCAATATGATGATGCTGCAGCTTGTAAGGCAGTGCCATACTTTCCACCTTGAGCATTAACGTCAGCCCCATGCTCTAGAAAAAGTTTGACTAATTTCTCTGATCCATCCCTTGCTGCTGCTTGTAAGGCATTGCCATACAGCCCGCCTTGACACTTAACGTCCGCACCCCGTTGTAGAAGTAGCTTGGCTACCCCTTCTTGTCTACAGGCTGCTGCTGCTTGTAGAGCAGTGTCAAATTTTCCACCTTGCGCGTTAACATTAGCACCCAGCTCTATGAGTAGCTTTACTATTCCTTTATTTCCAGAAGATGCTGCCCCCTGTAAGGCGTTGCCATACATTCCACCTTGAGCATTAACATCTGCGCCTAGCTTTAGAAGGAGTTTCACCATTTCTTCTGATCCGCTTTGTCTTCCCATTGCTGCTCCTTCCAATGCATTGCCATAGCCTCCATCTTGGGCGTTGACGTCAGCCCCATATTCTAGGAGAAGCCTAACTATTTCTTCCCTCCCCCTACACGCTGCTGCTTGTAAGGCATTTCCATGATATCCACCTTGACCGTTGACATTAGCCCCAAGTTCTAGGAGCAGCCTTATTACTTTTTCTGAGCTAGAACATGCTGCAGCATGTAAGGCAGTTTCACCATATCTACCTTGGGCGTTGATGTCAGCCCCCTGTGATATAAGAAGCTCCACTATTTCTTCTGAGTTTCCATGTAACGCAGCTAGAAGGGCAGTGTGATAATGTCCACCTTGAGCGTTAACATCAGCCCCATGTTCTAAAAGGAGCATGACTATCTCTTCTTGTTGGCCTAATGATGCTGCTGCTTGCAGGGCGTTGCCAAAATACCCACCTTGCGCATTAACATCTGCTCCCCGTTGTATAAGCAGCTTGATTATTTTATCTCCGCCATGATATGCTGCAGCTTGAAGTGGGCTACCAAAAGAACCTGGCGCTTTGATTAGTTGACAGTTGATCTGAGCGTCAAGTTGCTTAGTATCCAATTCTTTCAAGTAGAATGACAAAACCCGTTGATATCTATTTGCAGAGATGTAATACACAGGATTTGCTGAATAAGGATCCGGATTGATCGATGGATGGTAAGAATACGTCAATCCGATGTGACACATCCGTATCATGCTAAGGAAGCTGTCCGTGTTTGGTTTAAGGGCAAGAAGCACCTTCTCCTTTAACGGAAGCGTCCAAAGCTCCTCATCAAGATCTTCCATATGCTCCGCCCAGTATGAATTTGCGTACTTCCAGATAGGGAAAAGCTTCTGGTAGTTGTCTTTCGTTACGTCTTTAACTTGGCTAGCGTATAGATGGTAGCAAATACAGGACTCGGCCATAAAATGGTTTGCTTCATCTTTGTGCAACGCATATCTTGAGACTTCTTCTATTGGATTTAGTCTTAGATTAGTTGAAAAGAGAAACTCCTGGACCGAAAAATGCGAGAACTTAATCCACAGCCTATATCCAACATTGCCGCGTCGGACTTGCTCTTCCTCACGAAGCAAGCCGGGTAGCAACTTCAGCAATCCTTTTGGTTTTTCAAGCCCTTTCATTCTTTTTCGTGGATCAAATGGAGATTCTGCCCTTGGGTCAATGACTGCTGCTTCGGCGAGCATTTTGGGACTTAATGGTTCCTTAGACATTGCGATCCATAGAAGAATTCGATAGACTATTGGATAATACCGAGAGTCAATACTCTTGAGCATACGGATATACGTCTCGTCAAGACCTTGTGGCAAATTTGCCAGGAGTTTAGGTATATCTTCCCCTAGACTATTTTCTATCTCGATAAGCTGAAGGGCTACATATTGAAACCTGAACTTAAATTAGTGTTCTGTAACAACTATAGAAACATTTCATATACGTACATGCCATCGGCCTTCTCAAGCAACAAACTCCTTGCGAGTGTCTTTGTGTCATCCGACATGTTGTCAAATTCGGGAGAATCGAGCTTCTGCTGCAAATAGATATCCATATCGTGGTTCACTGCGTCACGAAATTCAAACAGATCGATCTTCTCTTCTGAAGCAAGAGGCATTCTATCCAAGGCAGCCTCGATATCTGGCTCTTTCCGGCTCGTAACAAGAATATGCACGTTAGGGGGTGAACATTTTTGAAGCTTGACCAAACTTTTCATCAAAGTCGCTCTCGTACTTTTCGACGTTGTACACTCATCTAAGGCGTCGATAATTAAGTAGACGGCGTTAAATCCCTCGACTGCGTTCCATAGTGCACCCTCAAGATGCTCTAGCGTAGGACGAGCCCCTTTATCTCGGAAAGTAGACCCTAGGTTATTCAGCCAGGCTGGGCTGTCTGGTCTTGCTCCACACAGCTGTCTTATCATTGAGCTGAGCATTCTAGATGCGTCTTGTTCCGGCTGCTCAGTGAAGCTGAAGTAGTAGTAAGCAAGCGCTTTATATGGCGAATTTTCACAGGAGCCTGTAAGGCTGTGAATCGCAGGGGCGCTACATGTATGGTCAGCTATATCGATTGTAAAAGCTAATAATACGATTGATACATACCTTAAGTATGATTTTCCAGATCCAGCTAGGGTACCTGTTAATATTGTCTCATATATGGCAGGTATTCTCAGGACATACCTTTTCCATAAAGCCAAAGGAAAGAACTTTGTTTTTTCTTCCAATCATGGTAGCGGTTATTTTCAATTAACCAATCGCCAGTCGATTCCTCATGCCTGCTCCAGATGTCGTTGTATCTTGCAGAAAAATCTTCCGACGATAGCCATTGTAGGAGACCCAGCCGAAACTTGTCATTTTGTGCCTTTTCAGTGACCTCTCTTATGCGGCGAATCTCATTGGACATTGGATCAAGATAGTTCATATGTTCACTGTGGCGCTTTTTTTCCTTGTTCCACTGATCTTGTAACTTGAAATCTCTCCACTGCGTTTCGATTTCGCCCATGCGTTCTTTCTGGACGTCAATAGCTGTCGATAACTCATCCCAATCGGTCCAGATAGCCATATCACGTATGATTCTCCCTCCAGTGCGATACGAAAGATGGCAAAGGCAGGTAGCCTGAAACGTGAGAATTTTGACGTATAGTATCTTTAGTTCTTCCCGATAACTTATATGTACTGTCAAGTTTGCCTCCTTTCTTTCCGTGTTGTCATCGTAGCTATTCCGGTACAAAGCTTCTCTAATTGAGCATTGGCGTAGTAGAGCAGCAATGCCCTCAAGGCACTTTGCTCGTGCGGCTTCTTGCTCCCCAGGATTCAACACAAGCTATCCGTGTTAGTATGATTTCTTTTCTTAATATTCGGTGTACTGTAGCATGGAGTGGATGCGCCAGGAAACCAAAGGAACCTTACCGGCAACAAGAGACAAACACCAGCCCAAGCAACAGAAGAATAAGGCGAAGCCTGCGCTGCCTTACCGATATACTCTTTCGCCCAATCTATCACTCCAACAACTGGCTCAATCAGGTCCTTTACAGCAAATTGATTGTTTTGAAACCCGATCTTCCACTGTCCACTTTCCAGTTCGTCAATCTTCTTTTCTAGTAGTACTTTCATCATCTGGGCCCTCTCACACTTTTCGAAGCTTGGAAGCCCCACAGAAGATGAGGAAGCGGTGAGTCTCTTTTCGTAATCCTCGAATAGGGCGGTATTCTTCCGAAGTTCATCCCATGCTTCGTTCCATAGCTCAGAAATCGGAGCCTCGGTTGCGGTAGCGAACGTATCCAATCCCGAGTTTGGGTTAGGTGTGGTGACAGGCACCGCGGATGACGAACCTGGAGCTGCATTTCCTGGGAAACATCTAGTAAGTACCAGTTGACAGTTTCTCATAGCTCTGTCGCTGAGCTCCACCCTACCCAGTAAACCCATTACAGCCCCGCGGTGTTGGAAACTCACCTGTGAGTGTGGTCACACTATTGGACGCAGATGCCGAACCATTTGTCGGGTTCTTATTCTTGGAAATTAAACTTCGGAAACGAAAACGGTCTTTCGTAGCCACATTTGGTGTTGGAGGTTGAGGATTATTCTCAGCGCCCCGGCCCGTTATTGTGGGGCTAGTCTTGGAGCCAGCCATTGCTCTGAAATCTAATAAAAACCAATGCCGTGGTAGTAGCTAGTTTACCTCTGTTAGGTTTAAGATAATGAGGTTTACGGTTCAGTAGAGGATCCCCCCCGTCTCCAAGAAACCCATATCGGACCGCGGGGTAATCCTTCGACATAAAAGCCCAAAAATAAACTGTGGCTATTGGCCAATAAGAAGAGTCTTACAATATACCATAGTGACATGTAACTTCCATCAACCACCAACTCCACAAATACCAGCACCGCGCGAGTGTCGATCTTTTAGATCTCCGCTGGTGGAAACACAAGTGTACAATTTATCCGGATTGGAATGGGGGTTCCATCTCGGATTTTAGTTGACGGTTCTCGCACGAGCTGTCACATCCAGTATGTTCGAACTGGCGCTGTATTGCCGGTGGTACCCCGCGGAGATACCACAAGCAAGGGCAGTTCGAGCATAATATGCTCGATGGAAAAATCGCATGCCCAAAAAGCACGTCGAGTGTAATATTTATGATGATTGGACAGGTTGTGTAACAGGAACAGGGCGAATAACCCAAACCCTTGTGTTTAGTTTATTGCACTCCACATGTTAAGCGCCCGAACCATGTTCGGTGTTTTTTGACAAACAAATAAGAAAGGAATAATACGTGGGGGGGTGTTGCCTATTGTAGCCTCCTGGGGTGTTGTGCATGTGCATAACAGCCGCACGACTTTCCCGCTCGCTCCTAGCTTTGAAATATATATATGTGTCGTCTCCTAAGATTACCCACAGGTCAATTCTAGTGTTGCAAGTGTGCAAAAGGATACATTACGCACCTTTGTCAGCTTCCAGATCTCAAGTTAGAGAGAAACCACTACCGCCAAGGCTAGCCTCGTCCTTGAAGAGTCATCTACTTGCTCCTCCTTCGATTACTTGGATACCAAATCCGAATCATCGCAGTGAGCGATGGAACCTGGCGAATTGGAGAAGCATACTACGAATGAGGACCTGTTGGGTGGTATCTTGGCTACCCTCAAGCCTGTCGAACTTCTCTTGTCTCAGCAGAACCACCCCCGCCCTTCTGGTCTATCCGAGGACAGCGCCCACGATTCCGGAGATGCAGAAAGACACAGTGACAGAGAAGATGATAAGAACGAAGGGCAAAGCGGCAATGAGCAAGAAGGCGAGGGTGGAGTAAACGAGGAAAATCAAGAAGACGAGAAGGAAGCAGACGATGCGAATCAAGCAGACGAGAATGAAGCAGAAAACGAGAACCAACAACATGACGACGAAGCAGAAGAGTGGACTTCTTGGGGAAGAAAGGGCGATGTAGAAAGTGTGGCGGAGCCTGCCATGTCTAATATCGCAAATATGCCCGAATTTGGGGAGGTTATTGGATTTGGCGACAGAATACCGCATAACCCAACTTACCCCTTGCTATTTAGCCAGGCCTTCCTGGAGGGATTTGAACCAGACGAGGTAAAACGTAGAATAGGGGTTATTGCGAAATATTTAGAAACAGTATCACAGTTGGACGGTTTGGTGAAGCTTGATATTATTGATTTCCCAATAGTGGACGAGTTGTACAACACACGTTCCGGTACAATACGTAAGTCATTAGTCGCCATCAACGATTATCCTACTAATCAAATGAAGTTAACAATAATCTTCATCCTAAATATGAAGGACAAAAATGCCCTATACAATATTCTATGGCATGGTTTTGGGTTAACGAATCTACAAAATATCACAGGATACTGTCTGAATATTACCCTACTTTAAGATCTCACCACTGACTTTGTGTAGCCGGTTGGAAGGAGCCTCTGAAGTGGCTAAGAAGATTAAGTCCACGTTTGCTCACGAGATTTGCCCTTTAATTTTTTCACGCCCGAATATTTGGAGTTACCATCTTATCGACGTAGTTGATCTCCATATTGAATGTGCAGAACGGCGCAGAAGTATTAAACGTGTTGTTGTCTTGGGCGGATATATATTTCACACGACGTTTTTCCAACTATGCCAGTCGCATACTGAGTCAGATTCCTGGTCTACTGGTCGTATATATTCTATTAGCGATTTTGGTGGGAAACTGTTCAGGAAAGCATGCATTACAGTGAGATGAAAGCAAAATAACATATCCCATGAAGCCGTGGCTTCATGGGATATGTTATTTTGCTTTCATCTTACAAGACAATCTAACTCTGTTAATTAGATTCATTTTTCTCGAGAAACTCGACAGACAGGAGGCAGATGGACTATAACTATATTAGCACCATCAAATTTCTATGGTAGTGGCGATCATATTCAATATTTGCGCTTTCCTGCCGTATACGGTAGCCATGTGATAGATACAATGATGGAGGTGATCACCACAGCCGTCAACATCATTGTTGATCATTGGCAGAAACTCTACGATGAAGTTCAAAAAGAATGTGATGGCGAAAACATCAGTTTTATGGATGGCGAAAAATATGTGCATCTGCTATACGACGACAGCAATTTTCGGAGATCTAGATTCTACTTCTGGGCTATTGGATGTTTGAGTTCATTTGAGCAAAGCGTAGCAGAGACGTTGTGGGAACTATCGATGTTTCGAACAGAAGCTCGCGAGAAGGTCGAGCGTCGTAGGGGGGTGATCGCTAGAAGTGAAAAAGTCGAAGCAACCTATCAGCAAGCGATAGATGATTTCGATCAAGCCTACAAGAATCTTGATGGCATTCGTGATCAGCTAGTGAAGAAGCGGGACGAGATGAAAGTATTGCGAGATGGGGTATGTCTCCAAATAAGTAATTCTCTTGAGACTCGGGCGACTCAAAAGTCCTTCTGGGGTAGGGATTGTGCCGCGCAACCGATCAAATCCTAGAGTGTATAATTTTAGAAATTATACTATCTACCCAGCAAACCCCTATGGAATTTTTTGGGCCGGACGAGTACCGCGATTCTCCAGCTAACTATTCTAGCTTTTTAGTGCAAGCGGCGTCATGGAAAGCCGGCAGTCTCGAATTCTTGGAGAGAACGTTCAGCTGCTGGCTTTCGTGACAATATTCTTTCTTCCCTTAGCTTTTAGCGCAGTAAGTGGCTCATTTTATCTTTTTATACAAATACTAAACAATCTAGTCACTGTGGAGCATACCTGGCGTTAATGAGAAATACCCTGGAATCGTGATACCAGGCGCATTTGCCGCTATCATCGGTTTCATCACCTATTTCATCGTATTCAATTTGAACCTACTCATATCAGGGCTTCGGCGCCTGTTTTCTGTCCCCCGCAGTATTCTACTGGCGAGGATGGCGAATGAAAAGGATAATTCAAAATACGACTCAGAAGACAACCCACAAGGCGATCCAGAGGGTAGCTCAGTAAAAAACACGACGAGTGCACGGAGCTCAGTGAACAACTCAACGAATGTACGCAACTCAGTGAGCAACTCGATGAGGGAAGTCGGATCAGTAAACAACTCAAGACATGAGGGCAGATCAGTGAACAACTCAATAAATGAGGGCAGCTCAGTGAATAACTCAACAAATGAAGGTGGCTCAGTGAACAATTCTACGAGGGAGGGCAGCTCAGGGAATAACTCACGGATTGATGGCAATGGAAAGAAGAAAATAATTGTGGTAAATGACAAATTATCTACAGATTGGCCAAAGAGGGCCAAGGCTTTTGAGGTATTCCCACGCCAAGATGAGGGACCTAGACCCTCAAACTGGCTGCTTCTTTTTTACGCCATTCGATTACTTGTTTTAAAAACCTTTGATCTTATCATTGGTTTTTTGGCATGGCTTCGGGAAGTTATTGCATCTGACCCCTCAAACCAGGTAAGTAAGCTAAGAATAAAACAAGAAACATCTGATTAACAAGTCACAGGATCCCGATACTGAAATGGCAAACCGCCCTACACCCAGAAGGTAGAGTTTTCCGTTCGTATGGGACTCTTGTTTCAATTTGCGGGAGAATACTCGTGGGGCTTAAAGGCTGGTGGAAGTTATCGTGGGCAAAGGTCAACGAGGGGGTGATAAATCATTGTTATTTGAAATATTTACAACAGCTATCTGTCAATTAACGGCTTCTGATTACCTGGGGCTATGAGTATCATATCGTGACCCTTCTTGAGCTAGTTACTGAAATGATACTAAAAAAAAAAATTATATTACCTTAAACCTCAGTGTTGCCCGAGTACTACTCAGAGTACTACTCAGAGATCTTCGAGTAGAGTACTGTTTTTTGGGCTCGAGTAGAGTAGTACTCGAGTAGTACTCGAGTACTACGAGTACTACTCGAGTATAAAAATGAAAA